TTGTACGACATTTTATCCCCCGTTTGTACGACGTTTATTGTTTCGTTCGTATGACGTTTTATATTTCGTTAGTACGACTTTGTATCTCTCGTTTGTACGACTTTTTATCAATCGTTTGTACGACGTTTTATCTCTCGTTTGTACGACTTTTTATCCCTCGTTTGTACGACGTTTATTGTCTCGTTCGTATGACGTTTTATATTTCGTTTGTACGACTTTTTATCTCCCGTTTGTACTACGTTTCATCTCTCGTTTGTACGACTTTTTATCCCTCGTTTGCACGACTTTTTATCTGTCGTTTGTACGACATTTTATCCCCCGTTTGTACGACGTTTATTGTCTCGTTCGTATGACGTTTTATATTTCGTTAGTACGACTTTGTATCTCTCGTTTGTACGACTTTTTATCTCTCGTTTGTACGACTTTTTATCTCCCGTTTGTACGACTTTTTATCAATCGTTTGTACGACGTTTTATCTCTCGTTTGTACGACTTTTTATCCCTCGTTTGTACGACGTTTATTGTCTCGTTCGTATGACGTTTTATATTTCGTTTGTACGACTTTTTATCTCCCGTTTGTACTACGTTTCATCTCTCGTTTGTACGACTTTTTATCCCTCGTTTGCACGACTTTTTATCTGTCGTTTGTACGACATTTTATCCCCCGTTTGTACGACGTTTATTGTCTCGTTCGTATGACGTTTTATATTTCGTTAGTACGACTTTTTATCTCTCGTTTGTACGACTTTTTATCTCTCGTTTGTACGACTTTTTATCTCCCGTTTGTACTACATTTCATCTCTCTTTTGTACGACTTTTTATCCTTTGCTCACAGATAACGTCGTTACTTCAAGAGTTTCCCTGATAAAGCCATAATTCTCTTGGCCCCCGTATGGTGTCATACCTGCATTTTCAATCCTCCTCGTGCCTTGCTTAACAACACCGTACAATGTAGTACACTGTGACAAGTAATCCACTGATGATACCATAATGTTTAGGATTTCCCTGAAATCTTATTTGCATGAGTTTTCCCTGGAAGTTCTCTGGGTTTCCCCTGATAATTTCTTACTTGCATGGGTTTTCCCTGACAACACAATACATGTTTGGATTCCCCTGACAACATCGTGCTTGCTCGGCTTCCGCTGACCGCAACGTTCTTGCTGGGGTTCCCCTGAAAACACCATACTTGCCTGATTTCTCCAGACAAATATATATTTGTCTGGGTTCTCTTGACAACACCATATTTGCCCGGGTTCCCCTGACAACACCATACTAGTTAGGGATCCCCTGACAATACTATTTATTTGTTTAAGTTCCACTGATAACACCATACTTGCTCGGGTTCTTCTTGGCAACCCCATATTTACAAATGTACTTGAGTTTCCCTGATAACTCAATATTTGTTTGGATTCTCCTGACAACCCCATATTTGCCGGAGTTTTCTTGACAATACATTGTTTGTGTTCCCTTGACGACACCATACTTGGTTAGGTTTCCATGACACTTTACATAGGTTTCCACTGACAACAACAAACATTTCTGCACGCATCTGTCTATGTACTATACTATTTTGTTGTATATCACGTGTTTTCCTTAGAGTATAGATTTTTTTATCAAGATGAACGTCTAATCGTGGTTGTGGATTATTTTTCAACCATTAAAACAATGTCCTGGACAGGCGAATTACGCTGCCGCCTGAGGTTGTAATAGGGCCAGAAATAGCGACCGATTCACCGATCGGTGCATTAATCACGTCACAAGGAGGTGGTAAATTTATCTGAAAGGGAGGAGCCCAATCGACCGCGCGAAACATCACTATCAATAACACAGCAGAAGGCAACACCGTCGTGTACTGTACACCACGTTCTGATAGGACATCATACACTGGTGTAACTACAACAATCAACCTTTACAGACGGCAAACCAGGCTCTATCAATCAACAATATACTACTTTCAAGTTATAATGGAAATTGAGGCTGTTCAACAACAACAACAACAACAACAACAACAACAACAGAAAGAGGCGACAAGAACGCGGCGCTGTTAAATAGTGTTCATCGCAGTTTACACGAGTTTGTAGCAAATGACAACTTTATGTTGTATAGCTGTTGCAGTGGTGACTACGACACGACAATCACCATTGTAACTGAGTATAGCTACACGAAGAATTGGGACATTTCCAATGTAAGACAGTAGGTTATTCCATACCGTAGTACTGACAGGGTCCCGATAACTACAACAGCGGATGTATCTTACGATGGATGAAGCTTGGAGGGCGTCAGAAGAATATTGGTGACACTAGGTGGAAACAGTCATAAGCAGTCTAGATAACGGCTAGTACCTGTTTAAACATGTAATTATGATATCGTATTAATACGAAAGAATACCAGGAACATCACTTCTTCATCGAAGTGCGCAGCAGAGATCAGCATTGATCCACTACAGCATAAGCCACAAGATGTCACCACTGACTCACTTCAATAGATGGCAGCACTACAGGGTCCAGTAGTAGCCACAAGATGTCACCACTGATGCACTTCAATAGATGGCAGCACTACATGGTCCAGTAGTAGCCACAAGAGGTCGCCATTGATGCATTTCAATAGATGACAGCACTACAGGGTCCACAGTAGCCACAAGAGGTTGCCACTGACTAACTTCAATTGATGGCAGAACTACAGGGTCCTCAGTAGCCGCAAGACGTCACCACTGATGCACTTCAATAGATGGCAGCACTACATGGTTCTACAGTAGCTGCAAGATGTCACCACTGACTCACTTCAATACATGGCAGCACTACTGGGTCTACTGTAGCCGCAAGATGTCAGCAGGGTGGACTTCAATAGATGGCAGCACTACTGGGTCTACAGTAGCCGCAAGATGTAAGCAGGGTGGACTTCAATAGATGGCAGCAGTTCTTGTACCTTGCGGTGTTTAGAGGAGACGATATTTGTTTTCTTTCGGCCCATTTTAATTCTAATTGTAAATCAAATATTTTATTTCAAATCAATATGGTTATCAACGAGGTGATTATTTATCATTGATTACGATCTCTCGTTCCATTCAATTCCCGTCCTCCTCTGCTGACTAAATGTGGCGATAGCCATAAAGCGTGTGCACTAATTCCCCGTTATTACCACTGTAATCGCCCCTGTCATTATGAGCTGTAATAGACAGCCTGGAGTTAGTGGTCAAGACGTATATGGACCATCCTTAGCCAAGGCTAATCACGTGGCCTCATCAGTTCGCCATACGTGTATGTGGCATGACTTGACTAATGTAAATGGCAAACTGATGCTCCGTGTTATATGGTTATCCCTGAGACATATCATATCAATTATTTTGAAACATTATTGAAGCAAAAGATGATCACCTCACAGTTATAGTTAGAATATACCAGGTGGTGAACATATCGACTGGACAATGTATAAGCGAACTCAAACAGGTTACAAATTCAATAAACTGCATATTTTATCGTAGAACGGAATGAAATCTTCCGACCCGTTGATTGGATGAAAAATATCTTTTCCTTTCAAGCTTTTATAAGAAAATAATTCAAATAAGCTTTACAAACACTTTCGAGAATAATTTGAAAACACCAAAAACGTTGATGTTTGAAGAGAAAAGAAGTAATGATATAAACAATGAAGATAAGAGTACGTCTAATTTTCTGTTCACCTGATATCCTGTGTAACCAGCTCAGGAACATAGCACATTTCCGTAGCCGAGAAAGGTATTGTCTCTTACACTTTTTTACACTGTAAAATCATCATCATCATCGTCGTCGTCGTCGTCGTTATCGTCGTCGTCGTGTGTGACTATGCATTTAACTTCCCGCTCACCACTCTGTCGTTTATATTTCCACAGCAAGGTTTTGATATGATCTGTTGCGGTTATTCTGAGAAATGACAAATTTTATGTTTCGTCCCCCGCGATTAATTTCACTTAGCCGTTGCCGACAGCCGACTTTGTAATTCCCCGGATGTAAGGTAAATCCTGCCAAGATGGTTATTATCCCGAAGGCCGGATGTGTCACGTTGGACGTATGACAAGAAGGAGAAAGCCTTGCCGGGTATTCCAAGTCTGGTAAGCTTGGTTCCGGGAGTATTCACGCTAACCGGGGACTGTTATCATCAACCTCTTCATGGTTTTTGGTGGAGTGTGGATATACCATGCCAACGAATATTTCTTATCACACCTGTACGCTATTACAATGGAGCTGAAGTGAAACAAAGATTTATCATGTTTATACACTTTAGTTGAAGCTAATGTACACATCAGTTACAGCTCATCTTATAAGCCGTGTCGGATAAGCTGGATTCACCATGGACGCAGCGCGATTAACGTCATTTTTTCTCTTCTAACCCCATCCCCTCTGTTAATCTGTGGGAGGAAACAAACTTTTAGATGACGTTACACTAAAACGCAGAATTATTAAATGCCTGTCAACGAAAAGACAATAAACAAAGTGCAATCAGAAATCGCGAGTTTGCTCAGATTGTTTGTCACGTGTCAAAAATTAATGACGTCATTAATCTAGGATTGGCACTGATATAATTAATTTGTAATGTTCTAATGTTTTCTCAATTAGAATAATGAAATGCCTGCCTTCAAGCTAAATACTTTGGAATTTTTAGGTAATACCTGTTCGTATTGGCAGTCTCTTTGTCATCTTATTGTTTATGCGTTATTTTACTTGGGCTCCTCTCCGGGCGATGAACATTGGCCGTTTTTAAACCTTTTTTCTCACTAGTGTAATATTCACAAAAGTCACGAATTTAGATCAGGTTATATCGATAATCCCTTTTCATTTTTACTGTTGGGTGACCTTAGATCTCTTTGGCAAAATTATTTTCATTTTCTGGTTAACGGGCGATGTAAGACAATACTCCAGCTTATGGAGCAAAGCGGAATAATACTTTCCTTGTTGGTCGAACAAGAGTCTGGATTTAGACTATGCCCAGGTGAAATTTCGAGTTGCGTCCCTTGTTGAAAACGAAAGGAGAAAATGGCTGGAGTTGCGGACGACAGTAAAAAACTAAAGGTAACGAGCGATATGGAATCATATGGCGTCTTACAGGCTGTATTTATACTCCAGGTGTAAAGAGTGTAGTCATGACTATTGTCTTAATGTTTGTAGTCCAGTTGAGTGAAGCGGCCTTGAGCTTATTGTACACCACACGTGGACCATGGTCTTGTGCTAACGATTACACTATGAGTTTAATCAATAGTCTGAATAAGCTTACGTATACATGTACACGTGTACAACACATATTGTAAATGTTAGATTTATCTTGACAGAACACTGTGTCCGACGATATAAATATATGTTTTTTCTAGTACGTGTACTTTATTTTTTGGGTGGGAGGTGAGATTGAAAAGGTTATCAGAATAAACAACATCTATTACTGTTTGACCTTGTGACAGCCAGCAAGATCACGATCGAATGTCAAGTCATCCAATAAGCGCACATGTTTTATAATAAGATCAGTTGGTCAAATTGTTCCTTGTGACAGATGCTTTGCAAAGTTTGATGTAATTTCAAAGTAATTTCAAGAGAGACAGACTAGATGGTATATGAAATAGTATTTCTATAACTTCATGTACATCTATGTCATTATCTGATTATAAGCAGTGATGAATTTTAAACCAGACAGTCTGAACACGGGTGTCTAGGCTCTGGAACATACAATTTGTACAGACGTTATTTTGTATTTATACCAGTTACATGTATAAAAAAATACTTCTGAACTATCCAATCACATTCCATGAACATTCTTCAGGAATTGAACCTCTGGCACGAAAATCGACTGGCTGTACCAGCTGAGCCAGAGAAGCATGTTCCGTCAGCTGGGTGACAGCTGAGACTGTATTTAACAATGTGTACAAATCACACTATAATACATTCACCTGTGTAACACTGGATAGTGTCATTTCACCATTAAAAATACTAAGACACAAACTGCTTTCATTATAAATATTTTATCAGAACAATTAACTGGAAAATAGCTGTTAGTGACAAGTTTTGATATTTATATCAAAAATTTTTAAAATGTGAAACAAATACATTAAACACACATTGATGTTTAGATGCTGACTTAAGTAGTAGATATGCATGCCAAATAAAATCCTGATAAAAGGAAATCAATATTTTGTAGGTCATCTTTTCTTTAAAAAAAGTACAAAACGAAGTATTTTTGTAACTATATCTAACCACGTCAGTGATCTTCATATGTAACAGAGGGGGTAATTGAAAAAAATCCATATTCAAATACTAGTTTGAGTCACAAATATGTTGAGAATAAGTGTTGTTATTTTTCCAGGCCATCCTAATATAAACCCAATATGGCTGCCATGGCTGCCACCTTGACAAACATATTTTTAAGCTTCTTTTCAAGCTCCACTATCGCTATTGCACTGAAAATTGATGGGGAGGTAAAAGAAGGGAAGCTGACATTATTAAGCCTCATCAAAAGTTCAATATGGCAGCTATGGGTGCCATATTGTAACTTGATTAAGCAATCATGGTTTCCCTGAACGATACCTATTTTAAACTTAAAACTCCACTTGTGCCATTGCACTGAAAATTGGTGGGGAGGTTAAAGAAGGGAAGCTGACAAAGTGTCATTATTTGGCCTCATCAAAAGTTCAATATGGCAGCTATGGGTGCCATTTTGTAACTGATTAAGCAATCAAGGTTTCCCTGAACAATACCTATTTTAAACTTCATCTCAACTTGCACCAGTGAGATTCAGCAACAAATAAGATATAATGCCTCTGTTAGAAATCTGATATGGCTGCTGTGTTCCAAAACACATTTTAAAATCCTCAAGTTCACAAGTGGTATTGTCATTGAGCTGAAACTTGCCTGAAATGATCATTAGATAATTGTGACTAACCGTTATTATATTTTTTTTGGGTTAGTCCAAATTCAATATGGGTGCCATTTTGAAAATTTCAACTTCTTTCTAAGTTCCATTAGTGCAAATTTGTGAGAATGTGGAAAATCTGAAAGGAAGACTTTCCACCCCTACCCTTTCCCCTTTACTGTTTAAGAATTTTCCCTGCTACAGGTAATGTTACTGCTGATATATATATCATATGTAGGTCTTTGTAGTCAAATGACCTTTAAGGCTACATGTGGGCCTTTTGTTATTATTGGTTTTAGTAAAGCAACAGCTTCAAATCAGCATCAATTCAAATCAATTCGGAGCACAACTTTTTCTCCTTTGATTAAAGTACATACATTGATAAGGTAATGTCATGTGTGTCTGCTAAGTGCATGCATAATGTTCTGTTCATTTATCCATGAATAAGAAATTGTGATTTTAACAAATAATGTTACTTTTGAAAACAATGTCACAGGTGAAAGTGATTGAGTGAAACAGAACTTTTTTTTCCCCTTTGAAATTCAAAATTTGTATTTTGTTATGTAAGCAAATTGTTTTGTTACTGGTGAAACAGTGATATGGGAGCTTTAGCCAGTCATTACTTCGCAAGATGTTTGCATGCTGTACAAAATATAATGATTGTACTGCAAACTGGCAGCTGTGGTGATATAATCAACTTTATCATACCACATTGCCAGTAAATTAGCTTGGTGGTCTCATTTTGTCGCAAACTTACTATCAACACCATCAGGATCACTTGACCTACTTACCTAAGAAAGCAAGAAATAAATATTATGATAAGTTTCTGTGATGGAGTCAACTGAAAAAGTAATATCCTTTTATTGATTAATGTCGCAAATCTTGATTGGTCCATCCATGTGGTGGTCAGTTGTTGATGGTGATGGTCAGTTATTGTGAGATGTGTGAACAAGTCCCTGGCCAGTTTGTAGTGAGCAATCCTGGTGATGTATCTTCTGACCAGGTCACCTTGTCAGTAGGGTCATTGATGTTTACCAGGACACTGGACCAGGTTGTAGAATGTCTCCACCACCATGCTGACCCTCTGTCTGGCTCAGGACAGTTTGACTGTCAGTACTGCTAGACAGCCTGGGCTGATATCACAGAAATGTTTACTTTAAACCAATCTTATTCTGTCAATATAATCAAGATGAAAACTGGTAATGTGTTTACTTCGCATGCTAGTTCCCATGTAATTATGTCAGAGTTATAGCGAGCTTGGATTGATCAATAATTACATGTACATTTACTAGAATGGAAATATTATAAGAATCCTTTTAATTTTGGACAAGGTTATAATGCTGTTGTTCTGATTATAAAAATGGTTTGCCTGCACCACCCCAAGGACTTAGTCCCATGTCTGAAATTATACATGGCATGGAGTAAGTAGAAATATCTTCTTTGTAAACAATATACAGACACTGTGAATTAATATCCAGATGGGCAAGTCAGGCCCTATTGGCTTCTTCTCAGTTGCTAAGGTTAACAATTGTTGTTGTTATCAGATAAAAGCAGTTAAGAAAATACAGAGCAAGCAGATGAATACTTTTACTAATCGTAAAACAAGTTGGAGTGATCTTAAAATATGACAAATTAACAAGATTACTGCAGGTTACTGTTGAGTGATTCAGAAGCATCTGGTTTGTAATCATTATGTTTAGTACTACTTTGTGTTGGTTTCCCTTGTTCACTCAGTTATACAAGAGATTAACAACAAAATGTCAGAATCTATCATCAAACATTCATCATTTGTAACAGCTTCATTTTTTGGGGTTTTTGAAAAAAAAAAGTCATTGATTTTACACATGTATACCTGTGATTGTGCTTTGGTATCTCAGTATTTCATTAAATTGCAAGGTTAATTCATCAATATTTCATAATACACTGTGAGCTGTGAATGTTCTCCCTACGATTATAGAGAATGTATTTGTCTCATTTCAACCTTTGTCCCAGTAGTGATATTTTGTAGAACATAAATCATTTTTGTTTAGAATTCACTGGTTACAGATTTTGTATAGATTGTAGAGAATCCAAGCTATAGTTGTAAAAGGCAGGGCCTGACTCTTGGGTAACCTAGCACACCCATCAGTTATCTCACCTCCTGTTGAGTGAGATGTGAGAACTGATTATGTTATACGAGACCCAGTGTGCCTTCTCTGGACTTGGTGTTCTAACAAATTACTTCTTAACATTGTGGTTCTAAATATTTGAACGATTCTTGTCTGAGGTCTTGGTGGCAATTAGCCACTCTGATGCCGTGTTCGGAGCGGTGACCCAGGAAATCCAGTCCAAGACTTATGGCCCTGTGTAAAAGCCACTTTATCCATTCACCTTGTTTTACGCCTTCAATGCTCCAACTTATACTGGAAAATTAATTTCCTCCAAAACCAGCCATTTGTTTCCTAGGGTTAGATTAAGGGGATAGATCTATTTGATTGTTCTGGTGAACATGTCATTTTTGGATGTAGGGCTAATCAATTTCCATGCATTAATGATAACACACAGCTGTTGTTGCTAAAAAGTAGGCCTCATCTTGACATTTAGGATATTTTCAGGCGCTCAATTACCACTTGATATTTTGTAGGTGTACAAGTTAAATTGGTATTTAACACGGATTCAGGAATCAGTCTAGATTCAACTCAAATAAATTATTTTCCTGATCATTCAGAAGATCTTTGGAGAGTGCTTTCTCGTAGACTACTGTAAAGGTTTTTTTTTTCTATTTTAGGGTTTTGTTTTTTGCAGTTATCAAAAATGCGAAAAAGAAAGAATGAAAATGAAAGAGAAATCCATGTATGACTTCTGTCAAAGCTCATGAATTTGGAAGCATCAGAGATAGATGCCTATACTAGGATCATGATATTGAACTACTTAAAAATAACATGCTGGAATTACAGGAATTGGGCTTATTTATGTATGACCTTGACCCAATTTGAAGGCTTTTTTAATTCTATATGGGATCTTTAGATGTGATACTAGAAGGAAGGGTAACATTTACTTACAAAGTAATACTATATGATATGGTGTATTATGCACAATGTGTTATATCACAGTGCTTTATTTCTATGATTTGATTTTTTATATATCTTTTTTTCAGATACTTTGTCTGCATGGATATAGGTAAGATTGTGAAATTTCTCAAGTTACACAACACACCAATAACATTTTGTTGAAAATACCAAGAGTGTATCCCTACTCTTTTATTCCATACATCATACCTGTAATCTCTGTTAGAGTCGCCTCCCTTACTTAAAATTATTAAATAGTTTATATGACATATGCAGGAGTAATCTCCGTTGTATATTGTAAATGCTACCTTACACCAAAGTTCAGGGTTACAGTAATCTCCCTTGCATATTTTTTAGTTAATGACGCATGCTACCTTACATTGTAGTTCTTATGATTTTGAGTGGCAGTAATCTCCCTTTCCTACTGTTAGGGCAAAGGACCATAAACCATAGTTTCTGTGATCTGTGTTAGATATTTTGTAGTGGTCTTATGATATTTCAATATGTATCGATACCAGCAAAATTTTAGCTTTGATACAATACAGTGATGTTTTTGTGACAGTGATCATGATTAAATAACCACTTGTTATCTAAAATTAAAATTTACAAGTTTGTTTTAAATTTGAAGTAAAGGTGTAGGAAGGGAAGATTTTTTTGGGAGGTATATATCATGTTTCTTTTGGTTCCTTATCATATTGTAGTATCTGTATCACTATACATATATACACCATTTATCATATGGTGAGTTGTTGGCAAAACACAAGCCTAACTTATTTCCCTTAGAGAACATTTATTGGGAATAGCTATTGTGTGATGATATAACTTGCCGAAGAAACTTTGTATACCTTAACCGTTAACCGTTAACAATAATAGAAAAGTAAAAGGATTCATACCATTAGACAATGCAACACAGGATATCATAAAAAGGAAGCATTCACTTGCAAAAAAAGCAATAGCAAACAAAGACCCCCTAGTTCAAAAGGAATATAGAAGGGCAAGGAACCAGGCAAAAAAGGCCACAAGAAAATTAAGAAAGAAATTTGAAAGAGACCTGTCTTTAAAGGCCAAAGAGAATCCAAAGGCAATCTGGAAATATATAAAGTCAAAATCAAAAACTAAAGTGCGTATTGGAGATTTATATACGGATCAAACAGACAGAACATCCCCGAAAACAAGTAGTGATAAAGATAAGGCAAACATACTGGCGGAGTTCTTTAAAAGCGTGTTTGTTGAAGAAGATGGAAATATACCAGCAATGGAAGTAAAAGATATGACAAGTGAAATGCAAGACATGGTAATAAATGAACAACAAGTTGTGAAAGTACTGCAAAAGTTGAAAAAGGATAAATCCCCAGGACTCGATAACCTACACCCACGAGTTCTACGTGAAATTTCTTCATCGATAGCCTCGCCGCTTACTTTATTATTTAACCAATCTCTTCAACAAGGTGCTGCACCAGAAGCATGGAAGAAAGCTCAAATAACGGCCATATACAAAAAAGGCGATAAAAGCGAGGCTGGTAACTATAGGCCAGTTAGCCTCACTTCAATTATTTGTAAAACGATGGAAACACTGGTAAGAGATCATATTGTAAGCTATATGAGACAGAATGATATGTTCACACCACAACAATTTGGATTCTTGGCAGGGAGATCTATTTCATTGCAGATGCTTGAAGTTTTGGATAAATGGACAGAAGCTTTGGATACAGGCCGTTCAATAGATTGTATTTATTTGGATTTAAAAAAGGCTTTTGATACTGTCCCCCATAATAGACTATTGAGTAAACTTAAGGCATACAAATTCTCAAACCAAATTTTAAACTGGATCAATAGCTTCCTGAACAACCGAATGCAAAGGGTAACTGTAAATGGTGAACATTCAGAATGGACTAGAGTGTCATCGGGTATACCACAAGGATCCGTCCTAGGACCAATCCTCTTTGTCATGTTTGTAAATGATCTACCGGACTCGGTCAATTCGTGCATGTTTCTATTTGCGGATGATACGAAAATATTTAGGATCATAGAAAATGAAGAAGATAAGGCAATTCTCCAAAAAGACTTACAGAGCATGGAAGAATGGAGCAAAAGATGGCTTTTGCAAGTACATCCACAAAAATGTAAACATATGCGCATTGGAACTATGGATAAGGAAGAATCAACATCATATACAATCAACAACCAGGAATTAATACAAACAAATAAAGAAAAAGACATCGGTATCACAGTAGATCATAAGCTCACATTTGAAGATCATTTAAGTGAAAAAGTAAACAAGGCCAATTCCATGTTCGCCATGCTTAGGAGAACTTTTGAATACATGAACAAACAGACATTCATACCATTATACAAGTCATTAGTAAGGATTCATTTGGACTTTGCCAGTTCTGTTTGGTCGCCTTACAAAATGAAGGATATTGAAAAGCTGGAAAGTGTCCAGAGAAGATCAACTAAGCAACTGCCAGGAATGAAGGATATATCCTACCCGGAAAGGCTAGTTAAATTAAACCTTCCAACGCTTGCATATCGACGAATAAGAGGAGATATGATCGAGGCTTACAAGATTATTAGCGGAATATATGATCAGGATACCAACAGCATCTTAAAACCATGGAACAGCGCAGCAGCGAAAAACAGCAGCAGAGGAAACTCTAGAAAGATATTCCCAGAGAGATCCAGAACAAACGTTAGAAAGAACTTCTTCTCCCAACGAGTGGTCAATGTATGGAACAATTTACCTGAGAATATAGTATCAGCACCAAATATTAACACTTTTAAAAATAGACTGGATAAACATTGGGCTTCTCAAGAACTTGTTTATAATTATAAAGCTTCAATTATTTAGGAAAAAAAAAATAAAAAAAAATGTTGCTTCATTGTACTTGGAACCGATAAAACAAACGCAATATAACAATTATGATAATCTAACTAACATTTATTGATGAGATGTGGAAACACATATTTATGAACATTGTATTCAAATGTATATATTTGTGTATACATGTATATATATGTATTATGGTTGGAGTCTGGTGTAGAGGGTCGAAAAATCGAGCCTGTACCAGAAATAAACTTAACTTAACTTAACTTAACTTAACTTGTAATCAATTTGATAAAATAGTTCAGGCAAATATTGTATATTTTGCTTTAGAAGGAATTGATACAGAGTCACTTCACCAGTACTTTGTGAGGTATAAGTGAATATTGACTGTAGACTCAGATCCTATACCTAGTTTTTGTTCTACAACAAACTTTGGGTTTTATGTTTAAAAACATACCTAGTTTCTACACTAGGGTACTTCTATTTTCAGTTGTTAAAACAATTCAAATAGTTTCAAGTCTGTGACTACTTCTTTTTAGGTCAACTGAGATAAAGTCTTATTGTGACCTATTGTGATCACTGTCCAGTATCTTGCACCATAAACTTTTTCAACTTCTTTCAAAAACCCCTGAATCGATCCAATGAAAATTTTGCAAAAACCTTCCCTGGCCTGAGATGTACCAGAGTAGTGAAGTATACGGTCCCCACCCAACAGAGGGCTGACCGGGTGGGGCCAAAAGGGTCAAATTGAGTCAGATTTCAAAAATCTTCTCAGCACCCAGATGTGGTAGAATCAAATACTCTTCATGGTTGGAATCATCTTAAGGTGCTATCCCAAAATTGTAATCACACATTTCCCTTTGTGGAGGGGATAAATTTTATTATAGTTTATATAGGGAAAATAGGTTTTTGAGCATTATTTGTGTAATTTCCATTGGAAATACTTTAAACTTGGTTAGAATCATGGAGGATAATGGCTAGATGGTATTCCTACATTGATCCTGACTGACCTCCAGGGGCTGATGGGCGGAGCCAAAAGGGGTCAAATTGACTCCAATTTAAAAAATCTGCTCAACACTGACATTTGATAGAATCAAATACGCTTCATTGATGAAAGTGTCTTAAGGTGCTTTAATGACCAAAATGGATCTCACATTTCTTTCTGTGGCGGAGTTAACTTTACATTAATTTTTACAGTAAAATTACATTTTTGAGCATAATGCTGTATATTTCTCACTTGAAATAACGTGGTAAGAATTATTAGTATAGGATGACAGTTTTGATGGTATGTATGTATGTATTGACACTAGCTTACTATAATCAACGTCACAATTTCTGTTTCATGACACTTGATAACTATCCTTTAACCTTTATATTCAATATTGCTTATCTCAGGTGAGCATTAAGGCCTCTTGTTTGATCATACATCAAGAGAGACAACTCTTACATATCATAATCTTCATGATGTACACATCCTGATTAGCTTGATTTATGAATTTTGATAGAATTTGATCATTTAAACTATACAGTGTTGCCAACATCTCATTGAATCTGGTCATACACCCTTCCAAATCAAGGGCATATGTTAAAGGTCTACAGGTATAAAGGCCTTCTAACCAATTCTTTTTATAGTTATCACATTAAATTTTTATAGATTTAGATGATGATTTGCATTATGGTTGAAAATGATTTTGACTGTTGTAGATCCAAATATTAAAACTGAAGCTCATAAATACTGAGCAAAGCTAAGGAAATACCTCATAATTCTATTATTCTGTTGGCATTTTGTCTCAAGATCATGATATGATCAGGTTGATGTGACAAACTCTGGTGAGTTGGTGAGATGGTACTGTGATGTGCTGAATTATTATAATGTTTGCTGAGTGAGTTGGTGAGACTGTACTGTGATGTGCTGAATTATTATAATGTTTGCTGAGTGAGTTGGTGAGACTGTACTGTGATGTGCTGAATTATTATAATGTTTGCTGAGTGAGTTGGTGAGACTGTACTGTGATGTGCTGAATTATTATAATGTTTGCTGAGTGAGTTGGTGAGACTGTACTGTGATGTGCTGAATTTTTAAGATATTTGCTACCATAACACATATTTGTTCAACAGGGGAAGACTACGAAAGATAAATAGTTTTGAAATGCAATGAACATTTACCCACACATAGGGTTATACAATGTACAGTTTACAGTGTTCATTACATGTGTCCATCCTTTTCAGACAAAATGGTCAGACATTTCGAGAGAGAACAGGTGCATTCAGGAAGATCATTAAAAGTCGAGCAGAGCTAGGTAAAGTCGTATCCCTGTTTCTTATTAACTTTAGTATATGGAAACACCAATTTTCCCTGAAAGTGATTATAAAAAAGTGATAAAATCACATCTTTAGAGGGCGTATCATCCTTTTTTGGCTTGAAATTTTGAATGTGTTCAGTTCCTCTTGTAGAAATGACAATGGACAATTCATAGTTTTAGTACAAAGTCTCATGATGACCTATTGTGATACCATTTTGTCTGGGATCATCTAGCATCGTCCATTGTCTATCCATAAACTTTTAAAATTTTTGACTTCTGGAAAACCCTTGGACTAGTTTCAATGAAACTTGGCAGAGAATTTCCATGGTCAAAGGTTAACTCAAATTGTAAATTAGATGGTCATCAACCATCAGGGACATGAGAGGCGGGGCCAAAAATGGCCACATTGACTGAAATTTCAAAAATCTTCCCAATACCAAATATGGTAGAATCAAATACTGTTAAGAGATGGAAGGGTCAAAAAGTAAAATGTTTCTGTCCTTGAACAATTAGCATTTCACATTTTCTCTTCTCTCTGCTACACATTCTTTCCAATTGTTTGTATTGGTTAGTTCACTCAGGTGACTGTAAAGGCCTCATTTCAATCTGTGGAATTGAACTTTAGTTTAATGGGAATGCCAAGGAACTCAGGTCTGCAAATTGTTGTTTTTTATTGCCTTTATCTCTTTATTGTAACAGCACAATGGATGAAATTAGGATTTGTATACATGTACATTAGTTCATAGTAAATACATAATGCTTAGTTTTAATTACCAATGATTTTTTAAGCCCAGGTGCCTCTTGCTTTTATCTAGTATTTGTGACAGCCCCAAACCGTGTCCCTCCATTGCCAGGAGAGGAAGGAGACACACCTAGTGATGCTGCCTCTGACACACCCAACAAAGGTAGATATACTATAATATGTATCTGTTGTCAAAATTACATAGATCACACAGGTATGAGTGTGACAGGTGTACAGATTACACAGGTATGAGTGTGACAGGTCTACAGATTACACAGGTGTGAGTGTGACAGGTGTACAGATTACACAGGTGTGAGTGTGACAGATGTACAGATTACACAGGTGTGAGTGTGACAGATGTACAGATTACACAGGTGTGAGTGTGACAGATGTACAGATTACCACAGGTGTGAGTGTGACAGATGTACAGATTACACAGATGTGAGTGTGACAGATGTACAGATTACACAGGTGTGAGTGTGACAGATGTACAGATTACACAGGTGTGAGTGTGACAGGTGTACAGATTACACAGGTGTGAGTGTGACAGATGTACAGATTACACAGGTGTGAGTGTGACAGATGTACAGATTACACAGATGTGAGTGTGACAGGTGTACAGATTACACAGGTGTGCGTGTGACAGATGTACAGATTACACAGGTGTGAGTGTGACAGGTAAACAGATTACACAGGTGTAAGTATAATTTTGTTGACAGATGTACAGATTACTGTAACACAACGGGTAAACACGGTGTTTACTTGGGTTGACCGAAATGTTTATTTCATCGTAAAGTGGTTTTCCATAGTAAGTACTTTGCGTTAATATCCATTACAAAAGATAGTTCCTAATCAACATACAGCAGCATGTCGTGGCACCAAAAATAAATACCTGTGTAAGGCAGACAAAAACTAAACACCTGCCCGTCCATACCAAAGAGTTCCATACAAATGTCCATTAGCCAACTTGGCCAGGGTGCGCTCCATCACGGGGCAGGTCCCATACGGGACTCTGTCTGTCTCCACGTCCGACTCCCAACTCTCTCCAGCTACTCGATCCCAGATTCGACTAACTTCTGCTAGCTATTGTCTTAGTATAAATAATACCCAAATACTTAATTTCAGCATAGTCCCTATTGGACAAGAATAACCCAGCCCCTAGAGCATCTAATTATGAATGCATGTGCGACTAGGAGAACCCGTTATCAACTTCCCATCTTTGATCTACTCTCTACATTGTTTCTTATTTTGTTTACTTAAAAATACGTTCGCCAGCGCGAGACATACAAAAGAGAGCATCTATCTGTCCTTATCAATCATACTGGCGATATTCTGCCATTGTGCTTCAACACTGGGGTACACACCCCGCCCGTCATCAGGCGTGCATCACTACCTGTCACTCACGAAATTTTTACCTCGGTCCAGCATTGACTGACTTTTGACCTGATGTACTTTAAACTAAGATGCTGCTCTCTACGACACACATCATTCCAAAGTTACCATTAAATCCATTTTTTACTCATTTTGCTACATTACACAGGTGTTAGTGTAACTTTGTTGACAGATGTACAGATTACATAAGTGTGATTGTAACTTTGAAGTTAGATATACAGATTTTACAGGTGTGAGTGTAATTTTGTTGACAAATATACAGATTACAAAGTAGTTGATGTAATTGTGTTGACAGATGTACAGATTACACAGGTGTCAGTGTAATTTTGATGACAGATGTACAGATTACACAGGTGTCAGTGTAATTTTGTTGACAAATATACAGATTACAAAGTAGTTGATGTAATTGTGTTGACAGATGTACAGATTACTCAGGTGTGAGTGTAATTTTGTCGATAGATGTACAGATTACACAGATGTGAGTGTAATTTTGATGACATATGTACAGATTACTCAGGTATGAGTGTAATTTTGATGACAGACGTACAGATTACACAGGTGTGAATGTAATTTTGATGACAGACGTACAGATTACACAGGTATGAGTGTAATTTTGTTGACAGATGTACAGATTACACAGGTATGAGTGTAATTTTGATGACAGACGTACAGATTACACAGGTGTGAATGTAATTTTGATGACAGACGTACAGATTACACAGGTATGAGTGTAATTTTGTTGACAGATGTACAGATTACACAGGTATGAGTGTAATTTTGATGACAGACGTACAGATTACACAGGTATGAGTGTAATTTTGTTGACAGATGTACAGATTACACAGGTATGAGTGTAATTTTGTTGACAGATGTACAGATTACACAGGTATGAGTGTAATTTTGTTGACAGATGTACAGATTACACAGGTATGAGTGTAATTTTGTTGACAGATGTACAGATTACTCAGGTATGAGTGTAATTTTGTTGACAGATGTACAGATTACACAGGTATGAGTGTAATTTTGATGACAGATGTACAGATTACTCAGGTATGAGTGTAATTTTGTTGACAGATGTACAGATTACACAGGTATGAGTGTAATTTTGATGACAGATGTACAGATTACACAGGTGTGAATGTAATTTTGATGACAGACGTACAGATTACACAGGTATGAGTGTAATTTTGTTGACAGATGTACAGATTACACAGGTATGAGTGTAATTTTGATGACAGACGTACAGATTACACAGGTGTGAATGTAATTTTGATGACAGACGTACAGATTACACAGGTATGAGTGTAATTTTTATGACAGACGTACAGATTACACAGGTGTGAATGTAATTTTGATGACAGACGTACAGATTACACAGGTATGAGTGTAATTTTGTTGACAGATGTACAGATTACACAGGTGTCAGTGTAATTTTGTTTCATACTATAAGTCTTACATTGACGAAATTCAAAGGTAAATGTTCCCTCCAGTTAGGGATAACAGAAGTAGATTTAACAACTGAACAAAAACTTAGTTACTGACTTCCCCAGGTTTTCTTTTGTGTCGCAGATAAGTAGAAGGACTTGTGGTTTTCATTCAATGTTTCTTATACATTATAGCTGACCAGATGGGTTGGTGGTTTTCACGAGAAGATGACTATTACATGGCTCAGGACTATACTGACTGTTGCAAAGGCTACAAGGAATCACTGGATGTGGTAACACAGGCATTTAAAGAACAGGTAAAGGTAACAAGGGGTCACTGGATGTGGTAACACAGGCCTTTAAAGAACAGGTAAAGGTTACAAGGGGTCACTGGATGTGGTAACACAGGCCTATAAAGAACAGGTAAAGGTTACAAGGAGTGACTGGATGTGGTAGTACATGCCTTTAAAGAACAGGTAAAGGCTACAAGGAGTCACTGGATGTGGTAAAACAGGCCTTTAAAGAACAGGTAAAGGTTACAAGGAGTGACTGGATGTGGTAACACATGCTTTTAAAGAACAGGTAAAGGCTACAAGGAGTCACTGGATGTGGTAACACATGCTTTTAAAGAACAGGTAAAGGTTACAAGGAGTCACTGGATGTGGTAACACAGGCTTTTAAAGAACAGGTAAAGGTTACAAAGAGTGACTGGATGTGGTAATACAGGCCTTTAAAGAACAGGTAAAGGTTACAAGGAGTCACTGGATGTGGTAATACAGGCCTTTAAAGAACAGATAAAGGTTACAAAGAGTGACTGGATGTGGTAACACAGGCCTTTAAAGAACAGGTTAATGTTACAAAGAGTGACTGGATGTGGTAACACAGGTTTGAAAGAACAGGTAAAAGCTACAAGGATTCACTGGATGTGGTAACACAGGCCTTAAAAGAAAGGTAAAGGTTACAAGGAGTGACTGGATGTGGTAGTACATGCCTTTAAAGAACAGATAAAGGTTACAAGGAGTCACTGGATGTGGTAACACAGGCTTTTAAAGAACAGGTAAAGGCTACAAGGAGTCACTGGATGTGGTAACACAGGCCTTTAAAGAACAGGTAAAGGTAACAAGGGGTCACTGGATGTGGTAACACAGGCCTTTAAAGAACAGGTAAAGGTTACAAGGGGTCACTGGATGTGGTAACACAGGCTTTTAAAGAACAGATAAAGGTTACAAAGAGTGACTGGATGTGGTAACACAGGCTTTTAAAGAACAGGTAAAGGTTACAAAGAGTGACTGGATGCGGTAACACAGGCCTTTAAAGAACAGGTAAAGGTTACAAAGAGTCATTGGATGTGGTAGCACAGACTTTTAAAAAACAAGTAAAGGTTACAGGGAGTCACTTGATGTGGTAGCACAGGCCTTTAAAGAACAGGTAAAGGTTACAAAGAGTCATTGGATGTGGTAGCACAGACTTTTAAAAAACAAGTAAAGGTTACAAGGAGTCACTTGATGTGGTAACACAGGCCTTTAAAGAATTGTTGATGGTTCAAAGATAAAAAATGTATCCTGTTATTTACTAACAACTTAGCCCATGGTACTATTATTTATAAACTGTTCATAGAAGAGTATCAAAACTTCTTTTACTTTTATGGTCACATATCTTTATCTGTATATTGTATCTGCTGTAGCCATGTTTGGTATCTCAACTGCTTGCTTACAGGGTCCATTTGATGGGGTGCTGGCCTTTAGTCAAGGGGCTGCCTTCCTGTCCCTAATCTGTGCTTTGAGGGAGCAGAACCCCAAAGGTAAAGAAAAACCAAAATTCTACAGTGTCTAAAACAATAATGAAAGTATATCCAGATGTAGAGGCAATGGCTTGTCGTGTAGAGTGATGGATGAATCCTGCACCTTTTGCATGGATACCTGACAGTACGTAGGGCATTGATTTATAAGGTTTAAGCAGAATCAAGCTCAACAGGCAGGAAATTGGTTCATGTATTTTCTAGCTCACCTAGCCTGATTGGCCAAGTGACCTATCGGCATACCGTGTCGTTCTTCATCTGTCCATCCATGTGAAATTAGTTCTGTACAAACCGTGCTCTTACCTACTTGGAATGGAGAAGCAGGGAAAATTTACATGTGGTAAATTAACTTCAGCAAATTAAACCATTTGAGTGACACAGGCCCTATGGTATTGCTAAAGAAGTAGATATAGGTCATATGTTTGTGTCCACTTTGAGAGCCTTTGTTGTACAGGGATAAACAATCCATAATGGAATTAAGAAGAAACCTACTGATATGGGAATCTTACTAAAAGTTTAACTTGCATTTAGATCCAAATGCCATGGAGAATTTGTTTAATTATTGATATATTCAGTGAATAAGAAGCTGCTTATAAAACAGATGTAAATTGCTGATTCCATTGCGATTTAAAGCTAGCATTATAAAAGCATTTCTATGTCCTTATAGATGGTATGACTGTATTATAGGATTGAAGTTGGTATTGTTATCTGCAAGTCCAGTTATACAGTAAGTTTTATCAGTTTACCGTCATATAAGAAATTGATGATTATCATAGGAACTTTATAGTTCTGACCATATCATGCTATTTTATGAATAATATTACACATGTAGTCTGCTATTCCTACAAGAAGCTGAGTATAGATAACACTTGTCCTTTTAGTGAATATCGTGTTTTAAATTGTCCTCATTAGCCAGATAACTTTTGGAAATGATGATATGGGTAAGGACAAGAAGAGCACATCCTTTTGATAATTGTAACTTGATACAGGATTTGTAATGTGCAAGGGCAAGGAACTTCTTGTGAGAATATATGTAGTTGTGAGAAGACATTTGATTGTCTGTGAGAGGTCATGTGATCATGTAAGAAATGTATAAAAGGGAAAGTAAACCCCTGGACTGTTGAAACCTCTGTGCACCTCTCCCTAGTGTGACTTTAGGATAGTGTTCTTACTAGTGTTGTCAACAAATTGTTAGAATAATTAGAGTTAAAGACTTTGTTTAGTGCTTAAGTTTACCAATGTGTTCATTAGTGAAGTTAGTGTGAAGGACTTACCTAAATTTACAAGGTATGTAGTCTATAAAGAGGTATTAGTGAAGTTAGTGTGAAGGACGTACCTAAATTTACAAGGTATGTAGTCTATAAAGAGATATTAGTGAAGTTAGTGTGAAGGACGTACCTAAATTTACAAGGTATGTAGTCTATAAAGAGATATTAGTGAAGTTAGTGTGAAGGACTTACCTAAATTTACAAGGTATGTAGTCTATAAAGAGATATTAGTGAAGTTAGTGTGAAGGACGTACCTAAATTTACAAGGTATGTAGTCTATAAAGAGATATTAGTGAAGTTAGTGTGAAGGACGTACCTAAATTTACAAGGTATGTAGTCTATAAAGAGATATTAGTGAAGTTAGTGTGAAGGACGTACCTAAATTTACAAGGTATGTAGTCTATAAAGAGATATTAGTGAAGTTAGTGTGAAGGACGTACCTAAATTTACAAGGTATGTAGTCTATAAAGAGATATTAGTGATTTTCAATCCTTTGTACTTCAGTTTAATCAACTTACTGCAAGGCCAGGCCTGTTCCTGTCTATACTATGAGGCCAGGCCTCTTATTATGTATACTACGAGGCAAGGCCTGTTACTATATATACCACTAGGCCAGGCCTGTTACTATATATACCACTAGGTCAGGCCTGTTACTGTCTATACTATGAGGCCAGGCCTCTTATTATGTTTACTACGAGGCAAGGCCTGTTACTATATATACCAATAGGCCAGGCCTGTTACTATATATACCACGAGGTCAGGCCTGTTACTGTCTATACTATGAGGCCAGGCCTCTTATTATGTTTACTACGAGGCAAGGCCTGTTACTATATATACCAATAGGCCAGGCCTGTTACTATATATACCACTAGGTCAGGCCTGTTACTGTCTATACTATGAGGCCAGGCCTCTTACTATGTTTACTACGAAGCAAGGCCTGTTATTATATATACCAATAGGCCAGGCCTGTTACTATATATACCACTAGGTCAGGCCTGTTACTGTCTATACAATGAGGCCAGGCCTATTACTATATATACCATGAGGCCAGGCCTGTAACTGTCTATACTACAAGGCCAGGCCTGTTACTGTCTATACTACAAGGCCAGGTCTGTCACTGTACATACCTTGAGGTCAGGTCTGTTACTATATATACAGTGAGGCCAGGCCTGTTACTATTCATATCGTGAGGCAAGGCCTGTGACTGTGTATACCATGAGGTCAGGTCTGTTACTATATATATTGTGAGGACAGGCCTGTTACTATATATATTGTGAGGCCAGGTCTGTTACTATATATACCACAAGGCTATATATACCATGAGGTCAGGCCTGTTACTATATATATTGTGAGGCCAGGCCTGTTACTATATATACCTCGAGAACAGGCCTGTTACTATATATATACACCGTAAGGACAGGCCTGTTACTATATATATACCGTGAGGCCAGGCTTGTTACTATATATACCATAAGGCTAGACATGTTACTATATATATATACCATGAGGACAGGCCTGTTACTATATATACCGTGAGGTCAGGCCTGTTTCTATATATACCGTGAGGACAGGCCTGTTACTATATATACCATGAGGACAGGCCTGTTACTATATATACCGTGAGGTCAGGCCTGTTTCTATATATACCGTGAGGACAGGCCTGTTACTATATATACCATGAGGACAGGCCTGTTACTATATATATATTGTCCTGTTACTATATATATACTGTGAGGACAGGCCTGTTACTGTATATACCATGAGGCTAGACCTGTTACTATATATATATACCATGAGGTCAGGCCTGTTTCTATATATACCGTGAGGACAGGCCTGTTACTATATATACCATGAGGACAGGCCTGTTACTATATATACATGTACCATGAGGCCAGGCCTGTTACTATATATATACCATGAGGCCAGGCCTGTTTCTATATATACCGTGAGGACAGGCCTGATACTATATATACCGTGAGGACAGGCCTGTTACTATATATACCGTGAGGCCAGGCCTGTTTCTATGTATACCGTGAGGACAGGCCAGTTACTATATATATTGTGAGGCCAGGCCTGTTACTATATATACCGTGAGGACAGGCCTGTTACTATATATATTGTGAGGACAGGCCTGTTACTATATATATTGTGAGGCCAGGCCTGTTACTATATATACCACTAGGACAGGCCTGTTACTATATATATTGTGAGGCCAGGCCTGTTACTATATATACCGTGAGGACAGGCCTGTTACTATATATATTGTGAGGTCAGGCCTGTTACTATATATATTGTGAGGTCAGGCCTGTTTCTATATATACCGTGAGGCCAGGCCTGTTTCTATATATACCGTGAGGACAGGCCTGTTACTATGTATACCACTAGGACAGGCTTGTTACTATATATATGGTGAGGCCAGGCCTGTTACTACATATACCTTGAGAACAGGCCTGTTACTATATATACCGTGCGGACAGGCCTGTTACTATATATATTGTGAGGCCGGGCCTGTTACTATATATACCTTGAGAACAGGCCTGTTACTACATATACCTTGAGAACAGGCCTGTTACTATATATACCTTGAGAACAGGCCTGTTTCTATATATACCTTGAGAACAGGCCTGTTACTATATATACCACTAGGCCAGGCCTGTTACTACATATACCTTGAGAACAGGCCTGTTACTGTATATACCTTGAGAACAGGCCTGTTACTATATATACCTTGAGAACAGGCCTGTTACTATATATACCTTGAGAACAGGCCTGTTACTATATATACCGTGAGACCAGGCCTGTTTCTATATATACCGTGAGGACAGGCCTGTTGCTATATATATTGTGAGGCCAGGCCTGTTACTATATATACCATGAGGACAGGCCTGTTACTATATATATTGTGAGGACAGGCCTGTTACTACATATACCTTGAGAACAGGCCTGTTACTATATATACCTTGAGAACAGGCCTGTTTCTATATATACCTTGAGAACAGGCCTGTTACTATATATACCACTAGGCCAGGCCTGTTACTACATATACCTTGAGAACAGGCCTGTTACTGTATATACCTTGAGAACAGGCCTGTTACTATATATACCTTGAGAACAGGCCTGTTACTATATATACCTTGAGAACAGGCCTGTTACTATATATACCGTGAGACCAGGTCTGTTTCTATATATACCGTGAGGGCAGGCCTGTTGCTATATATATTGTGAGGCCAGGCCTGTTACTATATATACCGTGAGGACAGGCCTGTTACTATATATATTGTGAGGACAGGCCTGTTACTATATATATTGTGAGGCCAGGCCTGTTACTATATATACCACTAGGACAGGCTTGTTACTATATATATTGTGAGGCCAGGCCTTTTACTATATATACCGTGAGGACAGGCCTGTTACTATATATATTGTGAGGACAGGCCTGTTACTATATATATACCATGAGGACAGGCCTGTTTCTATATATATTGTGAGGCCAGGCCTGTTACTATATATACCACTAGGACAGGCCTGTTACTATATATATTGTGAGGTCAGGCCTGTTACTATATATATTGTGAGGTCAGGCCTGTTTCTATATATACCGTGAGACCAGGCCTGTTTCTATATATACAGTGAGGACAGGCCTGTTACTATATATACCACTAGGACAGGCTTGTTACTATATATATGGTGAGGCCAGGCCTGTTACTACATATACCTTGAGAACAGGCCTGTTACTATATATACCGTGCGGACAGGCCTGTTACTATATATATTGTGAGGCCGGGCCTGTTACTATATATACCACTAGGCCAGGCCTGTTACTACATATACCTTGAGAACAGGCCTGTTACTATATATACCTTGAGAACAGGCCTGTTTCTATATATACCTTGAGAACAGGCCTGTTACTATATATACCACTAGGCCAGGCCTGTTACTACATATACCTTGAGAACAGGCCTGTTACTGTATATACCTTGAGAACAGGCCTGTTACTATATATACCTTGAGAACAGGCCTGTTACTATATATACCTTGAGAACAGGCCTGTTACTATATATACCACTAGGACAGGCCTGTTACTACATATACCTTGAGAACAGGCCTGTTACTATATATACCTTGAGAACAGGCCTGTTACTATATATACCACTAGGACAGGCCTGTTACTATATATACCTTGAGAACAGGCCTGTTACTATATATACCTTGAGAACAGGCCTGTTACTATATATACCTTGAGAACAGGCCTGTTACTATATATACTTTGAGAACAGGCCTGTTACTACATATACCTTGAGAACAGGCCTGTTACTATTTATTCCTTCATGGTTATTATTCTGATTGTTTATTACCTTATAGGAACTACATCATCCTTCCTCCTGCCTGTTTAGATTGTTTCTACTTGCTTTAATTGTAAAAACATTGGTTTCATAACTCTAATATTTGCGTTTTGTTTATTTTGTGTCATATTTCTGAACTGCAGATACTCCATATCAGTTTGATTTTGTGATCCTGGTGGCTGGATTTAAGAGTAGACAGTCTCCACACCAAGACCTTTATACCACAAAATTATCTTTGCCTTCCTTACATGTATTTGGCGACACTGACAAGGTCATTCAGAAAGGTGAGTCAAGGTTATAAATAAATCTTATTACAGGCAATGTTATAGAAAAGACGCAACAAAGAAAATCAAGCCAAAAAGATTATCAGGAAATAAAATGAATTACCATGACTGTAACCATTTTTGAGGATTGATATCCCTTTGTTGAAGACTCACTTGGATTGTATCTGATTATATCTATACCCTGTCCCGTTTAAACTGGCCTTGTCCAAAGGATCGGTGAACTTATGCCATAGCACAACGTTCTGCATCCATCAACTTTGAACTAACCATCACTACTAGTCATGAACCACGAAAAAAGACTTGGAGACCAAATCTGGTCTGAAGCATCAGTGGGGAATGATAGGGGGAAAAAAAGAACAAATTCTTTAAAATCCTACTCATGTAGGAATGATTGAATTTTGCCCAAATTTGGTCTGAAGCATTCTTGGGTGAAGGGAAACAAGTCTTGTATAAAAGTACGGGTTGCTACCCTGGGACAAGAACGGCAGGACCCAATGGGGAAATAGAGCAAATTCTTTATATCCTCCTTCTCCTGTAGAAATGATAGAAATTTGACCAAAATTGATGAAGTACTCATGACCCATTCTTGAATCTTTGCCTCAGTTCTTGTTTTGTTAGGTCAATGGTTAGGTAGAAGCAGGTCAGTGTATTAAAAAAACTCATTATGTGATGAGGGATGTCTTATAAGATTTTCCTGATCATAAATATTGTTTTCATGGATGTAAAAAGAAACAATTCATATTGGTTTAAATTTTGTCATTGTTTTACGGAAATATTTATGGTTTACAGGGTTTTGATTGAGAAACCCATTTGTGGTAACAGCTTTAAAAAAATGTTTGGTTGTTTAGGATAAGCATGCTCAGGGGAAATAAATGATCCTTCTGATGAGAGTTGATGTCTTTGTAACAGAGATGAGTGAAGAACTCCTTCCCTGCTATTCTGACAAAATGATCCTACAACATCCTGGTGGCCATTTCATCCCTGCCTCCGGACCACAGAAGAAGGTGTACATCGAGTTCTTGGATAGAATGCTCGAGAGGAAGAAAGCACGCACATGATTTTGAGATGTAATAGTTAGCCATTAAAGAGGTAGAATTGTGATGCTTTGTTGATTTATTTGTCAGAAAATTATTTATATTGTTGATCATTTTGAATTACAGTAGAACTTTGTTATGTGGAAATTGGCAGGACTGTGGGAAAACTTCCAAGTTATCTGGGTATTCGATTTTAAGTACGTTCAAATGTTTAGTGTGAAGTTTAGGTAGAGGTGATGAAATACTTTGAATTATACAGGGTCTTTGAGTTATGAGAGTCAGAGTTGAGATTATTCAACTGTATCTTAATTTAATGACTAGATATTAACTAAATAGTGAGATACAGTGAACTTTGATTGAATCATGTTTATAATATCTTTATGGATTTCACATTTTACTCGTATTAACACAGAATACTGAATACATAATAACACCTTGGTTAGTTAGCCCACCATCATCCCTCCGTCTGTCATCCATCCCTAAACAATTATTGTTATCCGTATGAGAAGTACTGGATGGATCTATCTCAAATTGCAGATGTAGGTTCCCCTTGGTCCCTAGTTGTGCCCTTTGATTTTGGGACTGATCAAAAACACAAAATGGCGGACAAGCATCCATCTTTGATTTTTTCAGTGAAGTTTGTCATTACTATTTCTTGAGAAGTACAAGATGGATTTTTCTTAAATTTCATATGCAGGTTTCCCTTAGTCCTCAGTTGTGCCTATTTGATTTTGGGTTAGATCAGAAAGCAAGATGGCCGAAAGGCAGCTATCTTGTATATAAACTTTGAAAGTTTGTGATTGCTATTTCTTGAGAAGTACTTGATAGATATTTCTCAAATTCCATATGTAGCTTTCCTTTGGTCTCTAGTTGTGTCTGTCTGATAAAATAAAAATGGCTGACAGGCTGCCATCTTGTATTTTAACTTTTTGCAAGTTTGTTATTGCTACTTCTCGAGAACTACTGTATAGAACTTTCTCAAATTGGACTGATCAGAAAAATAAAATTGCTGACTGACAGCCATCTTAGATTTTGACTTTGAAAGTTTGTTATTGCTATTTCTGGAGAAGTATGTGATGGTTCTTTCTTAAATTTCACATTTACTTTCCCCTTTATCCCTCGTTGTGCCAATTTGATTTTTTACTTAAAATCACTGCTTATTATGATCAACTGAGCTGATTTTATAAACTAGAGTGTTGAAACCCCATGGGATTTGAGAGCACAATAGAGGAAATATTGCAAATTCTTCAAAATCCCTCTTTTGCATGAATGACATTTGGTCTGCAGGTAAAGTTGGTCTGACCCCTTGGAGCAGTGGAGCCTTAGCCTTATTGTGGATAGAGCTTGAATATCATTCTTTTATTTTGACCAAGTTGATCAGAAGTATCCTTGCGAAAGAGAAACCAATTTTGTGAAAATAATGAGTCTTGATCATGGGACCAGAGGGGATAGTGTAATAGGGAAAAGTTGTAGGTGTGAAATGATTTTGTCAGAGGACTCAATTTTATGTAAACAAAACAGTGGTGGATGGATAACTAAGGCTGGGTATGGGACAGCAAGATGAAAAACAGAGGGAAGAGGTTCAAGTGATGACAGGATTCATCCTTTTTTTTTCTTCCTATTAAAAATTGAATTCATTTTGATGACAAATATTTTATTAGTTAACCTCGTATACAGAGGCAATGATCACAGAGTATTACATAAAACAGTGGAGACTGTAGAGACCAGTCCAATCTTTGTAACTGTCTTGTTTCTTATTTTAACAATATCACACAGTTTGCATTCACTCATCTTCAGTGTAAAAATAAAACTGGTAGTAATCACTGTATTGCACAAACTTGGTTATCAATCAAAAACATACCAAATTGCAATACCAATTTTGATGAAAAAAGCTGCTGAACGCTCTGACCTCTGTTGCCAGCCAAGCCTCTGATCACTGAGCATATCAGTAAAGACATATTACCACCACCTAGTTTTCTAACCATCGCCTTATGTTATCAGACTAGTCTCTCAGCATTGTCCAAATCACCTGACTAGGTCTGGCTATCCATCTATCTAGCAAAGGTCTCTGACCATTGTCCTTGTGTCCATCCCAAGGCTCAGCTAAATGTTTGTGTCAATTCTAGGTTTCTGAGTATTGTCCATCCTACGTTTCTTACTATTGTCCATTTGTCGATTCTAGGTATCTGACCATTGTCCATTTGTCCATCCTAGGTTTCTGACCATTGTCTATTTGTCCATCCTAGGTATCTGACCATTGTCTATTTGTCCATCCTAAGTTTCTGACATTGTCTATTTGTCATGCCAAGGTTTCTGACCATAATGTCCTTTTGTCTTTTAGATTTCTGTTCATTATCCATGTGTCCATCCTGAGTCTATGACCATCATACATTTGTCAAACCTACATTTGTAGGTCTCTCACCAAAGCTAATTAATACAGTACATCAGAAGATGATTTTGTATCTGCAATTGCATTTGAGTTAGTCCATGAGAAAAAGCATGTGAAAAGTAAACCCTGAAGAAGGATTTGTGCAGTGTATGGCGCATGGGTGGGGAGTGGGGGCGGGAGTTTGACCAGTCTGATCTGAAGAAGGTGATGATTTGAGTCCTGGAGCAATGTCTCAACAGAATGCACCTGCAACAGAAGGAATTGAGAAGTGATTACTGGTACGAAAAGTACACTGTTGATGTTAAGATATCCATATTCAATATGTTACTATGACAACATACCTGTTATCACACCCACATGTAATAGTTGTTATGACAACATACATGTTTTCACACTTATATTTAAATGTTGCTATGACAACATAACCATTGTCACACTTATATTTAAATGTTTCTATGACAGCATACCCGTTTAAACACTCATATTTGTCTGTTGTTATGACAACAAACCTGTTCGTATTTAATTGTTGTTATGACAACATATCACACTCACATTTTTGCTAAACATATTATTGTGACATACCTGAGATCACAGGCACATTGTGCATCGCAGAAACTGAAAAAAAAATATGTTCAGTGCTATTTTATTATGACATTGATTTTTTATTTCAAAACAAAAGAATCACAGTAATAATTATTGTATATAGTGTAATTATTGTATATAGTGTAATTATTTATATAGTGTAATTATTGATATAGTGTAATTATTGATATAGTGTAATTATTATTTATATAGTGTAATTATTGTATATAGTGTAATTATTGTTTATATAGTGTATATAGTGTAATTATTATTTATATAGTGTAATTATTGTTTATATAGTGTAATTATTTATATAGTGTAATTATTGTTTATATAGTGTAATTATTGTTTATATAGTGTAATTATTGTTTATATAGTGTAATTATTGTTTATATAGTGTAATTATTGTTTATATAGTGTAATTATTATTTATATAGTGTAATTATTGTATATAGTGTAATTATTGTTTATATAGTGTAATTATTATTTATATAGTGTAATTATTTATATAGTGTAATTATTATGTATATAGTGTAATTATTATTTATATAGTGTAATTATTGTTTATATAGTGTAATTATTGTTTATATAGTGTAATTATTGTTTATATAGTGTAATTATTATTTATATAGTGTAATTATTGTATATAGTGTAATTATTGTTTATATAGTGTAATTATTATTTATATAGTGTAATTATTTATATAGTGTAATTATTATGTATATAGTGTAATTATTATTTATATAGTGTAATTATTTATATAGTGTAATTATTGTATATAGTGTAATTATTGTTTATATAGTGTAATTATTTATATAGTGTAATTATTGTTTATATAGTGTAATTATTATTTATATAGTGTAATTATTGTTTATATAGTGTAATTATTTATATAGTGTAATTATTGTATATAGTGTAATTATTGTTTATATAGTGTAATTATTTATATAGTGTAATTATTGTATATAGTGTAATTATTGTTTATATAGTGTAATTATTATTTATATAGTGTAATTATTTATATAGTGTAATTATTGTATATAGTGTAATTATTGTTTATATAGTGTAATTATTATTTATATAGTGTAATTATTGTTTATATAGTGTAATTATTTATATAGTGTAATTATTGTATATAGTGTAATTATTGTTTATATAGTGTAATTATTGATATAGTGTAATTATTATTTATATAGTGTAATTATTGTATATAGTGTAATTATTGTTTATATAGTGTAATTATTGTTTATATAGTGTAATTATTTATATAGTGTAATTATTTATATAGTGTAATTATTGTTTATATAGTGTTATTATTGTATATAGTGTAATTATTGTTTATATAGTGTAATTATTAATATAGTGTAATTATTGTATATAGTGTAATTATTGTTTATATAGTGTAATTATTGTATATAGTGTAATTATTGTTTATATAGTGTAATTATTATTTATATAGTGTAATTATTGTATATAGTGTAATTATTGTTTATATAGTGTAATTATTTATATAGTGTAATTATTTATATAGTGTAATTATTGTTTATATAGTGTAATTATTGTATATAGTGTAATTATTGTTTATATAGTGTAATTATTAATATAGTGTAATTATTGTATATAGTGTAATTATTTATATAGTGTAATTATTGTTTATATAGTGTAATTATTGTATATAGTGTAATTATTGTTTATATAGTGTAATTATTGTATATAGTGTAATTATTATTTATATAGTGTAATTATTGTTTATATAGTGTAATTATTCTTTATATAGTGTAATTATTATTTATATAGTGTAATTATTGTATATAGTGTAATTATTGTTTATATAGTGTAATTATTGTATATAGTGTAATTATTTATATAGTGTAATTATTATTTATATAGTGTAATTATTATTTATATAGTGTAATTATTATTTATATAGTGTAATTATTGTATATAGTGTAATTATTGTTTATATAGTGTAATTATTATTTATATAGTGTAATTATTCTTTATATAGTGTAATTATTATTTATATAGTGTAATTATTTATATAGTGTAATTATTTATATAGTGTAATTATTATTTATATAGTGTAATTATTTATATAGTGTAATTATATATATAGTGTAATTATTATTTATATAGTGTAATTATTATTTATATAGTGTAATTATTGTATATAGTGTAATTATTGTTTATATAGTGTAATTATTATTTATATAGTGTAATTATTGTATATAGTGTAATTATTGTTTATATAGTGTAATTATTTATATAGTGTAATTATTTATATAGTGTAATTATTATTTATATAGTGTAATTATTTATATAGTGTAATTATTATTTATATAGTGTAATTATTTATATAGTGTAATTATTTTATATAGTGTAATTATTGTTTATAGTGTAATTATTATTTATTGTGTAATTATTATTTATACGTTGTAATTCCTGTATATATCAAATGTAATGATTATCTTTACTATTGTTTATACAGTGTAATTATCGTCTTGAGTGAGACCTCTGGTCATCCTTACATCATCATAGCCAAAGGTACTAGTACCGGTCTCCTGTCCATGTTGTTGTTGGTCTCGCCGCCGGAACGCATCTGTGGCAATAAAAAATACTGACATCAGTAATTGAAACCTTATCTTGATATAAAACCACTGTAGCCAGGACAGTAACATACAATGTAAACCCTCTGTAGACAGGACAGTAACATACAATATAAAACCTCTGTAGACAGGACAGTAAAATACAATATAATAGCTCTGTAGACAGGACAGTAACATACAATATAAAACTTTGTAGACAGGACAGTAACATACATTGTAAAGTCTTTGTAGACAGGAGAGTACATACAATGTAAAACGTCTGTAGACAGGACAGTAACATACAATGTAAAACCTCTGTAGACAGGACAGTAACATACAATGTAAAACCTCTGTAGACAGGACATTAACTTACAATGTAAAACCTCTGTAGACAGGACAGTAACATACAATGTAAAACCACTGTAGACAGGACATTAACTTACAATGCAAAACCTCTGTAGACAGGTCAGTAACATACAATGTAAATAGCAAAATATATGAAATTTCTGTATTCTACAGAGCACATAAAAGCTCATATTTTTGCATGAACATTAAACAATTACATAAGTTCAATATATGGCTAGAACTGAGAGAGAGGCTGTTGCAGAAGACTATCTACATATTATGTACGTCTCCAACAAAACTGGTCAAACCACCATTTATTCCTTCATGCCTATCAATATACTGGTACGTTGTATGATGTGATTTCTAAGTAAAGAATATGAAGGCATAAATCTGATCTCAAACTTACCTGTTAAGGCCCGAAGTTTGACACACACAGTTACAAAGTCGTCAAATGAAAGCACACATCTTCCATTGGGTTCAACATAGGAAAACCTTTTCAACAGTGTTGTCACACACTCTTGTGACAGATTAAAACCTGAAACAGATCAAGGTCAATACCTGATTCTCAGCTCAAACCTGGTGTAAGTTAGTGATTACTGATATCATTAGACACAACCTGGTGTAAGTTAGTGATTACTGATATCATTAGACACAACCTGGTGTAAGTTAGTGATTACTGATATCACTAGACACAAATAACCTGGTGTAAGTTAGTGATTACTGATATCATTAGACACAACCTGGTGTAAGTTAGTGATAATTGATATCATTAGACACAACCTGGTGTAAGTTAGTGATTACTGATATTATTAGACACAAATAACCTGGTGTAAGTTAGTGATTACTGATATCATTAGACACAACCTGGTGTAAGTTAGTGATAACTGATATCATTAGACACAACCTGGTGTAAGTTAGTGATTACTGATATCATTAGACACAACCTGGTGTAAGTTAGTGAATACTGATATCATTAGACACAAATAACCTGGTGTAACTTAGTGATTACTGATATCATCAGACACAACCTGGTGTAAGTTAGTGATTACTGATATCATTAGACACAACCTGGTGTAAGTTAGTGATTACTGATATCATTAGACACAACCTGGTGTAAGTTAGTGAATACTGATATCATTAGACACAAATAACCTGGTGTAAGTTAGTGATTACTGATATCATCAGACACAACCTGGTGTAAGTTAGTGATTACTGATATCATTAGACACAACCTGGTGTAAGTTAGTGATTACTGATATCATTAGACACAAATAACCTGGTGTAAGTTAGTGATTACTGATATCATTAGACACTAATAACCTGGTGTAAGTTAGTGATTACTGATATCATTAGACACAACCTGGTGTAAATTAGTGATAACCGATATCATTAGACACAAATAACCTGGTGTAAGTTAGTGATTACTGATATCATTAGACACAACCTGGTGTAAGTTAGTGAATACTGATATCATTAGACACTAAAAACCTGGTGTAAGTTAGTGATTACTGATATCATTAGACACAACCTGGTGTAAGTTAGTGATTACTGATATCATTAGACACAACCTGGTGTAAGTTAGTGATTACTGATATCATTAGACACAACCTGGTGTAAGTTAGTGATAACGGATATCATTAGACACAACCTGGTGTAAGTTAGTGATTACTGATATCATTAGACACAACCTGGTGTAAGTTAGTGATTACTGATATCACTAGACACAAATAACCTGGTGTAAGTTAGTGATTACTGATATCATTAGACACAACCTGGTGTAAGTTAGTGATTACTGATATCATTAGACACAACCTGGTGTAAGTTAGTGATTACTGATATCATTAGACACAACCTGGTGTAAGTTAGTGATTACTGATATCACTAGACACAAATAACCTGGTGTAAGTTAGTGATTACTGATATCATCAGACACAACCTGATGTAAGTTAGTGATTACTGATATCATTAGACACAACCTGGTGTAAGATAGTGATTACTGATATCATTAGACACAACCTGGTGTAAGTTAGTGATTACTGATATCATTAGACACTAATAACCTGGTGTAAGTTAGTGATTACTGATATCATTAGACACAACCTGGTGTAAGTTAGTGATTACTGATATCATTAGACACAACCTGGTGTAAGTTAGTGATTACTGATATCATTAGACACAACCTGGTGTAAGTTCTACACTGATATCCTCTAATAAATTCCTGTACACTTACGGAATTGATTTTTCACCACAGTAATAAGTTCATTGGCATCAGCTTTGTTATTGCGGTCCATGTCATGGGTCTGAAACATTCTGTACCATGCAATCAGACACTGTTGTAACTCCATAAACTCCTCCCACTGCAGAAATCCATCTCCTGATCGCTCGACTTTGGTCAAGGTAGAACTCCAGTAAAATCTCACAGAATCATTAGTTTGTGAGATATCATCCCTAGGCTTTTGACTTGAAATGTCACAATTATGTTTTTGTTACAAATTTTGATTGATACAGTGATGAATTATTACACAATGTACCCAATTTTTGTTTCATTGATTTTGGAAAAATAATCAGTTTAAATAACTTCCAATACAAAACTATCAACTCTGGAAACCTGGATTCCTTCCAACTTAGACAATTTAACATTTTATTATTTAATGTAAAGGATACATCCAACATAGCAACCATTACTCTGAAACAAAAATAATCAGTACATCAATATCATGTAAAACAGTAGGTCATACTACATACAACTGTCACCATCATGTCCCTCTACACAGTAGGTCATACTACATACAACTGTCACCATCATGTCCCTCTACACAGTAGGTCATACTACATACAACTGTCACCGTCATGTCCCTCTACACAGTAGGTCATACTACATACAACTGTCACCGTCATGTCCCTCTACACAGTAGGTCATACTACATACAACTGTCACCATCATGTCCCTCTACACAGTAGGTCATACTACATACAACTGTCACCATCATGTCCTTCTACACAGTAGGTCATACTACATACAACTGTCACCATCATGTCCCTCTCAGTAGGTCATACTACATACAACTGTCACCATCATGTCCCTCTACACAGTAGGTCATACTACATACAGCTGTCACCATCATGTCCTTCTACACAGTAGGTCATACTACATACAACTGTCACCATCATGTCCCTCTACACAGTAGGTCATACTACATACAGCTGTCACCATCATGTCCCTCTCAGTAGGTCATACTACATACAACTGTCACCATCATGTCCCTCTACACAGTAGGTCATACTACATACAGCTGTCACCATCATGTCCTTCTACACAGTAGGTCATACTACATACAACTGTCACCATCATGTCCCTCTACACAGTAGGTCATACTACATACAGCTGTCACCATCATGTCCTTCTACACAGTAGGTCATACTACATACAACTGTCACCATCATGTCCCTCTACACAGTAGGTCATACTACATACAACTGTCACCATCATGTCCCTCTACACAGTAGGTCATACTACATACAACTGTCACCATCATGTCCCTCTACACAGTAGGTCATACTACATACAGCTGTCACCATCATGTCCCTCTACACAGTAGGTCATACTACATACAACTGTCACCATCATGTCCCTCTACACAGTAGGTCATACTACATACAACTGTCACCATCATGTCCCTCTACACAGTAGGTCATACTACATACAACTGTCACCATCATGTCCCTCTACACAGTAGGTCATACTACATACAGCTGTCACCATCATGTCCTTCTACACAGTAGGTCATACTACATACAACTGTCACCATCATGTCCCTCTACACAGTAGGTCATACTACATACAACTGTCACCATCATGTCCCTCTACACAGTAGGTCATACTACATACAACTGTCACCATCATGTCCTTCTACACAGTAGGTCATACTACATACAACTGTCACCATCATGTCCCTCTACACAGTAGGTCATACTACATACAACTGTCACCATCATGTCCCTCTACACAGTAGGTCATACTACATACAACTGTCACCATCATGTCCCTCTACACAGTAGGTCATACTACATACAACTGTCACCATCATGTCCCTCTACACAGTAGGTCATACTACATACAACTGTCACCGTCATGTCCCTCTACACAGTAGGTCATACTACATACAGCTGTCACCGTCATGTCCCTCTACACAGTAGGTCATACTACATACAGCTGTCACCGTCATGTCCCTCTACACAGTAGGTCATACTACATACAGCTGTCACCGTCATGTCCCTCTACACAGTAGGTCATACTACATACAGCTGTCACCGTCATGTCCCTCTACACAGTATGTCATACTACATACAGCTGTCACCGTCATGTCCCTCTACACAGTAGGTCATACTACATACAGCTGTCACCGTCATGTCCCTCTACACAGTAGGTCATACTACATACAACTGTCACCGTCATGTCCCTCTACACAGTAGGTCATACTACATACAACTGTCACCATCATGTCCCTCTACACAGTAGGTCATACTACATACAACTGTCACCATCATGTCCCTCTCAGTAGGTCATACTACATACAACTGTCACCATCATGTCCCTCTACACAGTAGGTCATACTACATACAACTGTCACCATCATGTCCTTCTACACAGTAGGTCATACTACATACAGCTGTCACCATCATGTCCCTCTACACAGTAGGTCATACTACATACAGCTGTCACCATCATGTCCCTCTACACAGTAGATCATACTACATACAGCTGTCACCATCATGTCCCTCTACACAGTAGTTCATACTACATACAACTGTCACTATCATGTCCCTCTACACAGTAGGTCATTAATATATTTAACTTTCATCATCATCATCATCATCATCATCATCATCATCATCATCATCATCATCATCATCATCATCATCATCATCATCATCTAGATGGTGACACAGTATACAGTTGGTGGTGCCACAGTATACACTGAGTGGTGCCACAGTATACACTGGGTGGTGTCGCAGTATTCACTTTATGGTGCCTCCGTATACACTTGTAGGTTCCAAAGTATATACTGAGTGGTGCCACAGTATACACTGGGTGGTGCCACAGTTTACACTTGGTGGTGTCACAGTATACACTGTGTGGTTCCACAGTATACACTGGTTGGTGCCACAGTATACACTGGGTAGTGCCACAGTATACACAGGCTGGTGCCACAGTGTACACTTGGTGGTGTCACAGTATACACTGTGTGGTGTCACAGTATACACTGGTTGGTGCCACAGTATACACTGGGTGGTGCCACAGTATATACTGGGTGGTGCCACAGTATACACTTGGTGGTGCCACAGTATATACTGAGTGGTGCCACAGTATACACTTGTTGGTGTCACAGTATACACTGGGTGGTTCCAAAGTATACACTCGGTGGTGCCACAGTATACACAGGCTGGTGCCACAGTATACACTGGGTGGTGCCACAGTATACACTTGGTGGTGTCACAGTATACACTGTGTGGTTCCACAGTATACTGGATGGTGCCACAGTGTACACAGGCTGGTGCAACAGTATAAACTGGGTGGTGTCACAGTATACACTGGTTGGTGCTAAAGTATACACTGGGTGGTGCCACAGTATACACTTGGTTGTGCCACAGTATACACTGGGTGATGCCACAGTGTTCACTTGGTAGTGCCTCAGTATACACTGGGTGGTGCCACAGTATACACAGTGGAGCCACAGTTTACACAGTGGAGCCACAGTATACACAGTGGAGCCACAGTATACTGGGTGGTGCCAATGTATACACAGGGTGGTGCCACAGTATTCACTGAGTGGTGTCACAGTATACACCGGGTGGTGGCACAGTATACACTGATTATTGCTACAGTATACACTGGGTGGTGCCACAGTATTCACTGGGTGATGCCACAGTATACACTGGGTGGTGCCACAGTATACACTTGGCGGTGCCATAGAATACACTGAATGGTTCCACAGTATACACTGGGTGGTGCCACAGTATACTGGGTGGTGCCACAGTATACACAGGCTGGTGCCACAGTATACACTGGGTGGTGCCACAGTATACACTGGTTTCTGCTACATTATACACTGGGTGGTGCCACAGTATACACAGTGGAGCCACAGTTTACACAGTGGAGCCACAGTATACACAGTGGAGCCACAGTATACTGGGTGGTGCCAATGTATACACAGGGTGGTGCCACAGTATTCACTGAGTGGTGTTACAGTATACACCAGGTGGTGGCACAGTATACACTGGTTAGTGCTACAGTATACACTGGGTGGTGCCACAGTATACACTGGTTAGTGCCACAGTATACACTTGTGTGATTGGTGGCACAGTATACACTAGGTAGTGCCACAGTATACTGGGTGGTGCCACAGTATACTGGATGGTGCCACAGTATACACAGGCTGATGCAACAGTATTCACTGGGTGGTGCCACAGTATACACTGGTTTGTGCTACAGTATACACTGGGTAGTGCCACAGTATTCACTGGATGGTTCCACAGTATGCACTGGTTTGTGCTACAGTATACACTGGGTGGTGCCACACCACAGTACACACTGGATAGTGCCACAGTATACACTTGATGGTGCCACAGTATACACTGGTTTCTGCTACATTATACACTGGGTGGTGCCACAGTATACACTGTGGTGCCACAGAACACAGGGTGGTGTCACAGTATTCACTGAGTGGTGTTACAGTATACACCAGGTGGTGGCACAGTATACACTGGTTAGTGCTACAGTATACACTGGGTGGTGCCACAGTATACACTGGGTAGTGCCACAGTATACACAGGCTGATGCCACAGTATTCACTAGGTGCCACACCACAGTATTCACTGGATAGTTCCACAGTATACACTTGATGGTGCCACAGTATACACTGGGTGGTGCCACAGTATACACAGGCTGGTGCCACAGTATTCACTGGGTTGTGCCACAGTATACACTGGTTTGTGCTACAGTATACACTGGGTGGTGCCATGCCACAGTACACACTGGATAGTGCCACAGTATACACTTGATGGTGCCACAGTATACACTGGGTGGTGCCACAGTATACACAATGTGTTGTACTTACTTACAGAGCTCCCTGCTCCAGTTTACTGTGTAGGAAGAAACAAAAAATACTATCAATTTAATAGGAAACACAAGAGCGAGGATGAATAGACATGAATAAGACAAGAGGTTTAAGATAAATAGGCATTACATAATGAGTGGTTGTTGTATATGATATTCCATACACTTGCTCAATCTCATGAGATAATAAAAAATAAAACCACATGTCATTTGGTTCTACCATAATAAAAACTATTCTGAATGTGAAGTGCTCTATTATATTATGTTCTGTACCAATATTAACATGTGATTTGGTTATGTAATCAGTTTGGGTGAAATTATATGATATATAGAGAAATGTCAAAATTAATAAGCAAAATCGACAATTCCAGAAAACCATGGGAATACTATGATTAATTACAAGTCATGAAAAGTAATAAATCAAACTTATTTTCAAAGAAATCAATTGATAAATCCATATCAAAATCAAATTATAACAAAAACAGTTGTGAACTGCTTGTTGTATGTTTTAAATTTCCATGAGTGGATGGAATGCCCTTTCAGTCAAAGTTCCACTTCTCAACCAATCAAAATGCCGAAAGGTCATATACCACTAGTGGTATATATGATACATATTCCTTTATCCAAACATCAGCCTGTTTAATCAATGGTTTGAAAATGGAATAACACAATATTTTGTGGTAGAAAATGAACATTTTTCAGAACCTTAAATACTATTCATTTTAATGCAATGCCTATGTTTAGTTGTACCTAAATAGATACAATTCAATTCAAGAGTAGTGTTCTGTGAAGAATTTCAATTTTAATCACTAATACTTTCAAGTGGATGGACATTAAATTTTTTGTTGACAAATATTAAATCATCTGAGTTTAAATAAATTTTCAAACAAACAAAAAAAGAGAGATATATTTAGAAGGAAATCTTTGTTTCTCTTCAAATACATTTGAAAACAATAAACTGTATTAATTTTACAAAAAATGCAAAACAAGCTATGAGATCTGAAAACAACAAAACCTTTCCACATCTTGGTCACCAAGGTGAAAGGCTAATGTGTTATCCCTGTACCATTCCCCTTTAGATCTGAAAACTGACACAAAACCTTTCCACATCTTGGTCACCAAGGTGAAAGGCTAATGTGTTATCCCTGTACCATTCCCCTTTAGATCTGAAAACTGACACAAAACCTTTCCACATCTTGGTCACCTAGGTGAAAGGCTAATGTGTTATTTCTGTACCATTCCCCTTTAGATCTAAAAATACAAAACCTTTCCTCATCTTGGTCACCAAGGTGAAAGGCTAATGTGTTATCCCTGTACCATTCCCCTTTAGATCTGAAAACTGACACAAAACCTTTCCACATCTTGGTCACCAAGGTGAAAGGCTAATGTGTTATACCTGTACCATTCCCCTTTAGATCTGAAAACTGACACAAAACCTTTCCACATCTTGGTCACCTAGGTGAAAGGCTAATGTGTTATTTCTGTACCATTCCCCTTTAGATCTAAAAATACAAAACCTTTCCTCATCTTGGTCACCTAGGTGAAAGGCTAATGTGTTATCCCTATACCATTTCCTGTTATATTTGCATATGAGGCTGAGTTTCTTGAAGAGCTTATCAAAACAGGTCACAATGACCTTGAAAAGTCATTAAAGAGTTTTACTTTCAGATATATTGATGATGTCTTGTCTTTTAATAACAAGAAATTTATTGACCATGTTCATCCTACATATCCACCAGAATGAGAAATCAAAGACACATTCGTTCAACTATTTGCTTGTCATTTTATACTTTGTTCTCATTTGAGAATGTGACATTACTTAATTGAATTGATGGAGATTTACATGGTGGGTGTCAGCGATGAAGCAGAAGATGCTTACTCTTCTGGGACATCTGGTTGTTTTCTCCTTGTACATTTTCAGGAGTCTCCATGTAAATCATTCTTTTGTTCATATTTTGCCCTAGTTTTATTAAATTTGTGTTTAGATTATGATTTTGCTGACACATTGGTATTTTTTTTGTTTTTTTACGAAGCTTTTGTGGTCCTTACAGTAATATTTACTTACTGTTAAAGAAACTTCGGATCTCAGAGGAATTATTCATTATCCCTACGAGGTCCTCTGACTGGATTGCCCTTCGCATCTACAATGATCAAAATACTGATTGGTTATAATCCACAATAGTCTACAATCAGAGGTACATTGTAAGAACTGGCAATCACTGTACTGTACAGCCAGTCTCACTTACCTTAACTTTTTAATATTCATTTGTACTTTAAACTGAATAAGGTTTCTGACAACCAAGTAGCTTTCTAATAAATAGCAAGAGAATATTGTAATTGACACATGAATTATAACATTGAATTTTAGTTTGAACATACTGTATTCGGTTTGGGGGATTTCATTCTCTTTAAGCTGTATGACCATATGTTAAGTGCTGAGAGCAACTGGATATCTATAATGTTCTCCATATGAACAGAACTCACTATTAGTTAGTATAATACTGAAACTGTAGTCAAACTCACAGATATACATACCCTATTTTGCTCATTTGACTGGACACTTTGATCAAAAAGAATCTGTAGTTCATTAGGGCTGTTAAATCCAAGAGCCTGCAAAACAAAATGGTTGTTGTGTAGTGATTTAACATTCAAACTTTTCTTTTTTTCCCCAACTGGAAAAAAAGTACAAAAATATCCCCAAAAACGAAGATTTTTCTAAATGAACCATGGATCAGTTTGTAAAGATTTAACATGGTTATTTACAGTGTTATGGCTCAATTAGTCAGTACTGTAAAATATCATTTAATAATTATTTAATATATGTACTTATGATTTTATTCAATTTTAACACGACACAACTTTTTCACATTTCATTCACAGCCTTTTCCATTAAGAAATTATGTACACCACACATCTTTACCAGTGGATAGAATAATACCAGCTGGACAAGACACAAGGAGGTCAGGGGGACAAATAAGTCAGGATGAGGGTTATAAATGAATGTAAGAGTAGAGCACAATGAAGGCCAGGGAGCAGGACAAACTAAGGCCAAGGGAAGGTGACAAATGAAGGTCAGGGTAAAGATACACATTAAGGTTAGGGTAAGGGCACAAATTAAGGTAAGGGTAAGGGCACAAATTAAGGCCAGGGAAAGTGACAAATGAAGGTCAGGGTAAAGATACACATTAAGGTTAGGGTAAGGGCACAAATTAAGGCCAGGGAAAGTGACAAATGAAGGTCAGGGTAAAGATACACATTAAGGTTAGGGTAAGGGCACAAATTAAGGCCAGGGAAGGTGACAAATGAAGGTAGGACATTAAGGTTAGGGTAAGGGCACAAACTGAGGTAAGGGTAAGGACAAAAATTAAGGCCAGGGAAGGTGACAATGAAGATCTGGCAGAGGGTGTAAAAGAAAGTCAGCCGGAGCGGGCAAATGGAGTCAGTAGTGAGGTTGTTGAAAATAAAGATCAGGTAAAGGGACAAAGTGAAATCTGTGGGAGGGGACAAACTGGGTTACGGGAAGGGACCAAATAAAGAAAGAATGTGGGGGGAAAATGAGAGACTGGGAAAGAAGTAAAATGAGATAACATTAAGGTTGACAAGAGAAGGACGTGAAAGGGGAGGGGGGGGGGACAAATGAAGGTATGGGGGAGGGATGCAGGGAGTAATGGAGGTCTGTCAGAGAGAAGTGTATGATTAAAGCATTTCTCCCTAGTTTTATAAGGAATCAAACATATACGGTTGCAGGGTTGAATAGGATTTTTTCCATGTTTGCTAAAGAAAACTGTTAGCTATAGGGTTGTTTATAGGGTGTATTTTTCATACGTTTTGGTTATTTTCCTTTCATCACGTTGAATATTGAATTCTGGTGATGACATAAAGAACGGTGCAACTTCTGTACGTACAAGAGGTACTGCGTCGGCGCCCGTCAAAATTACTTGTCGAGTTGGACATCTAACATTGTTGGTGTACATGAATTAACAATCCCTTTCGGGGTTCCTCCTTGGTGCTCATTTATATCGGACGTTTGACAATGTCCCTAGTCGGAGGAATACCAAAAAGGATTAATGTGTACATGCTTACTGTCACTAATGTGTTTTAGCGTCCCTGTGTGTGTATCTATATTTACATATCAGATATGTCATCAGCTGTTTTTACCAACCTGCCAGGCGTTACACGCGAATGCGTCACGCTGCAAAACCTGTCCATATCCGCCATAATGTTGGCTTGGTTGTTGGTAGTGCTGGTAGTTTTGCTGGTAGTACGCCATTATTCCAAGTCTTTCTAATGCTTGTATGACAGGTGCTTGTTTACATTGTTGCTAGGTAAACATTCTAATCAATAAACCGACAAAAATCCCGAACTATCCGTATTTTTTGTTTTTCGTTTTTTAAAGTTACTAACTAACCTTCATCATCCCATCTATGTAATTTTGGGAAACGTATCTGAAATTTATAGTTTTGCCAATGGATGTAGAATGCACTTAGGCATCAAAATACCAAAGGATTCTTTACACCAAATTTGGTAAAACTCGCATCATACAGAAGACCAGGAATCACACAGAATTCCCTCTCTGACTTAGACCTACTCCTTAAACCCCTGAGGGTCCAGATTTATACCACTACTTATACAAAATTGTGTTCCTTGCCCACATGATGCCATTGACAAAATGTGGTGAAAATATTTTCATCCCAACAACAAAAAGAAGCATTTCAACGATTTTCTTAGTATATATCATGTCAATTTTTTTTAATTCCCTCAACTTTTTTCTGTAAACACTAATAATCATAATCAACTAAGTGGATTTTGACTAAATTTGGTTTAAAAGCATCCTCAGGGAACAGGAACCAGTTTGACATGAGCATCCTTGGTAAAGGGGACTCAAAATAAACAGTACCAGTGGGTCTGAACCCTGCCTGGCCTGATCGCTAAGACACAATGCTGGTATACACTTAAACAACACCTTTTTGTCAGAGGTTGTCTATAAAAACATTGTCAGCAACCACAAAAGCAGTCAATTTTTGTGAAGTGTTGTGTCTGCAAAAAGTTTAACATGTAAATACCATCTCTCTAAACAAGCTTATAAAAGTTTGCCAGCCAAAATTTTGACCTGTGACTATCTCCCTCATAACAGTTTGTCTACCAAAAGTTTACTCTGTGACTATCTCCCTCATAACAGTTTGTCTACCAAAAGTTTACTCTGTGACTATCTCCCTCATAACAGTTTGTCTACCAAAAGTTTACTCTGTGACTATCTCCCTCATAACAGTTTGTCTACAAAAAGTTTACTCTGTGACTATCTCCCTCATAACAGTTTGTCTACCAGAAGTTTACTCTGTTACTATCTCCCTCATAACAGTTTGTCTACAAAAAGTTTACTCTGTGACTATCTCCCTCATAACAGTTTGTCTACCAAAAGTTTACTCTGTGACTATCTCCCTCATAACAGTTTGTCTACCAAAAGTTTACTCTGTGACTATCTCCCTCATAACAGTTTGTCTACAAAAAGTTTACTCTGTGACTATCTCCCTCATAACAGTTTGTCTACCAAAAGTTTACTCTGTGACTATCTCCCTCATAACAGTTTGTCTACCAAAAGTTTACTCTGTGACTATCTCCCTCATAACAGTTTGTCTACCAAAAGTTTACTCTGTGACTATCTCCCTCATAACAGTTTGTCTACAAAAAGTTTACTCTGTGACTATCTCCCTCATAACAGTTTGTCTACCAGAAGTTTACTCTGTTACTATCTCCCTCATAACAGTTTGTCTACAAAAAGTTTACTCTGTGACTATCTCCCTCATAACAGTTTGTCTACAAAAAGTTTACTCTGTGACTATCTCCCTCATAACAGTTTGTCTACCAGAAGTTTACTCTGTTACTATCTCCCTCATAACAGTTTGTCTACAAAAAGTTTACTCTGTGACTATCTCCCTCATAACAGTTTGTCTACCAAAAGTTTACTCTGTGACTATCTCCCTCATAACAGTTTGTCTACCAAAAGTTTACTCTGTGACTATCTCCCTCATAACAGTTTGTCTACAAAAAGTTTACTCTGTGACTATCTCCCTCATAACAGTTTGTCTACCAAAAGTTTACTCTGTGACTATCTCCCTCATAACAGTTTGTCTACAAAAAGTTTACTCTGTGACCATCTCCCTCATAACAGTTTGTCTACCAAAAGTTTACTCTGTGACTATCTCCCTCATAACAGTTTGTCTACAAAAAGTTTACTCTGTGACTATCTCCCTCATAACAGTTTGTCTACCAAAAGTTTACTCTGTGACTATCTCCCTCATAACAGTTTGTCTACAAAAAGTTTACTCTGTGACCATCTCCCTCATAACAGTTTGTCTACCAAAAGTTTACTCTGTGACTATCTCCCTCATAACAGTTTGTCTACAAAAAGTTTACTCTGTGACCATCTCCCTCATAACAGTTTGTCTACAAAAAGTTTACTCTGTGACTATCTCCCTCATAACAGTTTGTCTACCAAAAGTTTACTCTGTGACTATCTCCCTCGAGAAATATAGCAAATTTTCTTCTTGTATTCCATAGCAACAGTTCTAGAAGCACCTGATTGGTCAAATTGCAGGCATTGATAAGTTACACCATTGATCAGAGAATTGATGAGTTACAGCCATTACAATAAAATCTGTTTATAGTGACCTGGTAACCATGGCAACCCAAATTTCTGCTAAATAAAAAAAAAGCCACTGGTAAGGATTTCTGTACAGTCACCATTAGCTACATTGTACTGATAAAGGCTTCTGTACAGTCACCACTAGCTAACTTGTACTGGTAAAGTCCTATGATAACAGGTAAACTACATTTTTGTTACCAACATGAGAATATTTCCATCTTGTACAAGGTCACCACTAGCTACCTTGTACAGGTAAAGACTTCTGTACAAAGTCACCACTAGCTACCTTGTACTGGTAAAGATTTCTGTACAAAGTCACCACTAGCTACATTGTACTGGTAAAGATTTCTGTACAAAGTCATCACTAGCTACATTGTACTGGTAAAGATTTCTGTACAAAGTCATCACTAGCTACCTTGTACTGTAAAGATTTCTGTACAAAGTCACCACTAGCTACCTTGTACTGGTAAAGATTTCTGTACAGTCACCACTAGCTACATTGTACTGGTAAAGATTTCTGTACAAAGTCACCACTAGCTACCTTGTACTGGTAAAGATTTCTATACAGTCACCACTAGCTACCTTGTACTGTAAAGATTTCTGTAAAAAGTCACCACTAGCTACCTTGTACTGTAAAGATTTCTGTACAAAGTCACCACTAGCTACCTTGTACTGGTAAAGATTTCTATACAGTCACCACTAGCTACCTTGTACTGTAAAGATTTCTGTACAAAGTCACCACTAGCTACCTTGTACTGGTAAAGATTTCTGTACAGTCACCACTAGCTACATTGTACTGGTAAAGATTTCTGTACAAAGTCACCACTAGCTACCTTGTACTGGTAAAGATTTCTATACAGTCACCACTAGCTACCTTGTACTGGTAAAGATTTCTGTACAAAGTCACCACTAGCTACATTGTACTGGTAAAGATTTCTATACAGTCACCACTAGCTACCTTGTACTGGTAAAGATTTCTGTACAAAGTCACCACTAGCTACCTTGTACTGGTAAAGATTTCTATACAGTCACCACTAGCTACCTTGTACTGGTAAAGATTTCTGTACAAAGTCACCACTAGCTACCTTGTACTGGTAAAGATTTCTATACAGTCACCACTAGCTACCTTGTACTGGTAAAGATTTCTGTACAAAGTCACCACTAGCTACATTGTACTGGTAAAGATTTCTATACAGTCACCACTAGCTACCTTGTACTGGTAAAGATTTCTGTACAAAGTCACCACTAGCTACCTTGTACTGGTAAAGATTTCTATACAGTCACCACTAGCTACCTTGTACTGGTAAAGATTTCTGTACAAAGTCACCACTAGCTACCTTGTACTGGTAAAGATTTCTATACAGTCACCACTAGCTACCTTGTACTGGTAAAGATTTCTGTACAAAGTCACCACTAGCTACATTGTACTGGTAAAGATTTCTGTACAGTCACCACTAGCTACATTGTACTGGTAAAGATTTCTATACAGTCACCACTAGCTACCTTTTACTTGTAAAGGCTTCTGTACAGTCACCACTAACTACCTTGTACTGGTAAAGATTTCTGTAGAAAGCTGGTAAAACTTTATATTCTCACCTAATATTTCTAGAGTAAAGATGACTCTGTCTCACACATGATAGGAAAAAGCCTGCTGACACGCGCTATGATGGTATTAACAGGAGTGACAGTGATATTGTGTTAATGTTAGGTCAAGCCGTGTAAGCGATACCCATGTCTCAAGTAGCTAGTGCCATCAATATAGATATATTTCATGGATTATTGTTGATGATAGAAATTTTTATAACAACAACTTTCAACAAATTACAATTTTATTTGCAATGGCGTGAGAAAAATAATTAAACCTAGGTCTGTTTGGTGTACAGAGATATCTCAGTCCTTGTATGTGAGTTTGGCTGGCCAGCACTTGGCAAGTCTGAAGCTGACCAGCTAAACTCAAACTTTGGTTGAGAGATAGCCATATCCTTGTAACAGACCTATGTAAGGTTTTATAGATATATATAACCATACACATGTAAGGTATTGACTATATGCTATATATTGAATTATGACTTGTAACCATGGCAATACTTATCCTAAACAGACATTCATAAAAAGTATTAATGGGACAAGAATGTTCATCATAAACAATTTGAAGTAAAATTTTCACAAATTTAACATATTTGAAATGTAATCATACACATTAAGCTTTAAAATATTCTAACATATTTAGCAGTATTACATTTTCAAAACATTTTCTGACATAATTCAAAGTCACAAGGAAGATAATCTGATTTAGATAAAACTCAATGAATTGATGACTGGTCATCACACATGATAACTAGTCACATTATTCATCATAAATCAATGTTATTTTTATTTCATTCAAATACAGTTTATATTAAACATATACGGAATATCAATACACTGTTTCTTCAGATATCTGATGAAATTACCCTCTCTGATGACATCCCACACACAGTGATGCACAATATCTCATTACATCCCACACACAGTGATGCATAATATCTCATTACATCCCACACACAGTGATGCACAATATCTCATTACATCCCACACTCAGTGATGCACAATATCTCATTACATCCCACACACAGTGATGCACAATATCTCATTACATCACACACTCAGTGATGCACAATATCTCATTACATCACACACACAGTGATGCACAATATCTCATTACATCCCACACACAGTGATGCACAATATCTCATTACATCACACACTCAGTGATGCACAATATCTCATTACATCACACACTCAGTGATGCACAATATCTCATTACACCCCACACACAGTGATGCACAATATCTCATAACATCACACACACAGTGATGCACAATATCTCATTACATCCCACACACAGTGATGCACAATATCTCATTACATCACACACACAGTGATGCACAATATCTCATTACATCCCACACACAGTGATGCACAATATCTCATTACATCACACACTCAGTGATGCACAATATCTCATTACATCACACACTCAGTGATGCACAATATCTCATTACACCCCACACACAGTGATGCACAATATCTCATAACATCACACACACAGTGATGCACAATATCTCATTACATCCCACACACAGTGATGCACAATATCTCATTACATCACACACTCAATGATAAACAATATCTGATTACATCACTTATTCTGTGATATACAATATTTGATGACATCACACACTCAATGATAAACAATATCTAATGACATCACACACTCAATAATCTACAACATTTGATGACATCACACACTCAGTGATAAACAATATCTGATTACATCACTTATTCTGTGATATACAATATTTGATGACATCACACACTCGGTGATAAACAATATCTGATGAAATCACACTCTCAGTAATATAAAATATCTGATGATATCCCACACACAGTGAAATACAATATCTCATGACATCACACACTCAGTGATACACAATATCTGATGACATCACACACTCAGTAATGAACAAGATCTGATGACATCACTTATTCTGTGATATACAATATTTGATGACATCACACACTCAATGATAAACAATATCTAATGACATCACACACTCAATAATCTACAACATTTGATGACATAACACACTCGGTGATAAATAATATCTGATGACATAACACACTCAATGATATGCAGTATTTGATGACATCACACATAAATGGTTTTCAAGAGCTGAAATGATGCATGATAAAACAAACTAAAATTTTAGAAACACAACAGAAATACAATCACAAATAACACAATCCTGAGTCAGTAATGACAAAGATTATTTCATCAGTATACTCTGAGTTAGGTTGGACGGCACTCTGGTTTGGAGAGTATATATTGTGATGCATGTATTATTTATTTGGCATCCATGTACACCTCATGACATGACCTTCAAGGTCAACCATAAAAACAGGGAGTCAAAATGTAGCTTGTATATAAGGTAAACATTGGCAACACTTAGCTCTTAAAAGCAATAAATAAATTTAAGTAAAATATTAATAAATATATAACTGTATAGCCTATGCAAGCAATGGAAGAGACTACATTTTTAACCAATGTATCAGATCTATAATCCCACATCATTACTTACATACTTATCAATAATACAAACATGAACACATTAATCAGTGGAAAGGCATATAGTAAGTACTGTATAACATAAGATGTATGTTCAGTAGAAGTTTGTCTTTTTGTGGCTATAAACAAATCAAGAAAATCATATGCAACAAAAAACACTTCTGATGAAGTAATTTTGTGCATATATACTGGTGTACGATATCCATGAAAGTGTTTGTCATTGAAACGATTCACCGGGCTCAAGCCACTGAGGAAAGTATTCACAAACATTTTCTGTTATACAGTTGTTCATATGTAAAGTCTATTAAGTCACTTTCTTGAGAACCTGTTGCTATGGTTAACAGAAGCCTTTTAACTTGGGGTGAAGTTTTTCACTTGTCAGGTTCCTGTATCACATAAACTCAAAGAATGCCCTCCAAACAAATATTCTTAGTTTATTTTAAATGATCTCATCATACCATGACAGTACCGGTTTTTAAGGAATTTCTTAGTATACATAAAAAATTACCTTTAAATTACTTTAAAAAAATTCTAAATTATTTTTCCAGGAATATCAACCACTAAATTCAATCTTACTACTTATACACGTTTTGATGTATTGGCAATGGTTCAAAACGTTTCATAATTTAGTGATGCAAGGTCAAGGCTAAATTTGAATATAATAATAAGGTATAATTCAACCCTTAAATAAAACTTGTTTACAGTCTTATTTCTTTGCAGTAAATGTGTCAACTCTCATCAGGTTAAGTTTTATTTTTGATAATGATGGAATATTCAATTTCATATTTGATATCAGTAAATTTTACTTGAAGGACTAAAATAGTCACGGTACCACAGCAGCACGGTCTATTGGCACTAATATCAGAGTTCTTATCCTTAATTTCTCGTTATTCACTGTATCAAGTCATTACTTGGTTTTAAATTATCAAATAAAGGCATCAATTGCTTGCTATACTATGGACCTTCACCAACAACTTTCTAGTGATTCTCTGATGATTAAACTGCTTCAAGTCAAGGTCATCTGGTTATTTTGTCAGTGCTTAACAATGCAGTGTGATACATAAGATTTGTTACAGTTTTCCTTTGTAAATGTAACACAAATATTCTAGTTTTTTTTGGTTCTAACAGCGTTCTGTTTTCAGGACACACAGGGTCTGTATTAATGACTTAATTTTTCATGTGGAACACAAGGTCCTGGTTCATTAGCCACTGTATTTTATGACATGCAGTATTCTGATTCAATGACTGTTTTGTATGATACACAAGATCTGGTTCAATGACCTTTGTTGTGTACAACATCCAGCCTTCTGATTCAGTGAAGACTGTTTTGTATGACACACATGGTTCTGGTTCAATGACCTCTGTTGTGTACAACATGCAGCCTTCTGATTCAGTGAAGACTGTTTTGTATGACACACATGGTTCTGGTTCAATGACCTCTGTTGTGTACAACATGCAGCCTTCTGATTCAGTGAAGACTGTTTTGTATGACACACATGGTTCTGGTTCAATGACCTCTGTTGTGTACAACATCCAGCCTTCTGATTCAGTGAAGACTGTTTTGTATGACACACATGGTTCTGGTTCAATGACCTCTGTTGTGTACAACATGCAGCCTTCTGATTCTGTGATGATTGTTTTGTATGACACACATGGTTCTGGTTCAATTATCGTTGTTTTGTACAATACACAGGGTTCTGATTTAAAGATGACTATATTGTATGAAACACATGGTTCTAGTTCAACTATCTGTTTTGAACAACACAGTGTTCAGGTTCAATTATGACTGTTTTCTTTGATACACAGTGTTCAGGTTCAATACAACTGTTTTGTATGACACACAGCTTTCAATTTCTGATGACTGTGTTGTATGACACACAACTTTCAATTTCTGATGACTGTGTTGTATGACACACAGCTTTCAATTTCTGATGACTGTGTTGTGTGACACACAGCTTTCAATTTCTGATGACTGTGCTGTATGACACAGAGATTGACGAGTCTGACAACTGCACTGTATGACATACAGGGTTCTATGTCTAACTAATGTTTAGTGACTACCTACATCACCTGATATATAGCCTGTACAGTTTTAAAGCATTTTGAGTCACCAGTGTTGTACATAAAATAGTATAGTCTTAAGCTTTATCCTCTTTACGTATACAGAACCCGGTATCATGGTCAGTTAGATTTTATTTGGGAAGTTAATGTAGAGGACCTCCAGCAAGATGTACTACAAGTTTTATCACTTTGTAATAATATGGATACGTCCTTCTTATATATGGTAAGTAGTGGTGTAGAAATTTTTTGGTTTTAACTGTATATTTGATGAGACGTCCCTTGTCATAACAGTGGCTCTGTTCCATTCCAGTCAACAACAGCACCTTTCCACCTGTAAGAAGGATATAATTCAGAATTACACTGCCTGTACAATATTTGTCCTAGTAAATACAAACTTTATTTTTTTACAACATTTGCAAAACAAGCTATCAGCTTATAATGATCACTCTTATTGGCTCAGATGGAAACGTGCAGGGGTCTTTAATGAAGATGGAAACCAGAGTAACCAGGGAAAACCAATGTGGTGAGGCAGGTGACCCCATATCTTTTCACATCCATTCCGGGAATAGAACCCCGGAGGCTAGGTGACATTTGAGTGTGTTACCACTGTGCCATCCGATCAATAGCCTATTAATACAGTTCTGGTAGAATTGTTCCTTCTGATTCTTTGAACAAGGAAGAATCTGTGATAGGTAAAGCATTAGACTGGTGAAACAAAGGTTCAAAAAATCTTTATCAGGGTAATTGTATTAGGATGCGAAAGACTTAAATCAGACCTGATGTGGTCTATCAGTGGAGAGGTAAGAATCAATGTTACAGAAAGAAAAAAACCTTTTTCTAAAAGCCAGAATATGATAGTCATTGTCATACTAGAAAGACTTACTTGGTTCTGATACAATGTTCCAGTGGAGGTACTAATTCTTCTTCTCCACCTTCATATTTTATTGTTGTGTCTGTAATAAACAGATTTACATAGTTACCATGTTTCATCACCATAGACAGTAGACAGATGTTCTGATTTATATCTTAACTCTCACTACCTTACCTATCTCTTCAGACAGTAGACAGATGTTCTGATTTATATCTTAACTCTCACTACCTTACCTATCTCTTCAGACAGTAGACAGATGTTCTGATTTATATCTAAACTCTCACTTCCTATTCCTACAGAGGGTAGACTTCCTATTCCTACAGACTGTAGACTTCCTATTCCTAAAGACTGCAGACTTCCTCTTCCTACAGACTGCAGACTTCCTATTCCTACAGACTGTAGACTTCCTATTCCTACAGACTGTAGACTTCCTATTCCTACAGACTGCAGACTTCCTATTCCTACAGACTGCAGACTTCCTATTCCTACAGACTGCAGACTTCCTATTCCTACAGAGGGTAGACTTCCTATTCCTACAGACTGCAGACTTCCTATTCCTACAGACTGTAGACTTCCTATTCCTACAGACTGCAGACTTCCTATTCCTACAGAGGGTAGACTTCCTATTCCTACAGACTGCAGACTTCCTATTCCTACAGACTGCAGACTTCCTATTCCTACAGACTGTAGACTTCCTATTCCTACAGACTGCAGACTTCCTATTCCTACAGAGGGTAGACTTCCTATTCCTACAGACTGCAGACTTCCTATTCCTACAGACTGTAAACTTCCTATTCCTACAGACTGCAGACTTCCTATTCCTACAGACTGCAGACTTCCTATTCCTACAGACTGTAGACTTCCTATTCCTACAGACTGCAGACTTCCTATTCCTACAGAGGGTAGACTTCCTATTCCTACAGACTGCAGACTTCCTATTCCTACAGACTGTAGACTTCCTATTCCTACAGACTGTAGACTTCCTATTCCTACAGACTGTAGACTTCCTATTCCTACAGACTGCAGACTTCCTATTCCTACAGACTGCAGACTTCCTATTCCTACAGACTGTAGACTTCCTATTCCTACAGACTGCAGACTTCCTATTCCTACAGAGGGTAGACTTCCTATTCCTACAGAGGGTAGACTTCCTATTCCTACAGACTGCAGACTTCCTATTCCTACAGACTGTAGACTTCCTATTCCTACAGACTGCAGACTTCCTATTCCTACAGACTGTAGACTTCCTATTCCTACAGACTGTAGACTTCCTATTCCTACAGACTGCAGACTACCTATTCCTACAGACAGTAGACTTCCTATTCCTACAGACTGCAGACTTCCTATTCCTACAGACTGTAGACTTCCTATTCCTACAGAGGGTAGACTTCCTATTCCTACAGACTGTAGACTTCCTATTCCTACAGAGGGTAGACTTCCTATTCCTACAGACTGCAGACTTCCTATTCCTACAGACTGTAGACTTCCTATTCCTACAGAGGGTAGACTTCCTATTCCTACAGACTGTAGACTTCCTATTCCTACAGAGGGTAGACTTCCTATTCCTACAGACTGCAGACTTCCTATTCCTACAGAGGGTAGACTTCCTATTCCTACAGACTGCAGACTTCCTATTCCTACAGAGGGTAGACTTCCTATTCCTACAGACTGCAGACTTCCTATTCCTACAGACTGTAGACTTCCTATTCCTACAGACTGCAGACTTCCTATTCCTACAGACTGTAGACTTCCTATTCCTACAGAGGGTAGACTTCCTATTCCTACAGACTGCAGACTTCCTATTCCTACAGAGGGTAGACTTCCTATTCCTACAGACTGTAGACTTCCTATTCCTACAGAGGGTAGACTTCCTATTCCTACAGACTGCAGACTTCCTATTCCTACAGACTGTAGACTTCCTATTCCTACAGACTGCAGACTTCCTATTCCTACAGACTGCAGACTTCCTATTCCTACAGACTATAGACTTCCTATTCCTACAGACGGTAGACTTCCTATTCCTACAGAGGGTAGACTTCCTATTCCTACAGACTGCAGACTTCCTATTCCTACAGACTGAAGACTTCCTATTCCTACAGACTGTAGACTTCCTACAGAGGGTAGACTTCCTATTCCTACAGACTGCAGACTTCCTATTCCTACAGACTGTAGACTTCCTATTCCTACAGACTGTAGACTTCCTATTCCTACAGAGGGTAGACTTCCTATTCCTACAGACTGCAGACTTCCTATTCCTACAGACTGTAGACTTCCTATTGCTACAGACTGTAGACTACCTATTCCTACAGACTGCAGACTACCTATTCCTACAGACTGCAGACTTCCTATTCCTACAGACTGTAGACTTCCTGTTCCTACAGACTGTAGACTTCCTGTTCCTACAGACTGTAGACTTCCTGTTCCTACAGACTGTAGACTACCTATTCCTACAGACTGTAGACTACCTATTCCTACAGACTGTAGACAGAAGTCCTAGTTTCTATTTAGACACCACTCTTACACCCATCCCTCTCTTTACTGCAGGATTAGTGTTGAGTGTATGATTTTAACCAACATATAACCAAAAGGTTATTGTATAATACTGACCAATGGTCAGCTTGATGAGTTCCTGCTGTCTGGCTAGGCCATCATAGTAGAAGAGGTCAAACCTTCGCTCTGCCTTCCAGTTACTGACCAACTCTTTATTCAAAGAAAAGAGCACACTGAAGTGACTCTCACTACATATCACCCATATAGGAAATCGTGGTGTCTTTAGATATGTCCCCACCTGTCAAAATAGAACACAACAAAATCTTACTAAACAACACAAAGTCAGGTAAATATGGTGTCTTAAAATAAATTCTTGTCTGCTATGAAGAATCAGATTAAATCTTACCGAGAGAAAGGCAGTATATCATAATGTATGTAGGTGCCTGAGGAGGTGCATCAATGTATGTTGGTGTCTCAGGTAGTGTACCATAATGTATGTAAGTGTCTCAGGCAGTGTATCATAATGTATGTAAGAGTCTCAATCAGATAACCATAAAGTATGTAAGTATCTCAATCAGATAACAATAATGTATGTAAGTGTCTCAGGCAGTTTATCATAATGTATGTAAGTGTCTCAGGCAGTGTACCATAATGTATGTAAGTGTCTCAGGCAGTGTATCATAATGTATGTAAGTGTCTCAGGCAGTTTATCATAATGTATGTAAGTGTCTCAGGCAGTGTACCATAATGTATGTAAGTGTCTCAGGCAGTTTATCATAATGTATGTAAGTGTCTCAATCAGATAACCATAATGTATGTAAGTGTCTCAGGCAGTGTACCATAATGTATGTAAGTGTCTCAGGCAGTTTATCATAATGTATGTAAGTGTCTCAATCAGATAACCATAAAGTATGTAAGTATCTCAATCAGATAACCATAATGTATGTAAATGTCTCAGGCAGTTTATCATAATGTATGTAAGTGTCTCAGGCAGTTTATCATAATGTATGTAAGTGTCTCAGGCAGTGTACCATAATGTATGTAAGTGTCTCAGGCAGTTTATCATAATGTATGTAAGTGTCTCAGGCAGTGTACCATAATGTATGTAAGTGTCTCAGGCAGTTTATCATAATGTATGTAAGTGTTTCAAGCAGTCTTTCATAATGTATCTTATTTTATTATACTGTGGTAAATACATGCCTGACAGGATCTGTAGTGTTCAAACAGGGACAGGAGACCAGTATCTGCGCGAGTATTTGGGCCCTTTAGGATGGTACCAGGTGTACCATCGCCAGATTCCAGCTCCACAACATCATTGAACACATTAGACACAGCCCTTCCTGTCAGTATCAGGTTCACCATGTCCTGTCAACACCACCATATAGACAAACATGACCGTTTAGTGTACCATATTTGGTAAAGCAGAGTTAAAAGTCTTAATTTGTATGCTGATATTGATTACTAACAACATTATATCCAATAAATGTCCACACACTGAACATGTTGGCCCCTTACTGCAGGATAAAAGTACTTTACTTACCAACTATTTCACTACATGTAATTGACAGAAGAATTCTTGTTTCAAACTACTTTACATTTTTATATTTAGAAACCTTTTTCAAGTGCTCTTCACCAGTAAAATATAATCTCTATCAAACTTACGAGAAATATTCTAAGCCGATACAGAGACATTTTTCTCCACTTTAATTGTTCACCTGTTCTTACCTGAAGGAATAATACTACAGGAAATTACACATTACAAAGCCATGAAGGTGATTAAGATAAAATTCCAACCAAATATGATCCTCCTGGTACAAATGAATACTGTTGTTCTCCATAATGTGTATTGTTCTTCTGTCTTTATACACAGTGTATGTACTTGGAATATTACGGTAATATTTATTTATAAGCAAGTTTCCCTCATTACATTACTAAGTACAGTATCCTGTGTTACTTACCTGAGTACAGTACCCATGGGCCCCCATCAGTTTACCTAACATTACTAAGTACAGTATCTGTGTTACTTACCTGAGTACAGTATCCATAGGCCCCAATCAGTTTACCTAACAATACTAAGTACAGTATCCTGTGTTACTTGTCGAAAGTAAAGTATACATGGGCCCCCCTTTAATTTACCTAACTTTACTAAGTACAGTATCCTGTGTTACTTACCCGAGTACAGTATCCATGGGCCCCCATCAGTTTACCTAACATTACTAAGTACAGTATCCTGTGTTACTTACCTGAGTACAGTATCCATGGGCCCCCATCAGTTTACCTGTGGGTTCATCCATATCACTTCTCACTCTGTAAAAAATAAAATAAAGACTTGTATAACATCTGTTTTATTTAATCAGCTTGGTGGTTTCTTCATGATCATAACATTACTACAATCGCAAGAGGTTATGGGGTTTAAAAATAACAAGAGGCCCATGGGCCTTAACGGTCATCTGACAAAAAACAAGCCAAACCTAGAAAGTGGGTTGAGGTCATTCATTTGAACAAACTTGGTAGCCTCTCCTCCAAGCATCTTACAGGCCCAATATCAGCACTCATGGACTTTTGCTTGTTGAGAAGAAGTCGTTTGTATATTTTAACATATTTGACCCCTGTGACCTTGAAAGTGGGTTGAGGTCATTCATTTGAATAAACTTGGTAGCCTTTCCTCCCAGCATGCTACAGACCCAATATCGGCACTCATAGACTTTTGCTTATTGAGATGAAGTCCTTTGTATATTTTAACATATTTGACCCCTGTGACCTTGAAAGTGGGCCAAGGTCATTCATTTGAACAAACTTTGTAGGGCTCCATGCCAGCATGCTATGGGCCAAGTATTAGCCCCCTAGGCCTTCTAGTATTTGAGAAGAAGTTATTTAAAGATTTTGACATATTTGACCCCTGCGACCTTGAAAGTTGTTCAAGGTCATTCATTTAAATAAACTTGGTAGCCTTTCCTCCCAGCATGCTACAGACCCAATATCGGCACTCATAGACTTTTGCTTATTGAGATGAAGTCCTTTGTATATTTTAACATATTTGACCCCTGTGACCTTGAAAGTGGGCCAAGGTCATTCATTTGAACAAACTTTGTAGGGCTCCATGCCAGCATGCTATGGGCCAAGTATTAGCCCCCTAGGCCTTCTAGTATTTGAGAAGAAGTTATTTAAAGATTTTGACATATTTGACCCCTGTGACCTTGAAAGTTGTTCAAGGTCATTCATTTAAAGAAACTTGATAGCCCTTCATCCCAGCATGCCACAGGCACAATATCAGCAATCTGAGCCTTTTGGTTATTGAGAAGAAGTTGTTAAAAGATTTTAACATATTTGACCCCTGTGACCTTTAAAGTGGGTCAAGGTCATTCATTTGAACAAACTTGGTAGTCCTTCATCCCAGCATATCACAGGCCCAATATCTACACTCTGAGCCTTTTGGTTAATGAGAAGAAGTTGTTTAAAGATTTTGACATATTTGACCCCTGTGACCTTGAAAGTGGGTTGAGGTCATTCATTTGAATAAACTTGGTAGCCTTTCCTCCCAGCATGCTACAGACCCAATATCAGCACTCATAGACTTTTGCTTATTGAGATGAAGTCCTTTGTATATTTTAACATATTTGACCCCTGTGACCTTGAAAGTGGGCCAAGGTCATTCATTTGAACAAACTTTGTAGGGCTCCATGCCAGCATGCTATGGGCCAAGTATTAGCCCCCTAGGCCTTCTAGTATTTGAGAAGAAGTTATTTAAAGATTTTGACATATTTGACCCCTGTGACCTTGAAAGTTGTTCAAGGTCATTCATTTAAACAAACTTGATAGCCCTTCATCCCAGCATGCCACAGGCACAATATCAGCAATCTGAGCCTTTTGGTTATTGAGAAGAAGTTGTTTAAAGATTTTAACATATTTGACCCCTGTGACCTTTAAAGTGGGTCAAGGTCATTCATTTGAACAAACTTGGTAGTCCTTCATCCCAGCATGTCACAGGCCCAATATCTACACTCTGAGCCTTTTGGTTAATGAGAAGAAGTTGTTTAAAGATTTTAACATATTTGACCCCTGTGACCTTTAAAGTGGGTCAAGGTCATTCATTTGAACAAACTTGGTAGAGCTCCATGCCAGTATCCTCTGTGCCAAGTATTAGCCCCCTAGACCTTCTAGTATTTGAGAAGAAGTCGTTTGAATGAAAAGTTTACGGACGGCGCACGGCGGACGGCGCACGGCGGACGGCGCACGGCGCACGGCGGACGACGACGGACGAAGCATGATGACTATAGGTCATCGGACCCTTCGGGTCAGATGACCTAAAAATCTAAACAAGGATATCCACCTAGAGATTACAGATTTTATAACTTGGGGTAGACAGCTGGCCTTGGTTTGTCAGTGAAGCTTATGAGGATCATTTCTTCACAAACCAAACATAAAAGGACTATAATAAAACAGCAATAGGATGAATGATATTGACTCAGCAATGATATATACTTTTAACACTGAGGACACTTACAAATCCATGAAGCGGGACATAATACAGGAATATAGAGCCAGGATTACTCCACTGGTGCCGTCCAACTCAAACTGTCAACAAAGTAATGATCAGATTCCAATCTGTTTACTATATTATGGTAGATTTACAATAAAAGCTAAATCAAATACTATTGATGACCCGTGTTTTCCTTCGGATGACAATTTTACTGATACAGATTTATTTTCTTAATTTCTAGACTTTTTTGCACACTGATCAGTTTATTTTAGCAGTATACATTGAATTATCATTGTTTTGATGATTGCTAGTTTCGAAAACTATACCAGCAAATGTACATCCACTTTTACAATACTAACCTGACTCAAATTTTGGATTATGAAATTCTTCAGGTCTGAATGTGTTTTAAAGTGGTTTATCATCAACTGTAAGAAAGAAAACAAGTGTAGATTATACCTATCGGGTGTTGACTTAGTTCATAATGAAATCTTGTCTGTGAACCCAAGCAAAATGTACAAACATAAGTGCAGACAAGGTTGGAAAACTACCCCATCCCTTGGAAGCTTAAACTTCATTCACGGACCACTAATTTTGTTAGTATACTAGAGCTAATCTTTGACATTACAATAATGTAATGAAGTACATAATTCAAGTACCTGGTATGCGTCTCAGAAAATAAGATTCTGAAGCCTCTTAATGTTTTAATGCTGTGACTACATTTGGTTTAAATCGACCAAGAGTCTTGAGAAGAAACTTTAACAAACAATGCATGACAACAGACAAAAGGCAATGGCAATAGGTAACAACTGCTAACATGAATCGGCAAGAACTCATGCCAAGATATATACAAAATGTATTGTATGGCTGTAAAGTATAGAGACCTAAAGTAAGAAATTGTAGGGGCTGTAATCTAGGTAGAGAGAAAATCACAAAGGGACATTTTTCCTACAAGTAGTCAGCAAGTAAGAAGTCATAGGCCTCATATTAAAGTTACCACTCCTCACTATGATAATATATATATATTTATAGGGGTGATGGTCCAGAGAAAGCAACAGCAAAAAGGAAAATTTATTGTATATCATATACTAACAGGATCCTTTAAGCAGTTTTTTCTTTGGAACCTAACAGACTTAATCTCCACAAGATTTAGGCTTCCCACACATAAACAATAAAAAGATGGGGCTTCAAGGCTTTCCACACATAAACAATAAAAGGATGCGGGCTTCTAGTTACACAATTCTTAGTTTCCATACAGCTAGTATATTTACCGTTTCTGTTAAATCATCTTGTTTATATTTGCCTTTGCTTGCTTGGAATTGAGGCTTTCCTGATGGACTGAAAAAGTATGATACAACAATGTAAAAAGCATGACAAAAAAAAACAATTGGAAATAAACTTACAACTAGTCAAGTATCAGAAAAACAATTTCAATCTATTAAAGAAAGTGTGGATCACCTACAGGACTACTACGGCTGTCCTATTCTCGCCAGCCCTCCAAAAGATCCGTGCCAGAGCAGTTGCCAAACAACCACTGCGCTCCTCAATACTGGGGTCACTGCTGTTAACATCACAAACAGAGAGGATCTTACATGAGCTTTCATTCTGATCAAATTTATGAAACAAGCCTTAGAATTTTTCATTTTACAGAGGTTCTAGCTAAATAAATCTTAAATAAAATGGAAATTGTTGTTTGACTATGATTATCACATAACTTTGATAATTTTGCCAATACATCACAGCACATCATTAGACTGATACAATTCTGGGCAATATCGCTATCATACATATTGTGCCATGAAGTTATGACATCACAATGGAAACAGTAGAAACTTTCCACCAATCACAACTAAGCTTGGTCATATATCACATTGTGTAATAATAATCTTGTACAATGGGGTAGTTATGTGATAAAGCACTTTAAGCTATAGAAAGATGATATATGGCAACAAACTTTGCTACCATATGTAAATAAGGATTTACTCACAATCTACTGGAGGGAACAGGAGAATCACCAAATAACATCTCCTGTAGAACACAAGCCTGTACCGCTGCCAGAACACCACAAGGTCCACCCTAAAACAGTCATACAACACAGTAATACATGTTCAACCCTGCAACAGTCATACAACACAGTAATACAGGGTCCACCCTACAACAATCAAACAACACAGTAATACAGGGTCCACCCTACAACAGTCATACAACACAGTAATACAGGGTCCACCCTACAACACTCATACAACACAGTAATACAGGGTCCACCCTACAACAGTCATACAACACAGTAATACAGGGTCCACCCTACAACACTCATACAACACAGTAATACAGGGTCCACCCTACAACAGTCATACAACACAGTAATACAGGGTCCACCCTACAACAGTCATACAACACAGTAATACAGGGTCCACCCTACAACAGTCATACAACACAGTAATACAGGGTCCACCCTACAACACTCATACAACACAGTAATACAGGGTCCACCCTACAACAGTCATATAACACAGTAGTACAGGGTCCACCCTACAACAGTCATACAACACAGTAATACAGGGTCCACCCTACAACACTCATACAACACAGTAATACAGGGTCCACCCTACAACAGTCATACAACACAGTAATACAGGGTCCACCCTACAACAATCAAACAACACAGTAATACAGGGTCCACCCTACAACAGTCATACAACACAGTAATACAGGGTCCACCCTACAACACTCATACAACACAGTAATACAGGGTCCACCCTACAACAGTCATACAACACAGTAATACAGGGTCCACCCTACAACACTCATACAACACAGTAATACAGGGTCCACCCTACAACAGTCATACAACACAGTAATACAGGGTCCACCCTACAACAGTCATACAACACAGTAATACAGGGTCCACCCTACAACAGTCATACAACACAGTAATACAGGGTCCACCCTACAACACTCATACAACACAGTAATACAGGGTCCACCCTACAACAGTCATACAACACAGTAGTACAGGGTCCACCCTACAACAGTCATACAACACAGTAATACAGGGTCCACCCTACAACACTCATACAACACAGTAATACAGGGTCCACCCTACAACAGTCATACAACACAGTAATACAGGGTCCACCCTACAACACTCATACAACACAGTAATACAGGGTCCACCCTACAACAGTCATACAACACAGTAATACAGGGTCCACCCTACAACAGTCATACAACACAGTAATACAGGGTCCACCCTACAACACTCATACAACACAGTAATACAGGGTCCACCCTACAACACTCATACAACACAGTAATACAGGGTCCACCCTACAACAGTCATACAACACAGTAATACAGGGTCCACCCTACAACACTCATACAACACAGTAATACAGGGTCCACCCTACAACAGTCATACAACACAGTAATACAGGGTCCACCCTACAACAGTCATACAACACAGTAATACAGGGTCCAACCTACAACAGTCACACAACACAGTAATACAGGGTTCACCCTACAACAGTCATACAACATAGTAATACAGGGTCCACCCTAAAACACTCATACAACACAGTAATACAGAGTCCACCCTACAACAGTCGTAATGGACAGTTATTCAGGGTTGACACTACAAAACACATACAGTATAACAATACAGGGTCCACTTTACAACATACATGGAGGTACATCACATTAATACAGGGTCCATTTGAATCTAGGAAAGTCATAGAGGCTTAGTAGAATGATTCTCATTAAAATCTCCACCTTTCTATGTATAATGCCTACCTTGAGGCTAGAGAGATAGCTGTTAGTAAATATTACATTTAATATCATAAATATCTCTACCTTTTTCTGTACAATGCCGAACTTGAGACTCGGAAGATCACAAAAGGTAAAGCTTTGATGTCGCCACTCATCATTGAAGTTCTGGTTGGCGCTGCCAAATATAATGGTCTTCAGGTTCTATAATTAAAACAACTGAACTGAAGTTATTAGGTAAAATAAATATCAACAAAGAGGAGACAATGGCATGGACACTGGAATCAACTGAAATATTTCTCTTCCCAATTCTTGATACTGATTACATACTCTGCACATATGGGTCTATACCTCTTCTTGCTCATATCAAAACAAACACTCCTATTTAATTATGGTAAAAATGCAGTGCTCTAAAAACCCATAGTGAGGAAAATACAATTTGAAATTTTTGAATAAATTGTTTCATGCTACCTAGTGATTCATAATTTTTGATAAAGCATTTTTTGTAATAAAGAAAACGAAGATAATTTTTCCTCAGTCAGTGGCCTGAATCCTTTTAAAATACAGACAGCATATCTTCGTACGATGCCTCATATGGCAGTTATAACAAAATACAAAAAGATGAAATGGGACACAAAGCAACAGGACAAGATGGATGAATGTAGATAACACTATCTGCCCCACCCCATAAAGTGTTGGACGCATACAAATAAAAATTGCTGACAAGACGTACCACAGCTGTCTGTAGTGATATAGGTCGAGCTGCTAAAAGATTCTGGATTGGCCGCCCTACAGGAAGTCTGGGTCCAAGGTCAAGATTTGCAACTTCATTGTCAAGGTCATCCACATCTCCAATTTCCACATCACCAACCTTTGTTGAAGTAGATTTAAAAGAGGAAGGCCTACCAGAAAACAAAAGAAAAAATATTTAAACTTTTAAGGAGGAAAACTTTTGAGAGGTATCAACTCACAGTCAAGTGGTCAAAAACAGAGATATTAGCAATCAAAACTTCAGGCAGAACAGAATTGAATTATTTTCATGACAACATGAAGAAAACAATAAAAATTAAATCAAAATGCTTCAGAAATTCTTCAGTGAGCACCACAATTCTAAAACATTGGCTGTGAGCCCCGAGTGACAGTCTCTGTTAATTTCATGTACTGAGCTTCCTTGTGTGTATTGTACATACCTCTGTTGCACTGTATCACGGGACGCAGGCTGTTTACTGATACTTGACTTATCCACGCTATAATGGGGCTCTTCCTTCTCAACAGAATTCTGACGCCGGCTCATTTTCCCAGTCTTCACAGGTGCATCAACATCTAAAACATTTTGTATTGATTTTCTGTGCTCTAATGGTCGTGAGATCAGTGAATCTATACTCTCCAGATCAGTTTTAGGAGTCACCATCAAAGGTTCTTTGTTACTGGCCATCACTGTGGACACTTCCTTTTCATTGGAAGTTGAAGATGGAACACTTCCTTTTCTGGATACACCCGACATTGGCCTTGGACGCTGGCCCCTCCGTCTGTCCTGATAACAAAGTTTTACACAAAATATGCTCAGAAAGTGAAATAATTATTATGCAATGTGATCTGTATATTAACATATGCACATGAATTTTCTACAGTACCATTACTATGGTATATTGACAGAAAGTCATCAGAAAAGACAAGTCCTTATCACCTGATCTGATGAAACTGTCTAAAGTCCACTTCACAGACCATAACTATATATTATCCTCTTAACTAATCCTAGCTCTCATGAAATCATACTTAACAAAAAGAAAAAAGTAGAAACTAGTCAGGGCTACATGAATACTCAGCCAACAAAAAACTAAGGAAAAGGACAAGTTGGGAAGTTCTGTCAGCAGATCTATATATGTGTGTTAAATAGCTATCTTTCATATTCAGACATTCAGCACAGCCAGACCAAAAATGATCTTCTTCAGATCATTGGGAAATTCTATTGTGTTTATTAAGCAGATAAGTATGTCCAGTTTACTTACATCTAGGTTACTAGTGACTGGTCCAGACAGACCTCTGTGTTTAGTAGAAGAGCGGGGACGAGACTTCTGTGTGGAGGGAGTGATTTCAGGACTCTCCTGGGCAAGGACGCCAGATTTTCCATCACCAAGAATAGTTTCGCTCTCAAGATTGTCTTCAATCACAAGGTCTCCTGTCTCTGACTTAGTAGGGGCTGTAACAAAATTAATTTTCAGTAAATATTTATACCTATATCTGGCTACAACCATCAGTGTGCTTTCTATGAAATCCCTGAAACAGCATTTCAGAGGTTGTTGCAAAGACACCAAATGTTTCTTTTTTTGTATAACAAGATTCATTTCAGGAATGTTGCTTGATGATATACATAAATACTTTATCAATGCAGTGTTTACCTAAGTAAATGTTAAGGAATCATCCTCCAGTTTGCCACTGTTGTGAGGAGTGTGAAGAAACGGCTTTGTCTCTATATATTAGACAGAGCTACATTTTCCTTTAATTGAAGAAGATAACATACATGAATTATAAATTATTTGAAACCTGTCCGGATGGCTGGGGATGACAGAAAGCATTATAATTACCTGCACTACTTGCAGCAGAGCCTGCAGTTTTCCTCTTTGAAGAAGCAGCAGCCATTGCCTCACTAGAAAACTTGAAGTCCAGTTTATCTGTTCCTGGGGAGTATTGTGTGTCTGGACTACAATCATCTTGTTGTCGACGATCCTTCGAGCTGATAGGTCTGTCAAGGTTTCCATCGTTTCTGTCTAGTAGGTACTTGGTGATAACTTCAATCATAGCCCGGAGGGGGTCCACCATCTCCTGTACAACATATTTTGTACACACTGAACTCTAATAGATGACATTCAAATCTTACCAAAAGTTAAAAACATAATACTTCCTTTTTTGAATATTCCAGACAATGGACAGTTGAAACTTCATCTGTCCTGCCATGACAAAGTTTTCTATGACTTGTGTAGCATCATCCCCACATAAATTAACATCTTATCAAATGCAAATTGGTAAGAAATATTCAGAACATTAGAGCAAAATGTAATAATGATAAAAAAATAACAATATTTGGGTGGAACTTTGGTCTCTCTTCTGATGTTTTATAACACTGTCACTTTTCAGACAGACAGTGGAGTTACAAAAAAATAATATTTACAAAGAAACTCAACTTTTTAATATATCATCACATATTCATTGATACCTTGTTTTTCTTCATTAATTTTTCGATACGCAACTCCTTCATCAAAGCCTGGCGGTTACTGATACATCCATCTGACCGCGGCATTTCCTCATCCATTGACTGGAGAGTTCCTTTTAAACCCTGTTGAAAGAAACAAAAAATGTTTTTGATTTAAAAACACTTTTATTTGACCTCAAATTTCAATTGAGGGTGTTGGTGTTATATCACCTGTATAATGAATTCTAATATCAGGATAAATGAGATTTTTACAGAAAGTTTGACCTGTTTTAGTCAGCTGTTGGACAACAAATTAACACCACTGTAAATATGCCTATAAATGTATATTAAATTTGGTTCATCAATGTTGATAAGTATTCAACATACTTCAATATAGTAATGATTTTGGTAGTATGTATATGTTTACAAACAATAGAAAAAAAAAAGAAAAAAATAAGTGCATGGTTTTCCATAATTTTGTTAGTAGTAGTTTGTGTAGTGAAAGGAGGAGGCTGGCGAAGCCAGCCGACCCGAGCCGCAAAGCGGCGAGGTGGGGGGTGGCCTGCTGTGTACGAGTAGTCGTGTACGGAACATTATTACGGAACTGGATTGGTGTAGGTGGCGAAATGATCAAAGTAGCCGGTTAAATTGGCCGGCGACCAGCTCTTATGGAAAACCCTGTAAGTGGTATGTGAATCATTTCACATAAGATCCAAAACAATGTACTGTATATTAACTAGTCTAGTTTTAAATGACTGAACAATGAAAAAATATTTCTGACAAGTGCTACAACAGGTATTGAATCCTACAGCTTTATATCAATGAGCGAAAGGAGCATGTAACATTATGGAGGCAGCTGAATGACACCAAGACTACATACACAAGCAACACTGACCAACTTTTTTTTTTAACACTATTCTATCTTTCTCTCCCTAAGACATTAATACCACATGTGTAATGCAGCTTGTGGATTATTGTTGTTTTTTTTTTTTTTTTTTGTGGGTGTAATAAGAAAACTTGGAAAAGCATTTTCCCTGCTGAATGCCCATACAGAAATAGAATCTGGGTCTTCAGTATGATAATCCATACATTCATCTACTGAGCTGAATTGAATAACAAAAATCAACTGTGTTTAAATTTTGCTGTTTTAAACAGGGCAGATTTATTCGTAACTAAAAATGTTATCTCAAAACTGTGACTGTCTCAACTTTCCAAAGGGGTACCCAACCTGAAAATGCAGCCTTATGAATGCCTGTGATATTATTTATCTGTAGACCTTAATTTTGTCGAAGGCAATTGTATTAAACAATCCATAAAAGCATTATTAATGGATGACACATTTTTACTTTGGTTTTTTAACATTCTAGATACAAGTGCTGGTGGTAGACTGATTGTGATTAGCATATGATTTTATTCCCCTTTCGGACGTGAAAAAAGTACAAGTTTCATCTGTCCTACCAAAGGTAATATGTTTTCTCACGTCTCTCCCGTTATGAAGTTGTGACATAAGTGTACATCCATCACGGTCAACAAGAATTATCAAAGTTGGTAGAACTCGATGTAATAAAGTTTATATTTTATACCAATAGGCATAGGTGATCCCCTCTTATTTTAGGACCGATTTCCTATGGATCTTGAGGAATGGTGCTGAAGTGAAAGTCCTTCTTTATCAGGCTGGGAAATTAATGTTATATATAATATATTCATAATCAGGTTATAAAGTTTGTTCCCAGGCTGTTAATTACTAGCGATTAAAGTTGCTGATAGAAAGAAAATAGGGCACTATAAAAGTACAGCATGAGCTCTGTATAAGAACGGATATCATTCACGACCCGAGAAAAAAAACATAAGCTGAAACTTGAATAGTGCCGAATTGTTCGACCGGCAACTGCCTAGAGTTCCTAGACTAGGGAGGTCGGCGACGGTCATTTACAGGCTTATTACGTTCTGTTGGAGCAAAAAACCCCATTTTTTCGGGTTTTTCACACTAAAATTAAAATATCAAATAAGCGTAGTTGGGGGATAGAAATATATCAAAATAAAGTTTAAGACTTCTATTTTCTTATTTTGGTAATTATTTTGTAATAAGATATAAATTCCTACCATTGCATGGAGTTCGAAGTGAAGTCGTTTCCAAAAATTCGGCCGCCATGTTGATTTATGTGTCAACAAGTGTGCCAAGTTCAGAATTAAATCCGCTGGCTATTACTGGACCAATTTTTACCATTAATGGCTTAAAATTTAGGAAATATAGTCTAGTTTTTGAAACTGAGTGATCTCTTTTGAAAAAGTATAGGGATCACACTGTAAAAAATATAAATTTGCAAAACAGTGTTTTTTTACCGTGATATCACTTCGCCGCGAACAGGGATCACTCGGATTATGGTAGCCTGGACCTTCATCTAGCGATTGGTAACCAAGGTTTCAACAAAATAACAAGAGCAGCCAGCGGAAATCATTGGATATTTGAATGACTTTTGCCACAATGTTTTGTTCGTATGAGTTATCGAACTTTGCTGCTGCTGCAGGCCGGGTGCAAATCCTCCCGACCCGGTAAACAAAATTGACCAATGGGACATCAGTATGTCCATTCGGAACATTTTGGGGTTTTTATGTTAAATATCAAAGGAAACATTCGATTTTCTTTAGGATTTATATAAAAGTATGTTTTAGAACAAAAGAAAAAACGCGGGGGGGTGGGGAATAGTTGCTGTGGTTAAGAAAATATGTTTGGGGGTATAACAAAAACATTTTCTGAACACAGAACCATACTTTACTTTTCTTAATCTTTTAAGTCACAAATACAAATTATTTTCCATGAAATAAATGAATGAACATTTGATAAGAAAACAATTTTCTCTGTAAAATATCATGATTATACTCCCTCTCAACTAGCCCATTCTTCTTAACTCAGAAAGTTGATTTTGGTCTATATCTTGGTTGTTAAATTCCTTCTGAATGTAAGAACTGCCCTTCTTTATCAATGCAAGGGGGTATTGTTGAAGTGAAAGAAAGTTGTTTTATTTATTTTGTTGAAATTCTTTATATTTTTAATTGTTTTGCTAATTTATGACACTTTTTAAAATCTCTTTTATTTATTTAAGTTTTATTTTACCTTATTTTGGTTTCTTTTTAAGTTGTCAAATTTTTCAGAGGAAGAATAATAATTGTGATTTATTTTATTTAATTTTTAATCTAAATAAATCTTTTTCTAAAAAAAAAAATTATTTTGATTTATTTTCTTTTTAGTTTTTTTACACGCTCTGATATACTGAATTTCATTTTATTTTTGGTAAGTGTGATAAGTTTTATTTACAATCCAATACACTTTTTTATTTGCAGTTTGATAAGTATGTGATGATTGTTTTTACTTTTTTTTCAATACTATCAATGAATTAATTAGATAACAATTTTTATGACCGTTAAATTTTAACATTGATGTTAAAAGTAACTTATGCTAGATAATGACAGATTTACCAATTTTTTGTGCTTTTATCTTAATCTTAAGGATAAACTTATAAAGACAAGAATAACCGTGTTTCAACTCTTAAGGCTTATAAAAGGTGAACTAATATCAACAGGAACATTTTTTCTCAAATGATATTGTTTGTAGGAGTAAAAAAAAAAATTGGGGGGGGGGGGGGGGGGGGGGGGGGGGGGGGGGGGGGGTTCACCTTCTGAGAATGTTTGATTTTGGGGTAGGGCTAGGTTTTTATAGAAATACTTGGTGCTGTTAATAGATAGAGGTACAAATATGTGCTAGTTGCATTCTACATATTTCTATCTTTAAAATGATACCTTATACACCATACAATAGTTTATATTCTTCTCGCATTTCATGATTAAACACAAATTTCAGGTTTTATCCAAAATTTTCAAAACGTAGAAAAACAACCTTAAATGTTGCAAAAAATTGTTGTTTTGAGTTAAAACTTGATCATTTGTATGTAGAAATAAGCATTCTTATATAAATTGTCATTTTATTACCACCTGGGAGTAGTTGAAGATCTTTTTGTCCTGAAAAAATGTTATTTTTCGTCTTTTCGGGGCTAAAAATATACCTCTTTGGCAGCTGTATTTTGGAGCTGTTGCTTTCAAAAAAAATTTTTAGGGGAAATATTACATATTTTCTGATAAAACATACAAAGATCAACAAGAAACACCATATAAAAAAAATTCCAGATTTTTTTTGAGCTTTCTGCATCAAAAAAGTCATTTTTTCTGAAATTTTCGATTTCGTCTCAAAAAGGGGCTGCGCAGGGTATTTGATATCAAAATATTTAAAAAAATAATGATCTTAAACCCTAACTGGAATTTTTTTTCAAGAAAATGCATTGTGATCTGTAAAAATAAGGAGATTTGGATAAATTGGGTGATTACTTTTTAAGATAAAGTTCTTCAAAAGTGGTAGTCTAGCAAAGAGGGGTGCCGACACATTTCTCAAAAAAACTAAGTCCAAACGAATAATTCCTCATGTTCAGCTGCCAATTTTTTTTTTATCTGTCCCCACCTAAACTAAGTAAATGTTTCTTTTTGAAGCTTAAGGGGAACTTGGCACCCTACAACAATCAGACAATACATATCATAACCACATTTTCAGATATAAGGCCTCAAACATGCCTCTTTTAGGGACTATTTGCTAAAAACAGAAAAAGGGTCGCTTTTCGAGGTACAAAAATTGATGTAACTTTTGAACCGCTCAACCGATTTCCAAAATTTTTGCACCAAAATTCCTCTTTCTTTGAGTTTTGTCCAAAAAACATGTTTTAAAATGTTTTCTAGGTGGTCCATTTTTTGAGCTGACCTCCCTACCTAGACGCCATGGGACGATTTTATATTTTAAGTAAATCTGTGATTCTATGTACCTTTCGACTGAGATATTCTCGAACTATGGAGGAAGCTATAGCCTCCACACGTACGTTGCTCATAATAAGGCTATTTTTCTAACAGGCCCTCATAACTTAAGTAAATTACAACCGACTGTTGAATTATTGATATTCACAATCCATGGTCCGCCATATTGAAACATTCCGCTGAGATCTCGGTCTCGTTTAAATACGAGCATATGTTATATTTTATATATGAAGCAAATCCCTGTATGTTTCATCTGTTAATATCAAAATGCAGAGTTTCTAAAATACAGATTCCAATAAGCATAGCCTAACAATAAAAATAAAAAGAAACACTGTGTATACTAAAATCATATTACTTCACACAAGCAAGTGCTTTTTTACTTTCGAATGTTATTTACAAAATTTGCATTTTTCACAAAAGAAAAGACTAATTTTGTAAGCAAAATTTAATGCATTTTATATCATGTAATATGTCACTTGAAAGTTCATCATTAAAGCATTATTGATATTGAATATAATGCTAATATTGTTTAGTTCAGAAGATAAATAAAACCCACTTTGTGGCAGTAGCATAAATTGTTTTCCAGCGGGAAGATTTGAGGAGCGAAAAATTCATGTTCTTGCTTATCTTTCGATTAGATCTACGTTGATTCGGGATTCAGAATATGGGCTACGATTTATTCCAGCATTCTATAAAGTGATGCGACTTATCTGCAACTTTATTTGAGGACAACCTTCAGTGTACAGTGGAATCATCACACAACTTCATACATGCACGTTTTCATTGAATTAGCTTTTTGTAACTTTATCATATTGGTGTGCACAGACACTTGTATCTGGAATGTAAACAAGTGCAGTAAACATCCATAGTCCACGTTCCAAATACAAGTACTTCACGTTTAGTCCTAGGTTTCATATTCTTATTTCTACATATCTATTCTTGTCTTTAACTCACATTCACACAGCGGGTGTGAAAATTAACTTGACCCACACCTGGGACAGCCAGTTCCTGTGCTTGGAGAAATGCAAAATGTTGGTAAACTTATTACAAGGGCATACGTTTTTTAAGAGGGGTGACCATTAATATTACCTGATAGACTAAAGGTCTGAAAAAAGTTCAATGGACCTATCATCTGAAGGCTTAATTTTTGGGAAGAGGTTTTCATTACTTGTTTTTATGTTTTCATTCCTGGACAAGCTTCTCTCTCTGCAGTTATTATTATTATGTAGTATTTCGAACTAAATTCTTACATTTTTATTGATGTGTTTGTAGGGAGAGTTTTGGTGGGTATGCAAAGCATGCTTACAAACGGCAGGTATTAATGGCTTCAGACAGATCCACAGACAAGTCCTACATATCCCCAAACACAACGCAGAATGAGAATGTATTGTCTAATAGGAAAATAACACATAATACTAGAGACTCTTCTCAAACAGATGACCAACAATCCAACACAATGCAAGCAAAGAGGCACTCAACACATGATGCAGGTATCAGAAATGTAATGCCGACTGAAAGGAACCTTGACAAAATTGATAAAAACATTGTGATCACGGAGAAGAATATAATGGAGACTTGTAGAGATAATTTTCACAAAAACATTACTGAAGAAGGAAATGACAATATTCTACAGGTACATGAAAAATATAAATAGAACTTTCCAGTCTTCTAATCTTGAATTTTGCAAGTTCCTAAAGCAGTGCTATTACTTCAGTTTTAATCTTTTTACTGAAGCTTTATATTTAGATTGTACTTACCTTGTGCTGTGCCATATATATCACACATAGGATTGTAGCTAGACTTTCTTCTGGTAGCAGTTTTAAACATAAACTTCCAGTCCATCAAATCTTTTTTAATGAATCATGACTTTGAAAACCGCGTTCTGTCAGAAAATGACTTGTTTTATGATTTTTTTCTTTCATTATTGCTTTCTTTTGTTTTGTTGTGAAGGAGAGTCAATTAGTAATGCAATGTAATTTTCTGAGGCTAGTTATACTTGACAATCTCCATGAAGACAAAGAAGGTTATACAAAACACTGGCAAGTGTCATGCATGGATATATGGTATATTTACAATATACTATTACATAACAGTTAATGTATACATGTACCTCTTGTTTTTTCTTTGGAGGAGGAATTATGAAAACAATGTATTTCTCAAATCATTAATTGCTAAAAATACGATATGCTGTTTTATATTGTGTTTTGGAATAGGCATCATCCTCACATCAAAAATATCCTGACATGTCGGTGCAAGATTCTGGATTTAATGATGAGGTAAGTATACTCTTTGTTGTACAGTTGATCAATATAACTATAAGCATCACACAATTACCATCATTTATTCAATAAATGCAATAAAATAATAGTTTTTATGTATGAACTTACATTGTTTTCCAAAGTTTTATTTAAACAATAATTTGTATATATAGAGGGAAGATGTTGTCAAGAAACCAAGAAAATCCCATAAAAAGCTTTCATTTGAAAAATATTGTGACAAATTTGTATCAGAATTTTCTCAAAATTTAGCTGGAATCTGAAAGATATTAAGGCCATTAAGGAATGTGTATAAATATGTATATATGAGCAAGTTAGATATCTGAATTGCAGCCAATCATAAGGAAGATATCCCTGGCCAAGACTTTGTCAAAATCTATAGTTACTGGTAGTCTGCAAGCTCATCATTCAAGGACACAGTTCATTGAAGGTCAATATGAGAGGAAGATGACAGAACCATCGAAACTCCGGGAATTTATGGGATCAGAATCTCTAATGTAAGTATACTATCTTAAATTTAAAATGAATCTCTTCTTTGGGTAATAAAACCTCCCTAATGAAAGTGAAAGTGCAGAGCATTTGAATTCAATTAGTGTAGGAAAGATACTTTTTTTAGGGATGGGATGAGGGTTGGGGCAAGTTCTTTGAAATCCTGTAGTAATGATTGGATTAAAGGAAGAAGCTTGGAAAATGGCATAAGTATTTCCCATTCTTCAAAAAATTGGGAAAATATTGTTACAAGAAAATTTGACACTGTCGAGGAAAACATAACATAAACAAACCCATTTCAGACAAGGGGAGAATGTGCTTGATTAATTACCTGAAGTATGATGCCGACACCAATCTGATAAATCATGTTCTCCCCAGCAGAGCAATTCAGAATGAAAATTTGAATTAGCACTTTTTATTATTCCAAGGATAGACCTGAAAAATAACTTCTTATCAATTAAAAATGTAAGAGATAATCTTACGAATAAATCATCTATATCACTTGTCAGGTTATGACAAGAGCTATTGCACAATACAGTTACCAACCAGGTCATGTGGATTTTCTCATTACAAGAACGATTGCCATTACCCCGATCTGTGTTCGTCAACAATTTCTTGATCTGCAGTGAAATGTGTGGCTAAGCCCAGAACAATTTAGTTTGATTTTTGCATTATGTCTGGTGTTAGCCCCCTGTGGCTTCTGAAATGGGTTGCCTGGATGGATGATTTTTATGCACCAGCCATCTCCTGTGTATGATACATAATTAATGATAATAATTATTATTATTACATTCTTAACAGCCTGTCAACACATAAAAGGTCATTAGGGCCATCAAACGTTAAAACACACAGCAATCCAATAATGAATGATGATAGTTTCATATGAATAATGAATATGTGTGAAATTATATAAATTCTATTTTTCAGAAGCGAATTGAAAAATATTATATAAGACAATATAAGTCCTTATTGACAAATTGATATGAACCAGGAAAATTCTTTTAAAATCCAGGAAATGATCTGGAATTTTGTGTGTTGAAAAGTGTGGGAACTCTGAATATAGTAAACTCTTTAAAATCCTACTCCTCCTGTAGGAGTGATTGGAGTTTGGGGCAAGAAGAATCAATGAGTAGATTTGGTCCAGGGTTAAGGGAAATCAATTTTGAATAAACACACAGGGTCTTGGCCCCCTTGGACAGGAAGGGCAGGACTCCATAAGGGAAAAACAGCAGATTCTTTAAAATCCTACTGCAGCCTGTTTGGGTGAAGGGAAATCAGTTTTGTACAAATGATGGGTCTTGGCCCCCTAGAGGAAGGGCTGAATTGCGGAAATGTGTTATATCTTTAAAACCATTGAGATTCCCACCCCATAACCACATATAGCATTGCTAGGCATCAAAAGATAAACTCAATCATGATGTAAAAATTGGCCCTGGGGTGTGCCCCATCCCTAGAAACTAAGTTTCTGGGTAATATATTTGAAACGTTTGGGATCTCCACCTCATAACTATATGTAGCAATGATGGGCATCAAAAGATAGACACAACCAGCTGAAACAAGGGTGAAAGGGTCAAAATAACAACCTTTTTCCATTCATTTTCCATATTTTGTTATTAAAACATGGAGTATAAAACATGTACACAAAATTGGATAGAGGCACAGGATCAGAAATGTTAAAATACATAATGCATTTCTTACAAGTTTGCGTTAAATGACTCCCTTTTTTATTTTTTATTTTTTTTTGAAGATGTAAACCAATTACATGTATCATTTTATAGCAATAAGATCTCATAGGAATTTTGATATTGGTGCAAGTCTGTCAATATTTACTAGAGTTACAGGACTTTAAATCCTTACAATTGAATATTGCTTTATGAGTAAGAATTTGTTATCATTAAATATTCATTATAACCAGAAAAACCACTTTTGAAAATTTTCAAAACAAACTGAAACACAAAATTGTAGGCAATTTCACATCATAAAATAATGATGCATCCTGACCAATAAAGGAGAGGATAGTTCTGTTTTGAATAACGGGAAAAATACAGCTGTTTTGTGACAGGTGCCTGGATGTACTAGCCGATACTGACACCAAAGATTGTAGTTCAGGAGTATATTTTCTCCTCAAGTATATTTTCTTGTCAAATTCATGATAATCATTATTAATGTAAACATGGTATTTCTTGGAATATCATTAACCTCAATTCTAAGCCACAAAAGAGGCTTAATTTACAAAAATAATCAGCGGTTTTAAAAGGACACCAATTTTGCAATTAAAAAGGGATTTTTGTTGATTCTCTAAAATCATGTCCGGGACTGATCAATTATCACATCATCAACTGGCTGATCCTCCATCACCTCAACATGGACTTGTCCTCCATTATGCCATCAACTAACTGGTCCTTCCAACACCTCGACAGGGGCCCGGTCCTCCATCAACTCAACTAGGGCCTTGTCTTCCATCATGTCATCAACGTGTCTGGTCGTCAAACACCTCGACAAGGACCTGGTCCTCCGCCATGTCATCACAAGACTGACCCTCTGTCATGTCATTGTAGGGCTGGTCCTCACTGATGTTATAGATATCAAAATCTGTAATAAGACTGTCAAATTTCTTCCTGGAATGTCTGTTGCTTTCTTGAGAAGCTGTTCATGTTTTATAGAATGTTTAAAGTTAAGTCACTTTTCAGCTAGACTCTTAATTGCAGTTAGATCAGAATGCCTAGCCTAAGGACATAATCAAATCAACCCAGGGTGGCCAGTTAACTTGGTTAATCAAATCAACCCAGGGTGGCCAGTTAACTTGGTTAATCAAATCAACCCAGGGTGGCCAGTTAACTTGGTTAATCAAATCAACCCAGAGTGGCCAGTTAACTTGGTTAATCAAATCAACCCAGGGTGGCCAGTTAACTTGGTTAATCAAATCAACCCAGGGTGGCCAGTTAACTTGGTTAATCAAATCAACCCAGAGTGGCCAGTTAACTTGGTTAATCAAATCAACCCAGGGTGGCCAGTTAACTTGGTTTCACAAAAACAAAACCCCAGTTTGATTTGAACTTACAACCCTGTAATCTCTCTGTATGGATTCCTTCCTTCACTCCATCCAATGGGACACTGTTCCCACTCATTATTGTACATCACACAGAACTTAGTACTTACTGATCAAGAGACTTTAGTAAATATGGGAGCATTTCATTCTCTAGGGACATGCTAAAGTCCCCATCCTTTCCTGTAACAGTGTGTCTTGTTGTTCTAGTGGAGACATCCTAGGATCCAGCGGGACAAAATGATTTGGAGTCCAATTATCTAACCACATATCATTCTGTGTTAAGGCCCACAAAACCAATGCTGTTTTGTAGCCATTTTTCTTCCTGTTTTCAGCTTCCCTTGGTAATATAACACAATTAAGGTCACATTTTGGAAGATCAGCACCACATACATAGAGATAATATTGCAGTTCAGGAAAGTTGCAAGTGCAAAAAGTTGTCAAGTACCTATAAACTTTATTTTCTCATATTAATTGTCTCTTCTGCAAAAATTCATTCTTCTTGCTACAGTTGGTGTTATTTATTCACCTGGTTAATACATGTCAGAGAACATTGTGTAAGACTTTATCAGATGTTTAGCATCTTTGCTAGACAGATGAATACCCGTAAATTACTGATCCAATCATAAATACCATATTGTTCTATTCCTAGATACACTTCAACAACTATTCTAGGTCTCATTTCTTCGTGGGCAAGCTCATCATCTCCAATTGTCACAACAATCATGATCATGGAAAGCAATTTCAAGTTGCCTTAATTAGTACAGGAATTTATTATCACTGAGTTAATCAATCGGCAACAGTCCCAATGCTACTTTGTCAACTGTATGCTTGTTGTTGAGAGCGTTAATACTCAAATCAACCCCAGCCAATGGACAACTGTTCATGTACACATGATTTGCAACTATTTAAAGTTATTAACCTTCTGCAAGTCAAGAAGTTTTCTGAAATATTCTCTCCTTGTTTCCCTCCTATTCAGTGTTTGAGGCATAGATTCATCAACATTTGTATCTGATTCTTGTGTTTTCATTCCTGGATCCGTGTTGGCAGTTTTCAGATACTAAGTTGTTTGTGTCGAAGGCTGGATTTCTTGAGGCCGTGTTAATGCTTTCCTGTGAGACTTCTCTTTTCTTCTTTGATTGCGGTGATTTTTTTACAGCCATCCGTTTGATAACACTGTGTTTCTTCAATTTCCAACGTAATATTTATTTTAGCTCTCTTGCGCCACTTTACGACATTTAAACAACTAATGCAAAAACAACTCAGCTTTCTTGCTTTGATAATATCATTTCTAACTTCACCGAGTGTTATAGAGAGAATAGGAAAGTTTTGGATGCCAAATAACTTTATACCAGTAGTTCCATCACAGAAATGACATATGCAAACATGGTTACCAGCAACCCACCACACTCGCCAACATCTACCCCCAACGTCAACCCCCAACAAGCTTGACTCTACATCTCCAACATTCTCTAAAATTAAGTGCAAGCCATCTACAAACGATCACCTTTGCTGGAAATTCTAGACCATTCCACCAGGAAACAGGATCGCCTTCACATCCCACAAAGACGGAAGCTTTCCACTTTCCACTTGGAGTATGAGCTCTGGAGAGACTACACGGTATTTTTTAACATAAACAGATTTAAGGACCTGAGCAGGGTAATTTCAATCGACGTTGATGCCTCAAACAATCTTGACATTTGAGATGCCGTATTAAGGTCACTATTCATAGTTATTATCATAATTATACAAGTTTTCCATTAAATTTTCAATCAGTAATACTGATCAACCATGATACCAATGCCACAAAATGTGTAATCCTATGGCTTAATTGTGCACTTAAGGTATTGTATCGTGCATGTGTGCAGAAAGTGTATTGCATGGTGTTCGAACAATGTATGCACAATGTTTTTGGTGCATTGTACAATACAACTGTAGATATTCATATATATTTATTCTTATGAAACTTTGATGGCTTAAGTAGTTTCGTGTCATATGATATTGAAACTGACACAGTATTATAGAAAATTCTTTATTCTTCATTCAACAGAGTTGATAGATCAAAAAAACTACAGAAAAAGAATGTACGTGCCCATATGAATTTTCTAACTCTCCTAATTCACGATTTCAAGGTAAGTTTTTCTGTTCTAGTAATTTTGTAAATAGTTATTTTGACCAATTATTCATCCATTGATTGATTAGTTGATTGAGATTTGATTGGCTTATTGAATATAAACATAAACTTTATTTATTTTCCAATATTTGTGAAGTAAATTTTTCCAAATTACATAAATCATGCTTGTTGACCCTGCTGGAAGCATGTGAGGGGTCTGACTGTAGGGGAACATCGGTACTCGAAAACCCTTACCTTTTCAAGTACCTGGTAGGTCTTGGTGAAAGGCAAGTGTTTAAACCCTGTGCCACATGACCTCCTTAATTGATTGATTGAATGATAGATATTTGATTGAGCATATCGGATGGAATTGATGTATTGTATACACATATGATATGTAGGTAGAAGATGAATTGATAAAGTGTAGTTTCTTCTGTTGGAGTGAAGTTAAATAACCACATTATTACAATGTATTATGTGCTGGAAAGAGCTGAGAGCTTTTCCTGGACACTCTCAAGTGTAGACAATATGACGGATCTGTCTTAGTGTGGAAAATGATGCTGTCTGTTCCAGATCATTGATTGGTTAATGCTTAATTGTTATCTAACCTTTTTAGGCCTGGTACAGACGATGGAAAAACAAACGTTGGGAACTACCCCTCCTCAAAAAGTACATTGAAAGGATAGAAAGTAAGTCATGATATTATTTTCTTTTGAAACCAAAAAAAAAGTTAGTATTTTCTACTTTATGAACAGTTAAAATGATCTCACTATGATAAACGCTGCTTTAATGCACATCCTATCAAGTTTGAAATCATTTACGTTTAAGAAACAATGAAGATTATTTAAACAGCTTATTCATTTTTTTTTTTTTTTTTGTCTGATTTTACATTGACGTATCATACATCTGTAAATTAGAAAACTTGAGATTTAATAGATTAGTCGGTAAATACATGTATATATAATTGATGTTTGATCATGGCTTTCTGAAGAAATTTGTTTACCAACAAGAATTGACTGAATGGATCTATAAATTTTTATTGTGAAAATAATGGAAGTTTATACATGTAATTTGTATGTGGAAAAAATAAGCTATTATTTTTCAACAAAAACCATAAGATATGTCAAGTAAATCACTTAGCTTGCATTCTGGCTTGTGTAAAAAATGACTGTAGACAAGCTTTGATCAGTTTCCTAGCAGTAATGAACAATAATAAGTGATACAGGCCTTTTAGGTCTCTTGCCTTAGACTTTGAGCTTTTCTATGTCTCATGGGTGAATCCAGTGGCTCATTTCAAGAAAACAACATTGAAAGGGACTTCAAAATGTTTTTAAATACTGAGAGTCTCTTGACTGATTAAAAAAGCAGTGGACACTAAATGATAATGGGATAGAAACTGAAGTTTCCTATTTACTGTTGTAGGTAACTTTGGGTCTGGTCTGGGTTCTCTGTTTGTGTTTACACGCTGGATTCTGTGTCTGAACTGTGTACTGAGTTTACTTTGGATCTCCTTGGTCATCCTACCAACAGCTATTACATTCACCTACCACCACGTTACAATGGAATTCAACTTTAAAAATCTGCTGGATGGCAGGGTAAGAGGTCAACAAGGTCAATGTCAAATAAACTTTGTGATCTGAAGACTTGGGTTAATGTTTTTAAATTAGTCTACACATTAATTAAATTGGGGTTTTTTTCATAGTAAATTATTTTGTGAAAAATAATGTAATTAAACATTTGAATTATTATTTGTTTTGCTATGTAAATGCTAGAAGTACTCAGATAGTATAAGCATTCTGGTAATTGCAGGGAGCAGTAGGGCAGTCATGGCTTTTCTTTGGAAAATACCAAGAGAAAGTAGGTGATGATTACTGGTTGTCTGTGGCATACCTTTTCCTCCTCCTTTTCACCTACTTTGGCAGTCTGCTGCTGGTTATGAGAAGGTATAGATTTTACGGGATCCCTTAAAAAAAATTTAGAGAACAGTTGTAATAAGTCCTGCAATGATGTTACATAGAGCAAGAAAATATTAGAATAATTATCCATACAAATTTCAATCGCCCTACAATGAAATATTTGGGGTTTTTTTTTTCATGTTTTCTCTTAAAATCTCTGACAAGCATAAAAGTCATCACCTAGAATGATCTGAGATGTAAGTTGCAATAGGGAATGAATGAATTAACTAAGGTAAGGTATGAATCCTATTTGAAAAATTCACCAGCTTCAGAAGAGAATAACATATTGGAAAATTTTTATATCAGATAATTTAAAGATAATAAATTTAGAATTTGGCTTAAAGCAATTCACATAAAGCATTAAGCATGTTACACTGGGCCTAAACCCCTTATATCTAATTTCTACATCAGATAAATGTTGTGAATTGTAGTATTGGAGAAGCTAGCATGCCCACATCTGCCTCCTCAAGCCAGAGCCAGAACAAATTCTCTCTTCTTCTGTTTACGTCCTGGGATCACTCCATCACCAATGAAGAGGCAAGCAGTAACATGGTGCAGGGTATAGCTAGCATTATCAAGGTACAACATTTAAAACTTCTCATACAAACCTGTTCTCAGAGCAGCTAGATAGAACTATTATCCTATGTACAATATTTCTACAACAGCTTTAAGAAAAAAAGGACAATTATATCCTATTGTCAATATCAGATGACATCACTGGCCACAGATTCTTTGCACCTCCAGATTTTTTTTATTTTTTATTTTTTTTTTTTTTTGTGGTGTTGAAGAACACAAAATTGATTCACTCTCCTTATCACAATTAGCAATTCAAATTGATACCTTTTCATTTGTACCCTGTGATCTTCCATTTCTTTTGACAAAGTTTGTTTAAATAAATTACCTTGACACATTTTTGAGGTCAATGAAATCTGTCATTAGATGATTTCAATGACTTCTCAATATCCAAAACGAAAGCTGTATCTAGGTCAAAGCTCAAAAAATAAAAAAGAAAATACATTTACCTAAAGTCCACATCTGTCATTGTTAAGAGTTGAGTATTAGGAGCTATTTCTAGAAATTTGTTAAAATTGATTAGATGTGTCCACTTTGAATGCCGATGTTAATGTCTTTGTGATAAACATTGATTCTATTTTCAATGAATATTGGATACCAGTTGAGTGATGCAAGCCCATTGGACCTCTTATTTATTCAATTTCTTTTTCAATATATAAATGAACTTGATATAGTTTCCATGGTTTAGGGAAACAATTTTGAGTAAATACATTTCAGTTTTGTGATTTCACCTGAGTATTGTAAAGTGGTATTTAGTTTGGGATGAACACTAAAGGGACATCACAGTAAAATCCTTATTTTTGTTCTTGATTGTATGTGTTTTATACATAGGTATGTGCGTTTCTATGCTTTCCCGATATTCACAGTCGAATTCCAATGTCTAGCTTGATCACTTCTGTGGTTTGAGAAATATAGTGCTGATAAGGTCTAACAATAATTTCAAAAATGAGGCAGTTCATTTTGTATGAACACATGATGGTGGGAAGAAATCACAACAACAGTAGTGACAGTCGGTAAAATAACGTTTTTCAACACCTGGTTTTGTTCAGTAAATGTTATTTGTCAATTCAAAATAACAAAATAAGTAACATTAATTGCCAACTGATTCAGGCGGGAAGCCATTTTTGTTTTTCAGGTGACAATGTTTTGTGCACATGTGTTATCGTATACCACACAAAAATTAACATATCCAGACTTAATAAACAGAAAAGGTTTTCTTTTTATGATTACTAATTGACCTCTTTATTTTTCATTGGAAAAGAATTGTTCTTCCATGATGTCACTTTAAAGTTACTAGATTAAAAATCTTTAAATAATTTCTTTTGTTTTGTTCAATATTTGCAACAAATTTAACAAACCTTAATTTTAATGTTATGAAGATACTCTCATGTTGGACAAATTACAGAAAACCAATGATAAAAAGATAGTTCGATCACAACCAAAACAGAAATGAAACCTTGCACAGATTATGTATATATAGTCAGAACCCTTTAGACTTGCTTCTCACCTGCTGTCGATATTTGATTTGTTAACAGGACAACCTGTACGAAGTAAAGGCGTCAGATGCTGAACGTAACCGCAGTGTGAAGGAGAGACGAGGCATTTACTGTCGACGAGTCCTGGCCTGGTTCTGCACCATGTAAATACACAGTACACTTTTGCTGCATGTCCTGTAATTGGTGTCCTCAGTTGGTATAAGTATTGTAACCTTTAGATGTTATTCACGAGTTTTAGTTTAACAATCATTGACGTTTTATACAATATACTGAGTAGAAGACAGGGAAAGAATATCCCTGCTGTATCACACATTTCCTAAGTGCTGACTAGTTGCGGGACATTCCTGCAATTGAGCATGATTATTCTAATGTCTTCTGTTAAAGGGTTTTGGACACGGTTTTGATTAAATTCAGTCACATCATCATCTACATAGCACCACCACTCAGATGGCACAGCTCAATTACTTTCCGATACCTGTTTATAGGCAGTCAAAAGTACATGTGCTCATTACACATGAGTGAGAAATTCAATGAGGCGACCAGTCACATGGTACATGTGATGTCACAGTGTTACTTTTACTTATCTAATATGTAAACAGTAGTGTATTAGGCAGACACTTTTCTATGATCCTGGCTTTTTGTGATGCCTTAATTTGGTTGAAAGTAAATTATCTTGCTTTAACTAAACACTATATATTGTTATACAAAAACTTGTACACAGGTGCCATTGAGCTGGACTAGGTGGGAATGTTAAGGAAAGGATACCAACATTGTTATTTTCTGATCATGTTAAAATATGAATGTGGCAGCTACAGCAGCAATTAATTTTATAGCATGATTGTGGTCTTCCTGAACATGTGTTTGCAGGGGATATTGAGTTGTGCTCCGTCTGTCTGCCCCTACGAGGGCTTTTTCCAGTCTGTAACTTCAAAACCATTCAACTCAACTTCACAAAACTTTAGTAAGTTAGTGCCATAGTTTTGCCTTTTGCTATTGAGGACATCTCATGTTCTGTTGCCATTTAGTGTTAACTTTAACTTCAAAATCATTTCACTCAACTCTGCAAAACTACCTGCATATATTATATTAGTGCTCTAGTTAGTGCCCAGTTACCATGGTAACAGATATCCCTCATCACAAATTTCAGTTTTTCAGGACCAAGGCTCTAAAACCATTCAATATGATTGGTCAAAACTTTTTACACTTACTAAGCTAGTAGTATCTTTTGCTATGGGGAAGTTCTCCATTTAGATACTTTTTCTGTTACCATGGAAACAGATCTGCCAAAATACAAGGATTTTTCCGACCAGTTCTCTTAAACTGTTCAAGATAATTACCCAGTTCTCAAAACTTTATACAGGCATCAAGCTAGTACTCTAGTAGAAGTTCTCTATTTCAATACTTTGTACAGGCATCAAGCTAGTACTCTAGTAGAAGTTCTCTATTTCAATACTTTGTACAGGCATCAAGCTAGTACTCTAGTAGAAGTTCTCTATTTCAATACTTTGTACAGGCATCAAGCTAGTACTCTAGTAGAAGTTATCCATTTCAATACTTTGTACAGGCATCAAGCTAGTACTCTAGTAGAAGTTCTCTATTTCAATACTTGCATTATCTTTTCTGAAGTTAGCTTTATACTGCTTAAATATTCCAAACTGTTTCCTTTAATAAATTGGAAGTCTTCATAGTCTGTTAACTGTTAAGATCCATAGGCCTCTAATGTAAATGCCTTATTTAGAAAATTAACAGTTGGTGACCGTTAGCAACTCACATGTGTATTGAAAGCTAACCACAGGTCATAGTCTGTTTGCTATTTACAGATCTAGACCTCCATTTATGGAATATGCAAAATCTATGTTATGTAAATAAATGATTTTTTATTTTAGTCTGTTGGTTGGAGGTGGATGTACACTGATTGTTTTCCTGGTCATTTTCAATGTCTCCAGTGTCATAAAACAACAGGTTTGTACCTTTTTTTTGCGTTTACAGATACTACAGGGATGACATCTTGTAGATAGAATAGTAATTTGATCCTTTTGTGTATATCAAACAAATCTAATGGTGACATAACAGTATCTTTGCTGGCTTTGAAGATAAAAACAAGATCAGAAGAAAGTGGAAAGATTTTTATTTATTTTCTCCCATTTAACATCTTTGGCTATTAGCTAGCTTGTCCTGAAGTGAGCTTATGCCATTGTGAGTGGTCCATTTGGCATCAACTCTTCCATTTAAACAATTTCTTCTCAATAACCAACCAACCAGATGTCATGGTATTTGACTGGTGGATTGTCAGGATAAAGTCTGACAAAGTTTGCAAAAAGAAGTGACCTTGACCCTTATTCAAAGTCATAGGGGTCATATTTAAACAACTTCTTCTGACTAAACCAAAGGCACAGATTAAAGCATGGATGACAGTATGAAGCCAGTATAAGATAATCTTCATCCATATTCAATGTCACAAGGGTCAAATTTTTCAAAACGTTTTAAATGACTTCTTCTGACTAACCAAAAGGTGCAGGACTATGGTGTATGGCTGACAGGTTTCTAGAAATAGTGACAATCAACATTCAGGGTCACGGGTTAAATTTGTTTAAAGATTTAGATGGCTTCTTCTGACTTACCAAAAGGTGCAAAAGCATGGTGTTTGGATGATAGGTTCCCAGGATGAAGCCTGACACAGTTTGAGAAAATTCTGACCTTGACACATATTCAAGGTCACAGGAGTTGAATATGTATTTGTTAAAAGCTTAGAATAACTTTTCTGACAAACCTCAATGCTCAGAAGCATGGTATTTGGCTTATAGATTCTTAGGATGAAACCTGACAAAGTTTGCAACAGAGAAATGATCTTGGCATTTATTCAGAGTCACGGTGATCAAATTGCCAAAACCTGTAAAAGAGTTCTTCTGGTAAGCCAAAAGTCCAAATAGGTTATTTGGTAATCAAGTGTTTCTAGGTCAAAGCCCGACAAATTTGAATGTGCCCACTTTGAATGCAAATGGTTTACGTCTTAATGTATTTGTAATAAACACTGATTCTAATGAACATTGAATACGCAGTGATGATGCAGGTCCATTGGCTCTCTCATTCGGAAATGACTTTGAGTGACAGTCGGTTGTAATAGTTATGTTACTAGAGAATTTGAGACAATCTCTGAGGACAGTCTGTATTTGTTTATATTTCAGGAAAGTGTGGGGCTCTCAGAAGACAGCATAGTTGTTGTGTACAGCACTCCAATCATCTTTACACTGATCAATGTCTTGGTGCCTTTATGTATCAAAAAGGTTAGTTGAATGTGTATCTGTTACATCATCTGATGTGGGATAAAAGATATGATACCTGGCAATGAAGCATGATGGGACAAAATGTTGTCAAACTTGCTTGAATTAATAAATATGACCAGTTTCAAGGTCAATATTAAAGGGGATTAAATGTATTCAGATTTTAAATTGGACTTCTGTATTACCAACAGGCCTGTATATTGATATGATGAGCTACAAATTGTTCAATAAATGACCATAACTTTCAAGATCTTAAGGGGTCAGATGTGTCAAGTCTGAAAAATCAGCACATAACTGATATATGATACATATGTACCTGTAAAAATGGGATAATCACCAACAGCATATTCAGCACTTCCTGCAAAATCTTCTTATACAGGCTGCACAACAGGTGAGAGATTACCAGCCAGTCTGTTTGTAACGGGCAATTGTATCTCTGCAGGTGAATTGGCATTGTAAACTTACACCAAGTTGAAGTGACAAATTTTTAGTGTCTAACCTCACAATGTAGTGATGATATAAAATGTGCTGCAGTTACCCCAGATGGAGGATTATCATAGTGGCAGAACAGAGCTGTACATCACACTGGCACGAGTCTACTTCCTGCGAATGGCCAACCTCTTTTGCCTGCTTATATCTCTGTATACCAATATAAACTCCCATGTAAGTCTATAACAACTCTTTTACACTACTGGTAATGCATGAGAGTAACAACTCGCACACAATAAGAACTTCTATATACTTGTATCTCATGTGTAGAGTATATAAACAACTAAAAACTGAAATACAGAAAAGCTCTCCCATACTCTTTTACAACTTGATCTAAACCTATAGCCATCAATCCACCAAAGCAGCAAGTCCTCGCACACATATAATACTATATAATACAAACTTTAGTGGTGACTTTACTTTAACCTTTTCATCAGAAAGTAAGCTCTCCTGACCAAAATTGGATTGCCTTCAACTTGGTGCAGTTTCTGTATCTCGTTTATATAGCAATTGTTACAGTAGTGTAAAGTCATCATTAAATTTCTTAAAAAATAGGTAAATGTTTCCTTGTTTGCCTATTTATTAGCCAAAAAGTGATAATGCACTGAAATTTTATGCCACTGAATCGGCAAGTTTCCAGTTTTATATACCACACTTCTATTACATTTTTATATGCTGCAGAGGCAGTCATATATTGGCGTCATCTCCGTCCGTCCATACGTCCATTTCTTGTGAACGCAACTCCTCCTAAACTAATCTTCAAATTTTCACGAAATTTGCTCAATGTCACTACTACAATGGGTAGATGTGCATGAAGGGGCAATTTTTCCGTTCATTGATTTTTGTAAGATTTATGCCATTTTCAACTTTGAATCTGTAGCTTGCTCTTAGTGGAGCTTTGTGAATGCAACTCCTCCTAAACTAATGATCAGATTTTCATAAAACTTGCTCAATGTCACTAATACAATGGTCCTATGTGCATGAAGGGGCGATTTTACGGTTCATTGATTTTTGTAAGATTTTTGCCATTTTATCTTGATCTTTATATTTTGTGGCGGCGTATATTGTGTCCACAGCACTCTCGTCTTATAAGTAGGAACTCTTTACACTAAAACAACCTTTTACCATGTTTGTCACATTTTTTTTACAACAGATTGAAGGTGGTGGATGTCTTGGAACTGTCATTGGTCAGGAGATCTACAAACTAGTTGTCATGGATACCATCATTCATGTAAATTTCTTTAATTCTTAAACTGTGTTGATGAAAGTAACATTATGAAAAACATGCAGCAAGGGAAGGAATTGATTGTGTTTCAGGAATAACAGAATTAATACTTAATTGAAGCAGCATTTTAAAGGTTGTCATAAATATTTACTCTGTAACCATTAGTGTGACCTACACAACCATTAAACATAAGCACTCTGTAACCACAGATGTGACCTACACAACCATTAAACCTATTTACTCTGTAACCACAAGTGTGACCTACATAACCATTAAACATATGTACTCTGTAACCACAGATGTGACCTACACAACCATTAAACATATTTACTCTGTAACCACAAGTGTGACCTACACAACCATTAAACATATGTACTCTGTAACCACAGATGTGACCTACACAACCATTAAACATATTTACTCTGTAACCACAAGTGTGACCTACATAACCATTAAACATATGTACTCTGTAACCACAGATGTGACCTACACAACCATTAAACATATTTACTCTGTAACCACAAGTGTGACCTACACAACCATTAAACATATGTACTCTGTAACCACAAATGTAACCTATACCACCGTTAAACATAATCTGTAATTACAAGTGTGACTTACACAATCATTTAATATATGAAAATGTGATCTCTATACAAGTTTTCATAACCAGAAAAAAGCATTCTAAAAGTATTGTGTTTGTATTTTCAGGTAATATTCATCACTACTTCCAAATTTCTACTTTATTTCTGGACCAGAAAGAAGTCCGAGTTTGATCTATCATCAGCTGTTCTAGTCTTAGTGTACAGACAAGGATTGGTGTGGGTTAGTGTTGGTTGTGTGTACTTTGATGTAGGAATGTATGTGCATGCATACTCTGTGTTTGCAGTGAACAATTATAAGTATAGGGATGATTTTGTATTTTCATGTTGTAAAAGAAAATTGTTGTTACTTGTAGACTACATCAAATACTATATGTGTTGCAGGTGGGGACAATAGCTTGTCCATTGATGCCCGTTGCAGGTGCCATTTCTTGTCTTGTATTTTTCATCACAAATTACAACATTGTTCGGTGTGTGTGCAGGCCACCCTTGAAGCGGTGGAACCAGTCACGTAATACCAGGTTTTTGATGGGATTCCTTATCATTACACTTACTGCTGTCATATTGCCTATGTCTGTGGTCATTGGCAGGTAAGATGTCCTACTGTTCTACAGAATTAAAACTTATTAAAATGATTGAATAACTATGGAGTCAGGATTTACAGTATAATAAATGTAGTACTCTGAGTTCACCAGCAGTCATTTTCTTTGAAATTGCATTACTGTAATTCACTTAGATTTTGTTACAACTTAATTTCGTGAAAATACTTCTTCAGACATATTCACAAATACATGATTTCACAAACGGTGATCTAGAAATGACTTTAAATTCACAAATGATGGGCTATTAGATATATGGATCTAATGTCAGTAACTGAATCAGCATGGATGTCATCAAGACTTATTTCAGTACAAGTAATCACGAGGGATTTGTTATATACAGGAAGTAAAAGTAATTTGAAGTATAACTTGCATAAACAATATAAGAATGATGAACATGCTTGTTATCTTGCTATTAGTTGCCGAGTCTGTACAGGTCAACTGTAACCATGGCCCATGTTTTGAATCATAAATCCTCAGATATATTCATTAAAGTTAACTGTATACATATGACAACATACTCACAAATGCTTTTCTCTGCCAGTCGGGACTTAATCCATTTAGGTCAGACCTCATCCCCTCATCGTTTCTGTGGACCATTCGCTGGGGGTCGCCCTACTGATGCCTACAGACGTTTTGTTGCCAAACTTGACAGCTGGCCAGGCCTGGTGCTAAAATGGTTGGGCTCCGATATTGTCACTATCCCTCTAGTCCTCATCATCATGTAAGTAAGAGAAAAAAAACAGGTTTGGGATTTTTCTAAATTCCCCTTCACTCTCGAATTTTGTAAAGCAAATCCACTTATTTAAACAGAAAATGTTTCAAAATCTATAGATCTTTGTTTCCTCTATCAGGTCAAGCACCTCTGCCACCAAGGGAAGTGCAGACAAAATAGATTTCCCTTCACCAAAGGATGCTGTTGACCAAATTGGTCAAACCCCTTTATCAAAACGAACAATTTTAGATGTTCATATTACAATTTCTCTTAGGGTATGATGTATCTCTTTTCTACTAGTCCTCAATCACTCTGTAAATATAGAAATTGTCTTAACTTACAGAGCAATACTGAGCTACCAGCGAAAACTTTTATCTGGGGAGAAGCATTACCGTGTCCTGCTCCAAGCAGAGCTTCAGCAGGTGGGTATAATAGTAGAAGTGACTTTGAATTGAGATATGCAGGTACTTCAGTTAACATTTACAACCATTGTCAAAAGTTAATATTTTGTAAAAGTTAGGATGAACTATTATATATTGATACTATTTATTGATTTAAGTTTATTGTATCTATTATGATTCAGTATTTTTATTGCCATTAATTTCTTAATTACTTCAAATAATAAAGTTTCATGTGCAGTGTCACAGTGAGTTCCAGATATGTTTCATATTTCTACATTAAGAATGATGTTGCCAGGGTAACCGGGTCATAATACATATGTTTTTATGTAACGGCTGTAACTCATCAATCCTCTGATCAATTTTACTGATACTTGGTCAAGTGGTGTAATTTATCAATGGCTGTAATTTGACACATTAGTTGTTTCTGGAACTGTTTCTATTGAGACATGATTGTGGTAAAAGTTGGTATGTAAGGACATTTAGGGAAGGCAATTACCATGGTACCATGGTGTCATTTGGTTTCTATGGTAACCACATAAGGTCCATGATATGAGCAGTCTTTTCCAGACTGCTCCTAATGTTGTGGACTGATTTCAATGAAACTACACAGGGATGTTAGGGACTATGTGTAGATGTGCAAATGTGCCACAGTAACCAGGTCACTGTGCACAGGTTTACATATATGTATGCAGTGCCATAGCTCTAAGCCCTTTCATTGATTTCATTTAAACTTGATCAAGTACTGTAGTAAATTATAGTTTATAATTTGACATATTAAGTGTTACAAAGCCATTACCATGGAAACACATCGGAGGCTTCTGATTGGTCAGAAGTAAGATATTACTTATTTAAGTTGATAATTGCTATAATTGGTGGTTGTATTAGTCAGTCATCCTGGCGACAGTTCTAGTGAATAGTCAGGTCTGGGCCAAATAGTCAAATAAAGAGGGGAACAAAGTAAGTATTTTTAGTTCTTATGGAGTATATGTAAACAAGAAAGAGATAAGCAAAGAGGAAAATGATATATGTAGTTTTGCTGTTGCTTTGTTTTGGGGATATGAAACTAGTTCAAAGATATGAAAACTTTCAGCGTTAATAATCACGATAAAAAATTATTTTGGTTTTCATAGGAGAGAAAGGATAACCAGGAACTCATCAAAAAGTTACAGGTGGTTGGTATAGATATGTGATGGTAGTCCAGGAACTCATCAAAAACACACAGGTGGTCAATACAGATACATTACAGGAGACAGTGAAACCAGGAACCTGTCATAAACACACAGGTGGTTGGTATAGATATGTGATGGTAGTCCAGGAACTCATCAAAAACACACAGGTGGTCAATACAGATACATTACAGGAGACAGTGAAACCAGGAACCTGTCATAAACACACAGGTGGTTGGTATAGATAAGTGATGGTAGTCCAGGAGCTCATCATAAACAAACAGGTGGTCGGTGTAGATATGTGATTGGAGACAGTTTAAAGAGGAACTCGTCATCAAAATACAAGTGGTTGGTATAGATATGTGATGAGAGGCGGTATAACCACGATCTCATCAAACCCAACAGCTGGTCGCTATAGGTATGTGATTGGAGACAGTGTAATAAGGATCTCGTCAGCAAAATACAAGTGGTCAGCATAGATATGTGATGAGAGGCCGTATAACCACGAACTCATCAAAACCAACAGCTGGTCACTATAGGTATGTGATTGGAGACAGTGTAACAAGGATCTCGTCAGCATGATACAAGTGGTTGGTATACATGTTCGATGATCGTAGATATGTGATGGTAGACAGTATTAGCAGGAACTCATCAAAAACCAAAAGTAGCCAATGTAGATATGAGATTGTGACTTGGAAAAATAATGAATGACCACTGGCTACCAAACACAAGAATCCTAGGTAAATTCACCCAGCTTGATGGGCTCATTCCCCGAACACCAACTCTGCCAACTTGAAAGGAGGGTGTTTATAAAGGGAATCCTTTGATGTTAAAGTTATAGTCTGTTTCAACTAAGAATGTCAACTTGTCCTTGTAAATAGGATACGTACATATCAATAAGGAAATAGGTAAAGTTTTTTTTTTGTTTTACATATATAAATGTAACACATTTTTGTAGTATATGAAGTATTACAAAATAGTTATTACTTATTAGTATTTAAAATTGTTATTTATTATTTTAATGATTATCATATAAGATTATATTTAATTGATAAATAAAATTTAGTAAGTCACAATGATACACTGATGTCTGTTATTAAATTGTATTTGTATTACATATATATAATGTTGAAACATTATCCACATCTTAGCATTAAATAAATTATTATCTAATATAAATAGTAAACCCCTAAATGAAGCTGAATTAGCACTATGTGTGACAATACATTATCCATTTATCTAGATATTATGTCCTTTTACAACCTGTGATAATCAAGTAATCCATAAGTCCAGAAAACACAAAACACTCTATCCAAGATGCAGAAGCTCGGATTCTGAATCGGCATAGGTCATCAGGTCGATTGTCCCAGTCTGGTAACGGTCCTTCAAGGTGGCCAGGCGTCTGTCAATGTTGGCGTATTTCTTCTTCCGGGGTTGAATGGTGCCTCCTGCATCTCTCTGAATCCGGCTGATGTCGTTCATGTCCTGTATGTCCTTAAACGTCTGGATAATGGTGTAGATGTTGGGGTGGGCATGCAGTACCTTCTTCAGTTTTCCGTGCCAAGCTTCCAGATGGTTGGTAGTCCGGGGTCCCTCGGTTGAAAAGTGGTTCCAGGTGGTACGATCTCCCTCTATCCATTGTGTGCAGCTACCTCGAAATCGACGAAGGCTGTAGTGGGTCGGAATGGAATGTCGAAGTGTACCATGTGATCCTGGAAAAGGGTGAAGAAACGGCTGTAGATTGCCTGGCTCTTTCCGGGAAGTAATGCGTATACGACTGGTGTCATGATGCCTTCATTCTGTACATGGACGCTGTAAATCTGATGAAACATTGTTGGACAGTTGTAGAAAGTTCCGTCACAGAAGAAGGTGTCAGATGCTGCAAGTTCGGCCAGGTTCTCCGACGAAGCGAATGCAATCATCCTGTTGTTCTGTTCACCGTTGTCAAAGAGGAGAAATGGTTCGCCTGTAGATGCTTCTGTCCATCTTCCATCCAAGGTGATGTCGGCCAAAGTCTTTGGTAGTGGAGGAGTCTGCTTGCGGCGAGCACGGTAAAGAGACAATTTCGCTGTGTAGAATGTTGGTAGTCGCTGGACCACGGCCTTGGAAGTGTCATCCCAGTCGTTGTCTCGGAGTTGATTGAGCTCTTCCTCAAAGATGGACGGAATAGGCTGGACCGATTATACGCATTTGTTGGTGATCTGGTTCATGATCTGTTTGGCTACAACACTGGCTGGGTCTGAGGCGTGGGTGTGTGGATTTCTTCCGAAGTTAGCTGGTATGTTGTCGATTGTCGAGAGTGATGCTGAGCAGCCTGAGGTCGAACATCTCCAGAATGTCCTGCTGCCGTTCTTTCGAATCTGTCTGAAGATGAATCCATTATGTGAAAGGTTCTGTCCGCCTCTTCTGTTGGTGATGAACTTAACGTTGATCTTAGCATTAGCCATACTGTCCTTGTATCAAACAACAAATATAATAATATCACTCAAATTAAACACAATTTACATAAAAACTGAGAGAAAATACAAGATTAACTAATTTACACAAAAACTGAGAGAAAATACTAGATTAACTAATATTTGACAAAAGTTACAATTTACACAAAAACTGAGAGAAAATACAAGATTAACTAATATATATATGACAAAAGTTATGATTTGACAATATATATCTGTGACAAAAGTACAGTAATAAATCAAGCAATGATTGAGACATTGATCTTTCAAAGTGCAGATTGAAATATGATAATTTCCCAAAATGAACTTGGCTTTTATACATTTCCCATTGAATAGCTTGGGATTTAAACAGATTTAACACAGATATTTGATTCCTTTATTTTACAGTTATTAGCAGTTTTCAGTTTTCTGAACAGTTATCAGAATCAGAACTTAATCATCTGATTTACCTGTTTTCTGAACAGTTATCAGAATTTACCTGTGCAAGTTACCTGTACTACAATTCTAAAACAGCTTATAATCCACTATCATCACAGTTGACCTCCTATGTAAACATGTTGCCATATACAGAGTTGGTGTTCGGGGAAGACCCCGCTTGATTGACAATCATCACTGTAAGAGGCATGCATTTGGACTCCTTCAGTAGTGGTGAAAGTTTCCTCTCAATGAGGTGCTACTAAGGATTACAGCAGAGAGAGAATTAACGAGATTTAATTTCCAAACATTCATGGATATGACATGACTAACACGAATGAGTGTACTAGTACTGACACAATGGCAGAAAAACCACTGAGAAGAATTAAAGCTGTGCCAGCAAGAAGTCCTTTCGATTATGCAAGTTAAAACTGGTACAATGCAATGTTACACCACAAATCCTTCATTCTATAAATTTAATTTCTTGTAAATCGATGTTTATTTTGACTTGTAGAGGATTACTTGTTGACAAGATAAGAAATATTGTCAATCATAAGTATATTGGGTACTGATGCACATATTTTTGTACAGGCCATATCCTAGTTTCTCATAATTCAACAAGAGATCCCAGAGGGATCTTGATGCCCACCATTTTGATCTTTATTTGTTCTTTAGAAGTTTTATCTTTTCCCTTAATTTTCTCTTCTCTCACTGTTTTTACTCTTGATTATACCAAATTTTAGCATTCCTCTGACGAAAGAGCATTAATAATTTTAATTGCCAAATCCAAGATAGCTGTCAACCATTTCCATTTTTCTGATCAGTCCCAAAATGAAATGTGCACAACAAATTACCAAAGGTAACCTACATATCACATTTGAGATCCATCCAGTACTTCTCACAAAATAGTGATAACAACCTTTCATTGTTGAAATCCAAGATGGCTGCCTGTTGGCTTCTTTTTTTTTTACTTTTAATCAGTCCCAAAATCAAATGGGCACAACCAGGACAAAGAGGAACCTACATGCACATATGAAATTTGAGAATGTTCCTTCTAGTACTTCTCAAGAAATAGCAATAACAAACTTTCTCTGTGGAAATTCAAGATGGCCACCTATCAGCCATTTTGTTTTTCTGATCAGTGTTAAAATTATATTGGCACAACTAGGGAGCAAGGAGAACACACGTGTGAAATTTAAAAAACAAAATATCCATCCAATATTTCTCAGGAAATAGCGATTACAAAAAAACTTTATTTACCGACAGACGAAGGGTGATTTGATTAGCGAAAAAACAAAACTTTGTATGATTTCTGTTTCTGACATTATTTAATCAAAACAAAAGAAAAAACTTTGTAAACTATTTTCATATTTAATATACTTGGTCAAGATATATGCATACATGGAAATATCACAGTGAGCCAACTTCTGGTTTCTAGAGCTGTATTTTCAAATTAGATCAGCTAGAAAAATGTCTGCAGGTAAAGAAGGCAAACGAGACAAAAATTGTTTTTATCGTGAGTCATTACATTCATTAACCAGTGGTTACAAAAACAGTTGTAGCTCCCATTAACTGAACATTTTCTTTGTTTCAGCTCAGCTCCCAATATTGAGAATAATAATGTTAAGAAAATAAATGCATACATTTCTTTTTAGATCAACTGAAGGGCAAATTGCTTTCATCAGTAAAAAAAAGGATGTTCCAGATCAAAAATATATTCCGCTTTATGAAATACAAGTACATGTACATTTGTATAAATATTAATTTGACAAATCTTCTTACCTCTGTTGTAAAAAGTGGGGGCATTAATTGAGGACAATATATAGATATTGTACTCTGTATCACTTCTCATTATAAATGCTAACATAATTGCAGATCCTTTGAAAAATGAAATAAACACTATAGTAATCATGATCCTTACAACAAGAAAGTAAATTAACAAAGTATACATATATGTGGAGAGGTAAGTAGTCTAGAATATAGTGGGTGTAAATAGAAGCACAGATTAACAATGCTGATCATGGCATTTGGCCTGTATATGCTAAATTAGTGAAAACTAAAATAAAATATCTTGACTAGTGCTCTCCTATAACTGTTCATCACATATTAAATTGTTTTATAACTGTTCAGGCGATGTAAAATTGTTTGTTCCATTTTAGAAAACATCTTGCATTAACCAGCTGAACATACCAAGGCTGACTGATAAGTTGTGAGCCATCTATTTAAGGGTTTGACTTTAGGCAGACATATTGTATCATTTTTCAACATAATTCCCTTCAGCACCTATATGCTTTTGCCAGTGATGTTTATAAGGGCATCAATGCCACTTTTACAGAAGTCCTTTCTTGACCGTTCAGAAAGTCCTCCACTGCATGTATCACATCATCATCTGACCAAAAATGGGTACCAGAAATGACCTTTTTCAATTTTGTAAAAAAGATTAAAGTCTGAAGGAGCAACATTAGGCGAATAAGACGGATGCTCTATCAATTCAAAGCCACAATCATTAATGGCAGCCATGGCAACGACAGACTTGTTAACAAGGGCATTGTCCTGATGGAACAACATACTTTTACTGAGTTTTCAATGGTACTTCAGCTTAATATTTCTCTTAACTGCCTAGGAAGTTTTGCATAATATGTGCCATTGATTGTTTGGCCTCTTTGCAAAAAGTCTATAATCAGAATACCATTAGCATCCCAGAAAACAGAGGCCACAACCTTTCCACCTGATGGAACACTATTTCCCTTCAATGACAGGGGTGAACCGTGTGCTTCCATTGTTTAGACTTTGCTTGGCCTCTGGGGTGAAATGATGGGTCCATGTTTCATCCATAGTCACAAACCTCTGAAGAAAAGTATGCAGGATCTGCCTCTAAAAGGTTAAGATTAGCATGTGACAAAGTCTGCCTGGTGTGCTTCTGATAAATGTCAGATGTCTTGGTACCAAACAGGCTGAAAGCCTCCTCATTTGCAAGATTTTTTGTAAGAATGGAATGCACTCTTTCCTGTAAATTCCAAATGTACTGGCTATATATCTCTTTGTAACTCTTCTATCAGCCATAACAATATCATGGACTTTATTGACCATTTCTGGGGTTGCAACAGTGACAGACCTGCCAGGACAGGCGTCGTCCTAAAGGCTCTACCTGCCACACTTAAGTTCCGCCAGCCACCTTTTCACATCAGCATATGAAGGGGCATCATTCCCTAGTGTTGCTACCACATCAGTATGTACCCTTAGGTGCTAGACCTTTCTTATGCAGCATAAACTGACCAAATGACACCAGTCTTCGGGAACACAGCCTTAAATAATCAGGGAATAATAGAGCTGAAAAAGTACATCCCTGCTCAACTTCTTCAATACAAGGCTCACAAATTATCAATCAGCCCTCGTAAATAAGCAATGTCTAAAAGTACATATATATACATTGACTGTGATTATAAATATCGATATAATAAAATTTCAGTTAAAATACATATAACAGCAGAACAAATACATACTGTGATTATAGATATCAGTAAAATAACATTTTAGTTTAAATACATATAATGCTCTGCATTGCGTTAGTACTAAAGCATACTTCATACTTAACAAAATTTCTTTTAACACATATCACATTTACAGGCATTTCTTACCCATAAGGACAGCAATATGTTGGAAGACTTGTACTGGGTATTCAAAATTTGTTGCTATTTCTTTCAACAATTTTGAAATTTTTACCATGAAAATAGCATCTTTTCATACATGGTATACAAAATGTAATACTGAACTATCAGCCTATCACAAAAGCATATCCTCAAAAAATAAATGTGAATATAGTCCATGTAAAACAACTGCATTTTATTAACTTCTAGAACAAACAAGAGTTATCAGTGAAACTGATGAATACTCCCTGAAAGCGACTTTAACAAAGGGCCAGAATTCTGTAAACAAGGGGTTGCAGGACCTGAATCTGGTACACTGCACATCCCCTTAGTATGACTGGTGTATACACCAAGTTTCATGATCCTTGCTCCTAACTGTGGGCAAGTTATGCTCCGGATCCGGACATGAAAGGACAGACAAGGCAGCGACTAGATGCTCCCCCGAAAATTTTTGGGGAGCATAAAAACACTGAAAACACCAAATAGGAATGAGACTTTGCTACACAATCCTTCAGAACCATGTCCAGTTCTTCCTATATTAGTTTCAGGCTGTCCAGCGTCCCTAAAATTCCTAAAAAAAAAAAGGAAAAATTCAAAGGGAATTCCTAAAAAAGCCCCACTTTTTCACTTCAGTTCCTACTTTTTTTATATTTCTTACAATTTACTGAAAATGTTTTCATTAAATTCATACTTAAAATGTATTTTAATGTAGTCTGTAGTTCTAATTCAGGGTAGACAATGAAAGGCAGTTGACCAGTGGATCTATGTACCCAGATTGTTATTGGTTGTGACCGAGTGACAGAGGTGTGATTCTTAAGATCACAGCCAACAGCAGCTGGGACACTGAAACCCTGGAAGACACCTTTCCTGCAATTAAGGCATTGTATGCTAGTTTCTATTTTGTCAAATTTGCAAACGTAAGTCAGTTTAATGCTTTCAAACTTCCTATTCTAGTTACAAAATTCATAATTTTAGCCCTAAATTTGCCCTAAAATTTTGTAATTTTAGCCCTAATTTTTTGTCAAGAAGTGCTGGACAGCCTGTAGTTTGATAAATATATATGCCAATATTGAAGTGCTAGAATGATGCAGAAATATATAATACACAATAGCACATTATCAAATTTAAAATGTATAAAAGGTAGTTTTCTATGCACATTTTCCGAAAACATGGGAAGAAATTACATGTATGCAGCTCTATCTTTTACATCAATGCCAATTGCCACATCTTTTCCTACATCAAGCCAAGTCTTATGTTTTGACATAAGCACAAGCTGCTGCTACACTGACATACAGAACAAAAGTAAAACCAACAAAGGTCTGGGTGAAGGTGCCTGGCGACAGGTAGAGTTTAAGTGACAAGTCAATTAAGGTGACAACCATTGCAAGAGTGATCACAGCAACCAGTGCTGGCCACCACCCTGTACATGTAACAAGTCTTCCAAAGATAACATCCATCCTACCTCTCCAACTTCCTTTCTTTTGTTGAAGAGGAAGAAACGTTGTCTGCTCGTGCTTATTCATTAGCCGTCCAAAGTGAAAGAATCTGCATTGGCCAGCTTTGCGTATTTGTCCTGGTGAGAAGGACGGGTGGTGATGTATCAGGGAGTGACCAGCTAGTCCCTTCTTACACTCTGACATACTATTTTGATAACGACGGTATGTGTCAATGAGCTCCAGACTTATGTCACCCTCCTCAAGATTCTCCAAAAATTGTGTGCCACGCTGGAGCTGGTCTCTATAACTGGCCAGTTGAGTAGAGTAGGTTTCCAGTGCAGCAACACTTCCATCCTCCTTTAGCTGGCTTATCAGATTCTCTGCTTGGGCATCTATCTCAAGAGTGAGAGCCCGAGCTTGTCCACGCAGTGCCCGTACACAGGCCTCTCGATCCTGCAGAATTTTGGTACGTAGGTCATTCACTTCCCCCGTCACTTGGTCAATATGGGCCATCTCCACTCCTACTTGGTCCAACTCTGTTTGTAGCTCTTGCTGGGCTAGGCTTAGTTTACGTCCCAGTGGCTGGGTATCGTGTTTCTTGTGTTCCTCACACACACATGTCATGCATACTAGGATGTCACATGTTGCACAAAACATGTGGAGGGTCTCACCATCATGAGTGGAACAGGTACGTTGTGACGACAACACTGTACCAATGTTACCAGTCTCTATCTTCATTATGTTTGCTTCCTCTTCTATTCCATGGCTGAACAGACGATGGTTATGTATACAAAACTTACAAATGTCAAGGTCGCAATTGATACAGCGGTACTGTGAAACAAGCCAATCTCGACGACATACATCACACACACCAAAGTATGGCCTTGCCCCAATTTCATCCTGGATACAGTTGATATAGAAATTGGGTGGGAAGTCTTTGACTCCACCTCTCGGCACACAAACATCACTCCTGTAATACAATAAGAAAACTGAATAGATAATAATGCCTCTCTTCAGTGAAAGGGTACACGACTCTAGTACTTAGTTCTAGTCAAACATGTTAAACGTATATTAATTCCATCTTTGATACCCCTGGGGTTATATATCGCTCTCTGCACACCTTGAACAATTCCTGGCAAAATAAACGACAAAAGCTAAGTAATTTGATTGATCTAGAGCAGGATTCAGGAGAAAAAACTGGCAAATGACAAACTAATGATTTGTTCCTTTGAAGATTACAAAGGAGCAACACCCAATTTCATAGCCACTAAAACATACTGTTATGGGACCTCGAAATTCATTTGATGTACATCAAAGGACCAAACTAGTCTTCTCGCAACAGGGTGTTGTACATGGAACCTTCCATTTTGCCACCAAATGTTCCAGGGGTGGTAAGAGCAAAAGTGATCATAACCGTTGGAGTATCAAGGATGATTCAATTCCAGAACTCCAGGTTTTAAGGGCACCATCAATAAAATCTTAAATAATAATTTCTATAGGACTGGTTATTTTGGAAAACTATGACTTAAAAGAAAATTTATTTGAAAAAATCTTAAAGAACATTCTACTTCAAACTGTTAAACTTACTAGCATTTTAATGAAATATAAGCCAGCCCAGTTTTAGTACAATTATCTCTGAATCAAATTCTTTTATTCTAAATGATATGTCTTGTATGACCACCAACAGAATCATCATAACATCTACAGTTTGTATACCTGCATTGTGGACATCTGAAAAGGCGACCAGATGAGGAAGAATGTCGGACATAGTCTAGTAAACAGTTCAGACACACAGAGTGGTGACAGGGCAATATGCGTGGATCTTGAAACTCATCCATGCAGATGGGACACTGGAGGATCCGTTCCCGCAAACGCTCTATTTTATCTCCTTCCATACTTTTGTCACACTCCATACTGCCAGCCCTGTAACAAAGTTCAATTACTGTAGGTTTACAATAGTCAAGGAACTTCCATTTATTTAACTGGCAGCCCAATGCAGGAGCTTATAGATTTTCAATACTGTATCCTTTTGTTCAAGTATTGAAAATAATATGTATCTAGTTACCCATTTGTTTCATTCAGAAGATCTTGAATGAGTTACAATTCAAAACATTTATGGAAACTTTGATACTAGTATCATTAATATTGTATGAAATGGAAACTTATCACATAACTTTGATGCTATTGCAAATATTCGTGAAACTATCATCAAATCTATACACTGAAACAACATCTAAACTGGCAATATTCTCTTTTTCTTTGGTGATGTATGAACATATTGAAACGATAGTTCATGACAATTTTGCTAGGCCATTACCTGTGGTAACAACAAAGACCTATAGGGCTTGTATCTATTTTCTGGTTCAGTTTGCTGAAATTGCTTCATCAAAACTAAACGAAGGGTTTTCTAAAGATTTATATCTATTTCCACTGGAGAGTCATATGCACTGCTTATACAAAACCATGGTGTCTTCACTGAAGGATGCTTCAGATCAAATTTGGACAGTATTCAAATATTTTGGCGACAAATTTGCATAATCCCATATTTCAGTCTAAAATGATGAAATAGTGTATTATATATTATGTGGTATCCTATCTTGACAAACGGAAGACTGTCAAAGCAGGTCTCACACCCTTTCACTTAATCTCAAGAATACACATTTTGATGGTGAACAACATCACATGACCCATGACATCAAAGTGTTACTTCAGCGAAAGTGTACACTGCATATTTACCTTGTTTATAAGATACTCCTACACATGTCAATATTCATTTACATATACTTAAATAATTGTTTTAAAGTGAAACCTGCTGATAGTTTGCTTACATAATAATATATAAAGCATTTTCATAAAGCGAAGCAACAACAAGGAGGGCAGGATATGACTATTACTTAGAACAGGTACATATAATACAGATATATATAGTTATATACATCCCTGCCTAGAATAACTACACTGAATTGTTAATCGTAACTAAACTTTTTCATGGAGTAAATGTTATAATTGATAATTGTCAAGACTGACTGTTTTCTCCAAAGGAACCCCTTCCTGGTCAACAGATAACAGTAAAACTAAATGCAGATTGCTTGCAATAGGCCTACTGTTTATCCTTCATATGTGTAATTAACTACATGTGTTAAATGTTGTTTGTATAATTTGTGAACATTCGGGGTTCACTATCCTGACGTCAACATGTACAATAACTTGCTCTACTTGTGCATATGCACACTATGTCACAAATATTGTGACTAATAGATACACAAATCAGCCACCATGCTATAGAGACAATTCTATATATAGCTATAAATTATGTGTTAACAATGCTTTCTTGTACTATCAAAATGTAAATTTCACTAATTGCGACAAACTAACGTGCTGAGGATATCCGACCTCGGGCCTTTGGTACTTTGGCTGATATCAGGACTCCCTGGTTGGTTAAATTGGTTGACAGCTGCTCCCGTGTCCGAGCATCGTCTCACCGACGAAGGTCAGTGTTCTGGAGACCTGTATCCACGCAGAGGGGTAGGGATCCTGGCCGACAAGGGATGTGATATAAAATGGTTATATAATCTTCTTTTTAATATATATATGTTAAATATAGATAGCATGCTGTTAAAATAGTAATACTTCGTATCATTCAAGCTTTTCTAATCGTACATCAAGTTAATAGCTATACATGTAATTCGTATATACCTGTATTGTTAGGATTGGCAGATGATTGCAGTGAATGGCTACGGAACGTCCTACATCTGTCCCGACTCCCGTAGATCTAAACTTCTGCTGATGTTGACGTACCTGTATGGACACCGGAAACTGCTACTGTTTACAGCATTCTGACGATAAAGCTCCCCTAAACCATCTCGAGATACCGTCTACGCCTTTCAGTTTCAGACAGTTACAAATAGTGTAAAGCGCTAGTGGTCTGTTTATACGTGTATGAATCATTAGGTCATGAACAATTAACGCACTTCAGACAGTGTTTATCAGCGACTGAAACAGACAGGCTCTACTTTCGTTTTAGCCTTAGATTTTCATTGTCGTCAAATTTCATAGCAAAAATACAACAGACAGGGCACCAGGCACACCACACAAAAGTTTTCTGATAACTTCGATATGATCTCGGGCTCAGTGGCTTCCTTACATATAACTACCAGATCAGATGAGATTTTGAATCAAATCAGAGACGTATGATCAAATCATTAATGTATCTTTATGTGTATTGTAATAATAAATAATTTATTTCTTTATCACATTCGTGACATCCTTTGAATTATGTGTTTATAAATGTTGAAATCCATAACCAAGGTAAAATGAGCTGTTCAGGTCACCTGAGACTAAGTCTCACGATTACCTACCCCGATCCCTTTTTGTTCGAAGTCGTCCATCATCTACATTTTTTTTACTTCTTCGGAAAACTTCTGGATTGATTACAATGAAAATTAGTAGAAACCTTCCATGGTCATATGGAAACCAAAATGATGCAATATTATCCTGATTCCAGGGGCTTAAGGAGGGGGGGGGGGGGGGGGGGCGTTGCCAAATTGTCAAATTGACTGAAATTTCAACAATCTTCTATGTAGATGGTAAACTCTTGGTGGATGGGGGTGGATGGAAGGGTATTTACCAAAAAAAGCAAATTCTATCAAATCTTTCTTCTTTCTCTGGAAGGTATGGATCATGTGCCAATAAATGTCAGGATTCTGCTCAACTTGGTCAGTTTTGTGAAATTCGTGTGTCTGGAACCAATGTGATGAGAAGGGCGGGACCCAATAGTGGAGTGGACCAAATTTTAAAATCCTTCTTTTGTGGGAATGAGTTAATTTTGTCTTGGTTTAATTAAAATTAAAACTTCTTGAGAAGTATAGGATGGCCGGCTTTTATTGAGGTGTCCCAATATATAGAATTATAGGATGGCCGGCTTTTATTGAGGTGTCCCAATATATAGAAGTATAGGATGACCGGCTTTTATTGAGGTGTCCCAATATATAGAATTATTGGATGGCCGGCTATTATTAAGGTGTCTCAATACATAGAATTATAGGATGGCTGGCTTTTAATGAGGTGTCCCAATATATAGAATTATAGGATGGCCGGCTTTTATTGAGGTGTCCCAAAATATAGAATTATAGGATGGCCGGCTTTTATTAAGATGTCTCAATATATAGAAGTATAGGATGACCGGCTTTTATTGAGGTGTCCCAATATATAGAATTATAGGATGACCGGCTTTTATTGAGGTGTCCCAATATATAGAATTATAGGATGGCCGGCTTTTATTAAGGTGTCTCAATATATAGAAGTATAGGATGACCGGCTTTTATTGAGGTGTCTCAATACGTAGAATTATAGGATGACCGGTTTTTAATGAGGTGTCTCAATATATAGAAGTATAGGATGGCCGGCTTTTATTAAGGTGTCTCAATATATAGAAGTATAGGATGACCGGCTTTTATTGAGGTGTCTCAATACGTAGAATTATAGGATGACCGGCTTTTATTGAGGTGTCTCAATACGTAGAATTATAGGATGACTGGTTTTTAATGAGGTGTCTCAATATATAGAAGTATAGGATGGCCGGCTTTTACTGCATTTCATTATGTCCATGGTGGTCGCAATAGGCTACTTAATTGTAAACAGAAAAAATAAATTATAACCTACATTAGAATTTGAAGAAAGAAAAGTTTACACGAAAAGTTATTCCCGAGTCTCTCCTCAATAAAATCAGGTAAACAGGAAATGACATACTCTAACATTGATTGGTTAAAAATAGTTTTGCAAGTTTTGAAAACATACGTTTCAAACCATTAATGTAAATACTTGTTCAATTTATTTGAATTATTTAAGTTTTTGTTGCTTGATAGCTTGAAAGAATATCTTTTCGGTTAATATATTTTGGTCAGGTTAGAGTTTCTAATTCCGTGCTGCGATAAAAGTTTCAGCGACCGACTGTTTAAGGCGATCAAATATGTAGTTTGCTGGTTTTTATTTTAATCGCTTGACTTTTCACTCCCTTTAACGTAGCGCTTTCGCTATAATAGAGGACAGTGGCTAAGTGAAGAATTTTCAATGAATAAAAGAACAAGTGGTTGGTATTTTTCATTTTACTAAAAAACAAGTATTTATTCACGATTTTTCTTCCTGTCGACCATATCGCAACGGCTTCTCCCAACCAAATTTTCGAATTCTAGTACAATATTCCTTTTGACTAGATTTCGAGCTATCATGGGAAATGTACAGAATTTTCAGCAAAACCTATGCTATTATATAATAGGCTATCTATTTATAACTACACTATGACATAAATCTATTTATATACCTACGTAATCTAGTAGTCCAAATATATTGACACCTACATTCTTGACTGTGTCCCAATGTCATTTTTCTTTTTAATTTTTCAAACAGATCTTTCAGAAGTTTACAAGCCTAGATTAATTCAAACATAACGAAATCTTGAACCCTTGTGATCCAAATTCAGACAGACGACATTTGGAAATCCGTTACGTCACGGGTGTTCTAACAGGTAGCTGGGTAAGTTAAAAATTTTGTGATCGAAAAATGAAATTGCATTATAATGCATTAAATTAACTGGTTTAAGTCCATAATTAGATAATGATATTTGTAATGATAATATTATAAATATCTTATTACAAGAAGACGCAAATATATTACTACTTATGCGGATATATGGTCAATATTGTATGCTGTCTTCCGCTTCCCACTAAGGTACAGAAACCAGGTCACCTGTTGGTGTGCACACACGTTTGGTTAGACGTAGAACTGATGTACTAGGTTTGAAAGAACGGGATTCGACATTTGGTGGATAAAAGGGATGTTATAAAATGTTATACATTTTCTTCATGTCGATTTGGAGCTGTGCCGGTATAGAGGATCGTAACGATCATGCACTGACAATAAACTAAGCTAACTAAACAAAAATAACTATTTGCATATTCGCCATCTTGTTTTTTTAATATTCTATACTAAAAGGATAAAGAAACGCAGGGTGAACTTTAAACCAGAAATTAGGAATGATATCGGGCTTCATTTTAAACGAAATCTTGTATACTTACAGATAAATTAAGGCTTAAAAATTTGCAAAGTCTGTATTTTGCATCTGACAATTGGTTTAGAGGTAGTAACGATTAAATTGAATGGACCCATAGGATTTTGAAATTGAAATTGAACTGAGTCATCAATATCTTGTGTGTCCGTCGTTTGCTGTGGTCACGGCCCTTATTCTTCTGGTCATAGAGTTCATGAGAGCGTTAATCCGTCTTATGGTGATGTTGTCCCACTCTTCAATCAGAGCTCTGGTCAACTGCTCTCGAGTAGCAGGAGATGGCTGGCGCTTTCGAACCTGTCTATCCATCTGGTCCCAAAGATGCTCGATCGGGGACAAATCAGGGCTATATGGCGGCCAATCTAGTGGTTGAATGTTATTGTTGGCCAGAAAGACTTGGCAAATCCTTGCTACGTGGGGCCTAGCATTATCCTGCTGGAGGGTTAGATTATGCTGCTGTAAGAAAGAGATAACATGGGGTCGGAGGATCTCATCTCTATACATAGCTGCTGTTAAATTGCCATCAATAACAACCAATTGTGATTTTAACCCGTGTGAGATTCCTCCCCACACCATTACTGAACCGCCTCCAAACCTATCCCTCTCTACAACGCAAGCGTCCGTAAAACGTTCGCCACGACGTCGGTAGACACGTTGACGGCCGTCAGATCGATAAAGATAGAATCGAGACTCGTCCGTGAAGAAAACTTGTCTCCACTGCCTCAGTGGAAACCGTCGTGGAGCATGTGCAGCGACGTTCTATGGTGGAAACATGAACACCAAAGTGCCTAGCAACCTGATTTTGCAGCTGTCCTTGCATCAGCATCTGAATGGCCTGACCCCTCTGAACTTCTGCGAGTCGTGCCATTCTTAAAACGAATCAAATTCTCAATTAATGTTAGGGAAGCAGTTGGTCTGTATAAAGACTAACGAAGAGTGACTTGACCAACGCTGCATGAGACCAGAACAACACAGTGCACGAGATTCTTGTTTTTTCCTTCCTCCATTTACCAGAGCTGCGCACTGTACCGTGACTAGATTTTCGATACATGACAAGGTGTAATATGACCTAATTACTCAATCCACAAAGTTTCACTTTATTTGGAGAACGCGTTCAAAATATCGGAATAAATATTACCCTGCGTTTCTTTATCCTTTCAGTATATATAGGTATAGCAGGAGAACAGATAACGGGTGCATTCTTAACATTAATGGGGCCGGGTACATTATTTCTCGGTCAATTATACTTGACAATGTTCCGTATGCATTGATATAAAAAAAATAGATATTCTGAACCCGGTCTCACAGTTAAACCTTTTTCCCGAATAATAATTAGATTGCTGCTGTAAAGCCATCAGAGGGACTATCACAGTGAAACGCTTGTAAAGTTATAGAAAGTGTAACACAGTTCAAGTTCAAACGCAAATGTGACTGACGGGGGCTATCACAGTGAACGCTTGTAAAGTTATAGAAAGTGTAACACAGTTCAAACGCAAATGTGACTGACGGGGTAAGAAAGTGTAACACAGTTCAAGTTCAAACGTAAATGTGACTGACGGGGGCTATCACAGTGAACGCTTGTAAAGTTATAGAAAGTGTAACACAGTTCAAACGCAAATGTGACTGACGGGGGGCTATCACAGTGAACGCTTGTAAAGTTATAGAAAGTGTAACACAGTTCAAACGCAAATGTGACTGACGGGGGGCTATCACAGTGAACGCTTGTAAAGTTTTAGAAAGTGTAACACAGTTCAAACGCAAATGTGACTGACGGGGGGCTATCACAGTGAGCGCTTGTAAAGTTATAGAAAGTGTAACATAGTTCAAG